TCGTCCGATCAGTTCTAGCGCGCGACTGAGAAATCCCGCACTTGACTCTCTCTGTTAATCTACAACACGAGCTCGACCCAGTTTCGACTTGGGGCTTGAGGGGCTGGATCGACGTCCTGGACCGGGGATTCCGTACTGTCACTGCTCCCAACATCACTGTCGGTGTCACTTCGTCGTCACCGAACCGTCTGCACTAACCGCCTTTATGTAGCCTGTCGACCTCCGAACTGACCGGCCAATGACAGCCACGGTCTAGCGGGTTCAATAGTTGGCACATGTGAATCTCGCTCTCTACCTGCTCCTTAGAGGGGCTCGACCAGGATCCCAATCGGTCCGCGGCTCCGAGACCATTGCTGCTGGGTTCTAGCCTCTTATCCTAGTACTTTCAGTTCGGTCTCATTCTTGGTCTTGGTCTTGGTCTTGGTCTTCGTAGATCCGGCACTGACCTCTGACCTTGGAATCATTCCGAACACCCGACAAGATCGGAGGGGGTCTGAGATCACTAATCATCGCGATCGTCTATTTCTTCCACTCTCGGTGCTAGGGCCCTTCGTCAGATCATGCCCACTTCTTTTTTGGGTACTTCCTGATAGATCTAGTCTGTGCTCGCTCCCCCGGTTCTGCTTTGGTCCCAGTACCTAATCGTGCTGGAGCCATGGATTTGGATTTGGGTTTCACGGGAAGTTTCTCGTGAAGGTTTGGTGGGTCATCGTCACTGTCATGATCCAACTGTACTACTGAGTTGAGTACCTGCTACCCAGGTATGGAGCAGAGGGTTATCCTTAATCTTTAACTCTTATTTCTTAATCTAATTCTTAATTTGAAACCCAAACTCCTTTTTTCTTTCTTATTAATTAACTCCTGAGTGACTTACCCTCTTAGGCAGCAGACAGTTATCGCCCGAGACACCCGGGGCTCAACACGAGCTCGAACCGGCCGCCCGGGTCACCACTACGCGCCTAATCTGGTAGGTCGTTAGGCCTCAAACGGTGAACTTCCGGGGCGCGCTAGACTCGACTCCCCCTAGCTGTATTCTACGGACTTGACTGCCCAGTGATGTCTTCATGATCCAGACTCGCCGGAGCTCTACGTATGCACACTATCTTAGTGTGCGTTTGCTTCTACCTGCCCGCAATTTAAATTATTCAACCAAACATTGAATAAATGAATAAATGAATAAATGAATAAATGAATAAATAGTAAATGGTAAATATTAAATATTAAATATCAAATATCAAATATTAATTTATCAGAGACAAAACCCACATGGCTCTCACAGGGCTCTGCCTCATTTCAGGGATTCTCGGGATTCAGAATTCAGGACTTAGGATTCAGGGGCTCTGTCTCCCCAATTCGCGTCGTACGAAAACGCTGATCCCATGTCATCACTTTTCAGCGCTTACTAACCTCATATGTGCAGTGCAGGCTAGGGTCAAAACACGCGAGCATCTTTTGATCACAGGATAGGATCAAGCGCGCCACTGTTCGTATGTGGCGGGTATCTTCCGTGCATATGATCCTGGTCACATGGTGACCATGACATGTACGAACCACCTGTACAAAGTATTGATTAATGATGTGAGAGGATGTGGAGGATTTGCATCCAACCACTGCACTTCTATAGCATTATTTCTCACGGAGATAGCTCGTTGTTAGTTACGAATTCCGCCTCTCGCAACAGTAACAGCACCGGCACTTGCACTAGCACTAGCACTAGCACTAGCACTAGCACCAGCACTATACACCCCAAGAATGGGATCGTCTCACTAAGATTCCCGAACCTTGGAACACCGTAGCCACGTACACACCAACCACACCGAGCTTGACCTCCCCATTGGCTGATCGCCAAATCAGACCAGACACATTCCACGATTGAGACAACGCACCACGCACCATGCGAACATCATGGGATCAGGCAAAGCTAGGGGTGTTCGGAAATATCCTCAAGGTGATGTACCCGATGATCTAACCCCCCTCAGATCGCTCTCCCTTGCGTTCTCGCGTGAGATCGTGGAATACGACTCGAAGACGACATGGCCTGCAGGAACTTCCTTTCGTCTATGCGCTTTTTAAACCTTGCGCTATGCATGTCAGAAGCCACAAGCCTGATCTTCGATTGTATCCACTTCGTCCTCCGTCCTTCATATGTAGTAGGGAGGAGATACGAGGGGAACTTGCAGTGTATCCCTGTGGTCGGATCGCCCCTTGCGTGGTGTCCGGATCGGCGGTACGAGGGGGAGATTGCGGTTCGCCGGTTCGCCGGTTCGCGTGTTCTGGGGTACGTATGGGGTTGGGATTTGGGTTTGAGTGTCGTGGTTTTGCTTTTTGGGGGGCATTTGTTTGAGTTTGCTGGAGTTGCTTGTTCTAACTGTAGATGTTGTAGTGGATTTGTTGACGATTTCAAGTGCTTGGGGTTGTATCTTCCAGATGGGTCTCTCAGGATTGGTCTTCTCTACGGAGCAAGACTGAGAAAAGAGAGGTATACCCGCTCCACGGCTAGTCTTCATTATAAGTATGTACTTGAGAGGGGATACAATAAACACAAAGTACAAACACTAATGCAGCATGCGACGGTCCCATTTATTTATAATGTACAAAATCCAGCGCCGTGGGTTGCTCCTGTAATGCCAGTTTCCAATCAACTTCAATCGTACACGGCAGAGGTGATATGCTGTTCACGGCGACGAGCGCAGCACTTCATCGACCCCCCCATCTTCAGACACCTCCTTAGCGAACCCGGTGCCCTTTCGCACATGCATGAGCAGTCGGAGCGCACCAGTAGGTGTAACACCTTCAATTCGCCTGGCCATGCCAACACTGGCGGGCCGAACACGCTCGAGAGCCTGCTTCTCTTCATTGCTGATGCCGAAGATCTTGCTATAGTCCAGATCAGCGGGTAAGAGCAGATTTTCATCTTGCTGGAACCGCTGGGCCATCTTCTCCTGTCGCTTGAGGTAGGGAGCGTAACGTCCTTCGATGGCAACGCGAGCTCGGATTTCCGGTGCAAATGATGCAGGCATGTATGCGGAACCAGGAGTAGATTCGATGTGCGGGATGAGGGCGTCGATGTCTGCGCCGTCAAGACACAGGATGTCGAGTGCGGAGCGGACCGAGGTGTCGACGCGGACCTTGAATCCTTTGCGAGACCATGCGCTCGAGGAGAGCCTGGTGTTGGAGAGAAGAGATTGCAGCTCTTGAATCTGGGCCTCTGTGTCTGAGAAGTGGCTCCAGCGCTTGTCGTTGACGACACCGGCGTCGCGAGCCATCCGTGTCAGCCGCAGGTCGGCATTGTCTGAGCGCGTGGAGATACGGTATTCGCTTCGAGTGGTGAACATTCGATATGGTTCGGAGACGCCCTTGGTGATGAGATCGTCGATCATGATCCCAATGAATCCATCAGATCGAGTAAGAGTCATCGGGGCCCGGTTCTGCGACTCCAGACCAGCGTTCATGCCTGCGATGATACCCTGTCCGGCTGCTTCTTCATAGCCAGTGGTACCGTTGATCTGGCCAGCCAGATAGAGACCGCTGATAAGCTTCGTTTCCAGAGTACCTCGGAGGTTACGCGGGTCGATGTAGTCGTACTCCACACCGTAGCCTGGCTGGAGCATGGTCACATTCTCGAGACCACGGACAGTCCGCAGCATGGCATACTGCGCGTCCGGAGGAACCGTCATCGAGATACCGTTGGGGTAGATTACTTCGTTAGGCGCAAAGCCTTCGGGCTCCAGCCAAATTTGGTGTCTCTCCTTGTCTTTGAATCGCATGATTTTCGATTCCAAAGACGGGCAGTACCGTGGTCCTCGGACGGTTTCCCGGATATGCACCGACTTGTCCAGATTCGCGCGAATGATCTCGTGCGAGGCCTCGTTGGTATGGGTCATCCAGCAATTGAGCTGGCCCTCATCCCCAACATCAACTTCCTTGTTCAGATAGGAGAACGGCATAGGAGGCGAATCACCCTTCTGGACCTCCAGAGGCTTGAAATCGATCGTCTTCATATCCAATCGAGGCGGCGTGCCAGTCTTCAAACGACCAAGCTGGAATCCAGCATCACGGAGAGATTTGCTCAACCCATACGTAGGAGCCTCGCCCATACGCCCAGACGGGTAACTCTCCAGTCCAATATGAATCTCACCACCCAGGAAAGTTCCAGTAGTGATAACCACACGACCAGTAGGAATAACCTCGCCCGACTCCAAGCGGACACCAACAATCTTGCCCTGAGCACCCGGCATATTCTCAACACCCTCCTTGGAAACCACAATATCCGCAACCTTGCCCTCCACAATGCTCAACCCCTGCGTATTGACCAATTCCTCGGTCATATGCTTCCTATACAGATCGCGATCGATCTGCGCGCGGGGCCCCCACACAGCCGGGCCTTTAGACCGATTCAAGACTCGAAACATAATCCCCGCTTTGTCGATAATCCGCCCCGCAACACCATCCATCGCATCCACCTCGCGGATCATAGTGCCTTTTCCGATTCCGCCGAAACTGGGGTTGCACGAGCAGACACCGATATTCGATAGCGAAGGCGTCACCAGCGCAGTACGCGCCCCTGAGCGTGCAGCAGCGGTACATGCCTCCGATCCAGCATGTCCACCTCCAATCACAACGACATCGTAGGGTCTAAAGGGCCTCCGTTAGCAAGTGCCAAAAAAGTATCAGGGGTACAGGATCGCGTACTGCGTCCCTTCAGAAACCGTCGCTAGACCCCGAGTTCGGCCTATTAACCAGGCCGACCCGACCCGCCTCCGAAACAGAGTCACTGGTCTCGCGCGAAACGCCATGGTGCAAGTTCCTCGAATCTCCAAATCGAAGCCGCCGATAAGCCAAAAATATTATCGACGTCACGTGATCGATAAGAGACAGACATAAGCGTTCTTGCGCCATCGGCCAATTGCGGGGCTGCTGATATTCAGCGACGGATTTCTGAGAATCTCACCTCATACTCCTAACCCTTCTCATCGAAAACAATCGCTAGACCCTGCATCATGAGAGCATACTGGTACGATAACAAGCCGGTAAGTCACCGCTCCGCGCATCTACTCAGCATGGAAACCACCTCTTCATGAATTACCCCGATGACGCATATGGTTCCCAAGCTGCATACTAATTCTAAATATTACAGGGCGACCAGCGTGAGCCCCACGACTCCGGCAATGCCGTCTCCGAGGACAAGCTCGCCTCCCTAGGCGTCCTCTACCACCACTGCCCAACCCTCGAAGCAGTCGACAAGCTCGCCGCAGAGCGGGGTTACAGGAACCGTGACCAAGTGTGCGTCTCGCCTGCAACTATGGGCGATGTGTACGAGGAGAAAGTCAAGATGTTCTTTGCTGAGCACCTGCACGAAGACGAGGAGATCCGATACATCCTCGACGGCGAGGGATACTTCGATGTGCGCGGTGTGGACGATGAGTGGATTCGCATCTGCCTGGTTAAGGATGATATGATTATTCTGCCTGCGGGTATTTATCATCGGTTTACGACGAATGAGCAGAACGTATGTGTTATTGCTGCGCTGGACCGTGCTTGTTGCGCGGTTGTTTTTGGGTGGTTTCGCTAATTTTTTTACCGGATATAGTATGTTAAGGCAATGCGTCTCTTCCAGGATGAGCCTAAGTGGACGCCGCTGAACCGCGGTGCCGAGGTTGATGTTAACCCTCACCGGAAGTCTTATGTTGATGCGGTGCTTAAGCCTGCTGCGGTGGCTTAGGTGGGTTGACGGGTTGATGCTTTATGACTTGAGATGATGGTGGGTGAGGTTTATACCTTTGGTTTTTGTTAAACTACATACTATAAAGGAGAGTTTCACACATTGATCTGTTAAAACTGTAATAATTGTAGCTGCTTCGTATCATTGCGATTGCATTGAATGCTAGATGTACACTAAAATAGGATTAGAGGTAATTCATACGAGACATCTCATTCCCTAGGCGTCGCAACTCGGTCCGGCATGCTACCGGGCATATTTAACTGGTCGCTAAACCCACTGGCACTGTCTTGCCGTGTCATACTGGGACTGCGCAGACCACCCATATCCACGTTGAAACTGCTGCTGCGCGACCCAGCTCCGAGCCCACCTAGACCTAACCGTGCGTCCAACCCGCCGCGGAATCGTAAGCCCTCCGGCTCACGGTCCTCGGCGAACCGGATCGATCCGCCAGCTTCGGTGGAGCCAGGACTTCGCGGTGGTGCTGTGGACCCGGCGTCTGAGTCTTCACCGGTCCGCACGCCAGTTCGGCCCATGCGTGGCCATAGGTCTGGGAGCCCGACGACTTGGACCCTGGGTTCGACAACACGTTCTTCAAACCAGGCGTGCACGCGTGCTTCGACTAGCTGAGCGACTTTTGGTACATCCTGGAGTCTGCTGCGGGATCCGATGAGAGAACGGACTGAAAGGTCTAACCTGTAATCCGGCAGGAATGAAAATGCGACGTTGCTTTTGGGGCTGCTTTTGGGCGGCTGGTCCTGTGACTCGGCGCCTGGGGAGCCTGGGGCTTGGTTGGGGCCATTAGGACCAGCCTCGGCGGGTGGTGTCGGTGATGTAGCTGGAGTGTGAAGCGGGTCGGTTTGTGCCGGGATCAGAGAAATGCACAGTGTGCCCGAGAACCTGACAACCGAGACTGAGAGCGCGACTGGGAGAATGGCAGAGCGCGGCTTGGGGTAATTGAGAACCATGGAAGTTTCGACTGCGATGGAGAGGTTGTCATCGCTAAGATCGACATCTAATAAGGCCTGCAGTCTGCCGCCATCAGAATTGGGGTCATCGACGGCGATTATTCGGCAATTGCTGAAAATTGGGAACTCTTCTCCTAGTGAGATATCCGTCACGGTGATTTTGTCTATAAAGGAGGGTTTCTTCTCAGGGTTATTCATCGCCGCCGTCAAGGAGCTCAGAATTGAGGATGTGGGCGAATCCTTGAGAGTGTATGCTGTCTGCCTGTACTGAGCAATTGTCTGAGCAATCAAGACATTAAACCAGTCCAGCGACTCTGGCTGATGGGATGAGTGGTGCAGCCGATGCCTGCCATGTTTGGCGGGGTTGGTCGGAATGGCGCTGTAGTAGGTCTTGCGGAGGATTGAGCGAGTATTGGTGGCAGAGGCAGGGACCGGACGTAGGACATTGGAGGTGGATGGTTTTTCTCGTAGAGTCTTCTGGCCATCTTGAGAGGGATTGTACACAGAGCTGTTGCGGCGGTGGGTTGTGCGGTTCGAGAGGCCGCGCGAGGGAGGCGGCGGGGCTTCACCGAAGATGAAGAACTTGATGAAGGCGCCAATGAGTAGAACGACGGAGAGCTGGCCGAGCAGAAAACCCTGGGTGAACGATAGGCTGGATCGAGTTAGCGATCTAGACTACACTCCACAGGTTTGTGAGGCATACGAGGACTGAGGCGCGATTGGCGCAGGCTCGTCTGTAGAATAATCAGTATTACGATATGAAACAAGACAGGACTATATCAAACTGACGCGGTTGGAGCGCCATTGTCAGTGGAAGTCGACAATGCCTGGTCGTTAAGCACCCATCGCCAGATGGAAGAGGTTGGGTTGGTGGAGCTGTGGTTCTGCCGAGCTTATCGATTATCGCGGGATCGGAGGAGCTTCTTTTTAGGACACGCTACATCCTCTCACTGGGACGCCACCCACTGAAGACTCTGAAACTGATCTCTACAACTAATTTCCAGCTTTAACCTCTCCAAGCCCGAGCGAGACTGCAAGAAATCACAACCATGCATTTCTTTACAGCCCTGATGACCCTCCTCCTCGCCTCGCCAGGTATATGCGCGCGACAATCTCAAAGCCCACCAGGCAAAAATGCAATCCTCCTCTCCAACGTTGACGCTCTGACACTACGAGCAAACCGCATGACTACCTCCCGCCGAGTCTCTCCCATCCCACAACTCACCTGCACCGGACCATCGAAGCAAATATGCAACAAATACCAGATCGAGACGATGCGCTGCAAGAACGAGGGCTACGATTATGACGCCGAAGATGTACAATGGACATGCACGGCCCCCCTACCAGCTGAGTTCAAGCTCGGCTCTACAGATGTCGTGTGTGAGGGATACCGCGACTCGGACGACAAGTGGGTGCTCAAGGGCAGCTGCGGCGTTGAGTATCGCATGCTTTTGACCGAACTGGGAGAAGAGAAGTTCGGCAAACAGACCTCCAGTTCTGGGATATCGGGCTGGTTTGAGACCGTCTTTGTCGTCGTGTTCACCGTCGTTGTCTTCGCTATTATCTTCGCTGCTTTTACTGGGATGAGTGGGGCTGGAGGGAATCGGAGACCCCAACAGCGACGACCAAGATGGGGAGGATTCTGGGGCGGAGGTGGTGGTGGTGGTGGTGGAAATCCTCCTGGACCTCCTCCTCCGTACAGCCGATTTGACAACAGCTACTCGGATAGCCAGTACCGCAAATCTAGCCAGGGCTGGCAACCGGGCTTCTGGACTGGTGCGCTGGGCGGTGCGGCGGCTGGATATGGTATGGGACGTGCTCGCAATTGGGGCGGATCGAACAACTACGATAACGGCGAAGGCAGCTCAGGATCCTCTCGGTCTTCTCGTTCGCCGGGATTGTCAACTCCATCATCCAGCACGGGGTTCGGCTCTACCAGACGTCGTTAACCCGGGAGTCTACGTACAAGTTAGGAAGTGTATATGCACTGAGGGAGCAAATCAAAATTAATATGACAATTCTATCGAGAAAGTCAGACTCGAGAGATGTTCATCCCAAACTCCTTGGCTATGATTTTTAGTAAAATCTCTCTTCCCAAACGCCGTGCTGAAAAGGGGAGAAAAAAGTGTATCCGACCCATTTCCACAAAATCGTAGCGCCCGCTAAAGTACAGTTAACAGCAAAGTAATATAGACTAGGCCATCGGAATATCGTCGATAGAGCCCAGTACTTCTTCTGTGCCTCCACTCTGAGCCTTGCCTTTCTTGCCGCGTCCCTTGGCCTTGGTAGGCGGTTTGTCGCCTTCGGCATTCTCGTCCTTGCCCGTGCCAGTGGGATTGCGCATTAGTTCTTCCTGAAGCTGCTTTTCTTTTTCGTGCTCGTCCTCAATGCGTTTCTTCTCATCATCGAGTTCTCGCTGGATGACCTTCGGGTCGTCGAAAGTCTGTTGGGTCATCTCCGAATAGGTCTTGATATCGATGGTTTCGCGAGGGCCAAGCAAAGTATCCTTAATACGTTGGGGATCGCGGCGCTCTTCATTGTTGAACTTCAATTTGATCTGTCGTCGGGATCGTCCAGGGAACAGTTTGCTGATAACCATGAAATCGGTACCGAACATGCGCAGTCCGCGGTAGAAGAGATCGGTCAACTCCTCATCCCAGGTCTCGGTCTTGGAACGCTTCCCGTATGTGGCTTGATTGATCTTGCGCGTGAGTTGGTTCTCAACCACATCCTCAAGATCTCCGGCGCTTCGTGCGGCATCTGCGTGACGATCCACCTCGAGCGATGCCGTATCGAGGACAATCTCGCCGTTGACAATGCGCATGACTGGACCGGCCTGGTGTTTGGGAGGAGGAAGGCGATCTTCCGGGTTGTTCTCGGGTTCGGCGGTCTTCTTGACGGGCGTGCCAGTTGTGCTTTCTTCCTGTGCCTTCCATTTCCGCTCCTGTTCCTCAATTTCCAGTTTGCGCAGTTCGGTCTCACGCTTCGACTTCCTTCCGGTCTTCAAATCTTTGCACAACTCCGACATTTTGACGACATTGGGCAAAATCTCCACACGCTCCGCACCATCAGGAGTAGGTTCGCGCTTCCGGCGCCTAACTTTTTTCGCCTTCTCGGATCCATCAGCATCGGTGCCGGCTTTGGATACCTTTCGCTTCCCCTTAGCAGTCGCTTGGCTAGGATCTGGGGTGGACGGGGTCAATGAGAGTGCAGGTGTCTCACTTGCACCTTCGGTTGTAGGTATAACTCCCTGGGAGGAAGGAGGAGTGGCGAGCGTAGATGCCTTCCCACGGCCCTTGGTGATCTCTGATGTTTTCTTCGCATAGGTGACCTGTCGAATGCGAAGAGGCGCGGCAGAAGCGTTTTGGGGTGCAGCTCTTTGTGCGCGAGAGGATGGCTCTTCGGTTCTAATATCTTCACTAGGTTGCGCGACTTCCTGCAGTGCCGGTGCAAGTTGCTCAATTTCATGTTCAATTGACGGCACAATTGGCGGCTCGGCGATCACGGTGCGGGGGGAGGTGGGAATGTCGGGTGTAAGAGAAGGTGCGCGTACAGGTGCGGTCGATTGCTGGATGGCAGGTGTAGAGATAGAGGGTTTGCGCTTGGGGTGAGGAATCGAAATTGCTGTGGCAGGTTCCTGAGAAGCTGACACCGCGACTGGCGCATCGTCGTTCAGCTCCGGCTCCACTGAAATCGCGGAAGTTGCAGAGGGCCGCCGGGCTTGCTCGGTGGCATCTCTCTCTTGAGAAGCCTTTGCAGACTGAGTCTGTGAATGTGAGACTGCACTAGGCCTACGCGCAGGAGCAGGTCCCGGCGCGGCTCGGCGGGCCGGCGCCTTAGGGGCAAACTTTTTGCCCGATTTGTCTATAGAAACGGGGTAAGTGAGAATTCTTTTGCAAGTGAGAGGACCGTAGGTAGTGACTTACTAATCGCAGAACTCGAAAACGACTTCATGGCTGTCCATTTCTGAAGATGGCGGGGTTGTCTCAAAAGATCAGAAAAGTTGCGCGGAGGGAGTGGGCTGGCCGGTCACGTGGGAGGCGCTAAGCAGAACGCTAAACCTCGTTGAAAATCCTCCTGTCTTCAACTCCTTCAATCTCAATCATCCCGCCCCTTCAACCATACACTCTCGCTTCTCTCACCTCCTCCCTTTCTCACTGTCTTCCTAATAGCCTTTTCACTTTGGGACCGCTGTTACCAAGACTGGCCACGGTCCCAGTGTCTCCCTAGGGCTGACTGAGTGACGGTTCGGTGGTGATCAGTTGCTCCCTCCTAGGCCAGTATAGCCACTGATGCCGGCCGCCGAACCCCCCATTGTGTCTTCAGAGTCCGGTCTTATCAAAATGGAAGACCGGAAGAGACCTGCCGCGGATAACAATGATTCGGCCCCGCCTTTAAAGAAGCAGGCGACCACGGCGAATGGGGCCGCCAAGCCCCATCCGGATGCCGATATGCCCTGGAAAGATGATTTGGAGGTATGTGTTACCCTTGCATTTGTTGGGCGAAAGTCCTCGGGCCTTTCCCCGCTGCTTTGAACCCCGGGCTTACTCTTGTGATAGCGCGTCCAAAAAGATGCGATAATGCGCCAGATGTACGAATACAAGCGAGAGAAGCAAACTCTAGAGTCGCGATTGAGTCAGATGTCAAAGAAAGCGACACATTATAATGATCATCTTCGAGCCATCGATTCCTGGTTTAACCAGTTGATTGATGAAGTGAAGGTTCTCCTGGGCTCGCAGGAAGTCAAAGACTCGGGATTCAAAAGCTCACTGCAGTTTGAAGATGCCGAAGGATTCGAGTCGCATCTGAAGTCTAGGTCGGACGATATTCGCGAAATCATCAATCAGTTTCAATCTAAACTGTCTGATGTCTCTCCTGATATTACAACACTTCAGAGCAAATTGGCCAAGAAGCTTGCTGAAGAGAAGGTCTCAATCGCCGAATTAGACAAGGCCCTAGCCGAAAAGCAACAGCTGGAGGAAAGCCTGGAGGCTGCGTCTCTGCGGTACATGGTCGCCGAGAAGAAACTCGATCGCGCGAGGAGCGTGACAGCTACCAAGCTGGACAAGCAATACATTATGGGCGGAAACCGACCAAATATTGAGGCTGTGCAAACAAAACGCGAGGAATCCTCCCCTGCAAATGGTGGAACCCCCGTCGGAGACCGCAGCGGCGAGTTGGAAGAAGCCAATAATAAGCTCAGCGCTATTTCGGAGAAGCAAAAAGAACAATTGCAGAAGTTGGAGGCGGAAAATGCCAGCTTGCTCAGTCAATTCACCGAGCTCAAGGTCAAGGTGAGTTAACACGACCTTGTGAGGGCAATATCGCATACTGACATTAAGAATAGGTTTCAAAACTTACCGACGATGACTATGCGCATACCGATCTTTTCAAGCAATTGCGATCACAATATGAGGATGTGGTAAAGCGCATCAACCACCTAGAAGCGACGAACGTTCAACTTCGCGAGGAGGCTGAGAAATTCCGCTCGGAAAGAACTGCATACAAGATGCAAGTGGATGATGAAGCACAGAGCACCGTTGCCGCAAAAGAGGCTCAACTCGAAAGAGCTGAAACCGATCTGGCACGGATACGAAATGCACGTGATGAGCTCCTGGCGGATCAGCAGATGCGCAAGGCCGCGCAAGATCAAGAAAAAACCGCTGGTATCAAGTTCCAAGAACTGGCAGATGCGCGAGAGGCTCGGATTACGGCTTTGGAGTCGGAAATTGAGAGGTTGCGCCTGCAGATCGATGGATCAAAGGCCACCGAAGATGTGACTCGGATGCCGCTTGAGGAGCTTCAGACCAAGTACTCCAGCTTGGAACGTCAATATTCTATGCTGAATACTGAGTTGACCTCCATGCAAACTGCTTATAAGAAGTTCTCCACCCTGGCGTCGCAGAAGGTGACGGACTTTGGTGCTTTAGAGGAGAAGGTTGCGCGATTGACAGCGGAGAAGTCAAAGGCGGATCAGAAATACTTTGCTGCTATGAAGAGCAAGGAAGCCCGTGATGCTGAAGTGCGCACACTTCGAGTGCAGAACTCTAAGACCTCTGATATCGTCTCCCAGTTGAAGGAGGCGGAATCTGCGGCGCGCTCATTGCTCTCCAACATGGACAAGCAAGTGAGCGAAACCAAAGAGGCCCTCAATTCAGCACTCAACAAGCACCGAGCTACTCAGCAACAGCTGAACGAGAGTAACATCTTGGTGGAGGGTTTGAGGAACCAAGTTTCCGAATTGAAAGCCCTTTCCAACTCCAAGGACGCGACACTTGGAAGCACCTCCTCTGCCCTGCGCCAGGCAGAAACCGAGATTTCCGGCCTGAAACAGACTCTCATAGACACTAACAAAAATCTGGAGAGTTGGAAAGGAAAGAGCCTCGGCAACTCCTCTTCGGAATACGAAATGTTGAGGGTAAGTTTTTGTGGCGCTCGGATGAACTAAACGGATCCACTAACTTTGATTCTCTCTAGTCACTGGTCCTGTGCACCGTGTGCCGCCGCAACTTTAAGGATACGGTGATCAAGACGTGCGGCCATACTCTCTGCAAGGACTGTGTGGAAGAACGTCTCACTTCCCGATCACGCAAGTGTCCCAACTGCAACAAATCATTCGGAAGCAATGACCACATGCATATCACCCTCTGATCCATCTCCTTGTCCCTTTCCATGGTTGCAACCCTTCTTTTCGTGTATTATAACTCTTCCTTTTCTTCCTTTTTTTCTTCTTCTTCTTCTTCTTCCTTCACCTTATCCTCCTCTTTAGTGGTCACTTTCGGACTGGTCATGGTGCGGTGTTTGGTGGCTGCTTTCAGGAACGGTTGGGACCGGCGTTTGATGATTTTACGCTCTGTTACAAAAGGGCATGTTTTTTTTTTTTTTTTTAATGTGACGGCTTTATGACCGACGCATCGATGAGTTCTTTATCTGGTTTGTCTCTCGGCAAGGGCGCTGAGTGAATGAGCGTGATCTCTTTGGATTCCCATGATTTTCCGAGAGGCGCACTTTGATTTTTCTCAGCTTTCGCTCTAGATCATGTAGGAATATTATGTCCGGAACGAAAAAGGAAATACGAATGCAAATGCCAAGTCTCATGCAATCATGATTCAAATTATGAGTTAAAGATCCTACTATACAACAATTCGTGTCTGCCAACCCATAAATCCAGCGCCGGAACAACCTGGCCCGCCTGCTCAACTTCCGTCTCCCATTCGCGCTCAATGCGCGACATAATTGTATCCTGCAATGTCTGACTCGCCAGGATATTCTGCGCCTGGTATGGTCCCATCACAGAAGCCCGCACTGCAGCACTTAGAACAGCCTTGGCATGGTTCAAAACGAAGATATAAGCCGTTTGATGCAAATCCAAGCCCATAGCTCGACAGACAACACCCCACAACGGAGCAAAGTGACCCATAGGGCCCAATTCATCTTGATTATCATATGTCGTCTTTAATGCATCGGAGAATTCATCAATTGCTGAAACCGCGACGTCGGCGCCGGCATCGGTGCCCGTGGGCAGAGCGAAGCTAACTCGGAATGCGCGCTCCCATACTCCAATTAATGCCCGGCCTTGAGCCACGCTTGCACGCTGTGCGACAATGCATGGTGTTGAAGCGTCGAGATCGTTATCAAGGGTTTCTAAGGTTTCGGGCGCACGGTAGCCTGCTAGCACGTAGGGGAGTGATGTGCTTGCGAGAGAGGCAATGGAGAGTTTGAGGAAGCGGTGGAATGATGTGACGGGGTTGGTGCGCTGAGGCTTGTGATGGGCGAGGTAGGACTCCAGCCCGCTGGAGTATGCGAATGAGCCTAGTGGAAGGGCGGAGTCGGAGAGGAGGAGGAGGGCGTGTAGAGATGAGGAGCGGACGGCGTCCGCGCGGAACTTATTATTATAAAAGGCTGAGAGTTTGTTAATTTATGTTCTGGTGAGTAAGGTTCGTGGACTTAAACTAACCACTGCTTGAAGGCATTGTCCAAGGGATCTTGGTATCGGGGTGGGAGGAAGGTGGGCTGGGGTATGTAGAGGCGTCGAGTTGAGCCCGCATGTCCTGGAGGCGGGACTCAAGTTGAGCGATTTCGCTCTGGATGTCTGATGGTTCGAGCAACATTGTAATATATGAAATCTGGGGTATCTGAAAGCTGAAAGCTGGAGAAAAAGAAGAGGAAAGTGGTCGCAAGAGCGATAAGCTGGGTATAAAGGGCACCGGCAGCGATCGGCAGAAAAAAGTGGGTATCGGAGACGGCCGTGTGCGCCCGGCAGATTCTCTATCTCAAGCGTGACTGTTGGCTATTATTCACGTTCACCCGGCATTAGGTCATCATCTTATTCGATCCTATTACTCGATCGCCTAACGCTGGCCGATTGGCTCTCGACCGCCTGCGATTCTGCCCCGATATGAGATAGCTTCCTCCGTCAACAATGTCGGGCAGGCGTCTGCTGGATGCTATCCAGTTCCTCAATGTTTCTAGAACTATCGCTGTCAAACACCTAGCCATTCGGCAACACCAGCTCGATGTCTACACGCGCACTTCCTCCTTAACGAAGGGCATCAAGGGCCAGGTTGATGGGCTGGTCCTGACCGCACAAGCCGCTGCCGCTTTGGCGCGTCGATTTAACGACTCGCCACCGAGCCCTTCGCCGACCACCGCTCCCGAGCCATCGGCCAACAAACCCACCAACGCCCAAACTAGTGCAAATTCGCCTCCTCCCGATGCCGCCCGGAAGCTACAACGTCAGGCTGAATTCCAGATCCCGGCTACCGCCGCTCATTATGACGGCAATGAGAAGCCTGGCGCATTGAACGTCAGCCAGCAACAGGATGTATTCTACGAGCCTTCCAAGGAGAATGGGCCGGACCTGTCCGCCCTGCCTAGGGTTAAGCTTCCTAAAGTTGTCGGCGATGTTCAAGCTGGTGTAGGTGATGGCTTGAACGCTGACGTCTTCCATACGGCCACAAGCTCTGAGAAACAGGCTACGGGGGAACTCCCGGAAGAGATGATGCAGGGTCTTTTCCATAGTCGAAGGGTTGGTCGCATGCTCTCGGGAAAGCCGGCGTCTAAGCCGACGCCCAAGCAACAATGGCCGCCGGCGGAGCCTCCTCGGCCAGTTCAGCCGACCGTAGTATCAGAAGCTCAATCCGAGGTCCTTACGAAGGCCCAGGAAGAAGAGATGGAAAAGCTGGGTGCCAGTGTTGCTGATGAAGTGGTGGTGCCGCAGGCGACAGAAGAGAATGTGCCCTATCAGATGTTGGAATCTCGAGTCCCATCTTCTCGAATTGGTAGACTCTGGCAGTATGCCGGACTGGGAACCTCGATGGCATTTGGCGCCGTCAGTGAAACCTTTCGGCGAGCTAGTGGTAGCCAAGATACTGGCTCTGTCATGTTCAGTGCCGGCAACATGGAACGAATGGTCGCCAAGCTGTCGAAGATGCGAGGTGCAGCTCTCAAGCTAGGCCAGATGCTCAGCATCCAAGACTCCAATATGCTGCCTGCGCCAATTCAGCAAGTGCTCCAGCGCGTCCAGGATCGTGCCGACTACATGCCTGCATGGCAGCGGGACAAGGTCCTATCCGATAACCTGGGACCCAACTGGCGAGACCTATTCTCCTCCTTCAACGACATTCCTATTGCAGCCGCCTCAATTGGCCAAGTCCACTCGGCCGTCCTCAAAAGCACTGGCAAGCCCGTCGCCGTCAAAGTCCAATACCCCGGCGTCGCCGATTCGATCGACTCAGACCTAAATAACCTCTCAATCCTCCTAACAGCCTCTCGCCTCCTTCCTCGCGGCCTCTATCTTGACAAAACAATCGCCAACGCCCGTACCGAACTCGCATGGGAATGTGACTACATCCGCGAAGCAGAATGCGCTGCCCGCTTCCGCAACCTCCTAGCCGACGACCCCGTCTTCGTCGTCCCCGAAATAATGCCCGAAGCCTCCGGAAAGCAAGTCCTGACTATGGAAATGCTCGAAGGTGTAGCCGTCACCAAAATCCAAGACTTCTCCCAAGAACAGCGCGACTGGATCGGAACTCAGATCATGCGTCTTTGTCTGCGCGAAATCACAGAATTCCATTATATGCAGACAGACCCCAACTGGACAAACTTCCTCTACAACGCGCGCACTAACCGTCTTGAACTCCTTGACTTCGGCGCTTCGCGTGAGTACCCCGATGCCTTCATCTCGACTTACGTTCGCACTCTCGTCGCTGCTTCTCGCAACGACCGTGCCCTTTGCCAGGACCTCTCGTTGAAACTGGGATACCTCACCGGCATGGAGAGCCAGGCTATGGCAGATGCCCACGTTACTTCGGTCGTGACTATCGCGGAGCCGTTCATGCTCTCTTCGCCTGATCTATACGATTTCCGTAATCAGACTATCACGGATCGCGTGCGGGCGCTTATTCCGGTGATGATCAGGGAGCGCTTGGCGCCGCCGCCGGAGGAGACGTATAGTCTGCACCGGAAACTGAGTGGCGCTTTCTTGCTTTGCGCGAGATTGGGGAGTCGGGTTCCCTGTAAGGAGTTGTTTGCTGAAGCGATTCGGGAGGCGGAGGCGAAGGGGTTGCAGGTTGATGCGCGGAAATAGATCGACCTTGTACAACGTGTTTGAGATATAGATGGTTGGATTGGGTGATTATGTATTATAAGAAATCTTGTACAATAGATTCAAATTGGGATCTCACCTCTCTCAACTTGATGAACTTGTAACTGAAGTAAAGGGACATGAACGAGCGTGGTCAATAAGGTCGGTTTTCTAACTAGTAATACACTCTAGATTTCGAGATTACTGCTGCGAGTTTTATAGTACATTATCCAAAGACAACGCAAGTGGTGGAGGGCGAAAAAGACAATGATCCAACTGATACCATCCAGACCAGCTGGGAGCGTATGTATCACAAATGTCGAGCGAAAGATGTCCGATGAGAAGATCCCTCACGAGGGCAATGGCTTATGTTCAAAAACACTCTGCCAATACCTCCTAGTCTTATCACAGATCATATCCACCCCCCTCCCAACTCTCAAACTTACCCTCAAGTTCACAAGCCGTCCAAAGAATCTCCTTCCAAAACGCCTTCTCAATATCAACCTTCGCACTAAATCTCCCAACAACATCCTCCGGAATCGTCCACGCACGCGTATACGACCCATCATCATTAAATGCCGGGTTAACCTCATGCTGATCGAATACAGTAGCAGGATTGAACTTGGGGAAGTTTGCATGAATGAAGAACACGCCTGGCGCGGGTGCCTCGTCGCCTCGAACGCGCCATAGTCCTTGGCGTGTATTCGCGAAGTCTTCGATGGGGTTGAACTGCGCCATTGCAGAGCCGGCGAGACCGCCTTCTTTGCGGTGGCCAAGGGCGCAAATTGATTCGCTGACTTGATAAAATCGTTGGTTCATGGCTATTGCGGCGGCGATGAATGTTTCTTTGTCGCCTTCGCCAGCGGCACCTTGGGAGAGGAGAGGGTAGTAGTGGGAAGGACCCCAGTAGTTGTAGTATGTGGCGAGGAGCAGGGTTTGGAGGTGGGACTTCTTTGAGACAAATAGTTCACCGGACTCGGTGGATTGGCGGAGGTTCATGGGTGGTGCTGGTGTGCCGACGATTTCGTAGAAGATGGGGGAGACCGATGATGCCCAGAAATCGGGCCAAGTTACTAGACCGTTTGAGTGGAATACTTCGCTCTTGAAGATAGATTCGGGGTCTTCGAGTGGGAAGGCGTCCGCGTCGAGGAAAAGGATCTCTTCGAATGACGAGAAGAGCATTGCGAATGGCTTGAATTGGTACTTTTCGATCTTTGCAGGGGCCGCGACGAGAATCCGTGAAAGCACAATGCATTTTGCATTTAGTGATGGTAGCACCACATCACAGATATATTCTTCGTACTCGTGTTCATCCGCAAGGAACACCTCCATCGGCAACACTGATCCCGTCCTACGCAACATACGCAGCGATATCACCAATACCGGTAGGTAAGAGCCACCAGCGGTAGAAACCACACCCTTGGTACCAGGAATATATTGCAATTGTGGCGGCGAGCTAATAACAGCCCCCACGAAACCCGTATGCGCCTCTTTCATCGCCTCAACATCATCCTGTGCAACAACCAAGTATTCCGGCCTCGGCTTGGGATCCTTCGCGTTGAACCCCTCCGTGGGAGCCTTCGTATACTCAATGATGGGATCCGTATAAGGCGCATATCGCGCCAGTAAATCCTGAAACGCCTTCCAGAATTCCTGATGCCCAGTCGTAAGATCGTGATCAAGATCAGACGCAGGCCGGCCCGCGTCATCGGGGTATTTGGATGGAGAATCGATACCGTCGCGCCAGCGCGAGAAAGCCCATGTTAGGAATGAGGCGATGAACAATGCGGTCAGTAACGTGCGCGCACGAAGCAGGAATCGTGGGATGACCATGTCGGCGGCTTGGCAGGGTCCTGGAGCTCCGCACCTGCCAACACCTGGACCCGCTAGTTCGGAGAAGCTGAAATCGGCGCGGGATGGTTCATGCGCGACTCTGTGGCGCGTGCATCAGAGAGTTGGGTATGGCTTGTGTTACAGAGAAAGGGTTTCTCGAGGGAGAATGTTCCCGAGTTTCTCTGGGTTTAATAACAAATGAAACACTAGGCGTACCAAGGGGCCGTGGTGGAGCACGGACCCACTTGAGGCACGTCAACGGCGATAAGCTATCGAGCCTGTATACAAACTCTATATGGACTCTATACAGGCGTGAATAGTGCTGGGGAACTAGATAGTCTGGTTCTGGGTTAGAGATCAACTCAATCCATTAGCAAGTTTAACTTTGCATACACCTGAGTATTTTGGGAGACCTCGGACCCTATTTCGAAACATATCTTTCTGATTGCAAAACATAGATGTAAGAATATCTCTAGGGATCTTTTTTGAAGTACTTACCCATGCATAATGAAATTCGAAAAATTAGCATCTGACTCTCATTCAGGCTTAGTAGGGGCTATTCGAGTCTACCGATGGGCAACAATTATCAACGCAACCTCAGCTAGTTGTAGATTACTGATATTGTGAATCCAGATCACCCTTCATAAACATTCCCCTTGAACTATCTTCTAGAATGGGGTTGAAGGCACCCGTGGATGCCCAGAGCTCACGGGGTATTGGTCAGTCCTCTAAATATGTACATGTAGTACTGCGAGTTACCCTAAATGGTGAGCGCCATGTGGCCTATATCATATCAGCTTCATATGTACGCTTATTACACAGCCGGCAGCCTCTACCATCTATGACATAGGTAATCACCCATCACTGATCATGTCATGAACAGGTTTGTGCTCCGAGGCTGCTAGTTTGGGCACCATCTTCCATTGGGCACTTATGTTGGTCGTTGTACCAAAGCGCGATGGATTCCAAGATGGAGCATTAAAGTGTCTAGTATGGTAATGGCATAGGTAACACACGACAAGCTACAGTTTCGCTAAAAGAAAAAGACAGGACATCGAAGGTACATAGTCATCTAAATTTTGGAGTTTTGATTCGGGAGTGACCAAGTCTCCATTGGTTTCAAGCTCCCGAATCGTATGATATTCTACATAACAATCGAGTGTCATAATCACCTCCGTAATATGCATAAAATCTAGCCCATCGAGCACCATACCTGCTACCCCTTCATCGTCTTCGTTTCTGCCAGTGTCGCAGTTGTGATCTGTCTGTGGAGTGCTAACCCGAATCTGGCCCTCACAGAAAGGGCTGGATCAGGGAATTGGTTTCTTCCATCTTCACAGACACCTACCCCATCAACCTGGCTCAATCCTTGAATTGGCTTGGTGTATGAAAAATGGCTCTTCGCATCAAGTTTGTCTGAGAAAGTAGGCCTGAATTCCGAATCGAAACGTATACGCGTACCTGTACAGTAACATGTAGACCGACGAATTGTGCCATTTTGATGCGGATGTGGGACCACCCATAGGCCTGCTGAGCAAGTATTTTCTCCGATAGCTCCTTTTGTTTCTTGGCAGGGGCAATTAATGCGATAGAAAAATAACTGCAGACTGAATAATGAAGCGAAGCTTACTGACGAGGATCTGCGCTGCTTCCGACGTGTTGAAGATTTTTGAATCCAAATGTTCAATTTAACGTGTACAGCAGATTGGAGAATGTGCTAGAGAGAGGGGGTTATTCACAGCCTTATCTCTTTCTTAAATTAATGATACTCACCAGGTCTTCCAGTGATCATCCGGAAACAACTGAATCAAGGCGAGAGGCGGCGCCTCAAGCTCCATACGAGGAACCTTTGTAAGCAATTTGACTTCGAGAGTATTTTCAGAAGATCCAGGACGAAACTTTCTTCCCACGCCACCGAACTCGCAATTGTGGAGGTGGCTTGCTGCTATCGAGATTCATAATTCTGTCGAGACATCCTACTTCATCATGTGTTGCCGTGAACCGATTATCCGCCTCAGATGCCCTAAGCTAAAGGGACCCATTGACTTGCTAATAGTAGAATAACAATTCTTGTTTTGGGCTCAGGCAACAAATCAAGTTGGACACTGAAGGAAGGAGGGCCCGAGCAAATATGTACAGAGTGCAAATATGACCAGGTTTATTTTTAGATGTAATAATGCAGCTGTATGAGGGTTGACCAGTGATAATCCTGCGTAAGTACTAGAATAAGCTGCATGTTGCGTATTTGGGGCCATTATAGGACGCTAGAGGGTGCAAGTAAATGTTGTGAAGCGAGGTCAACAGAATAGAAATACCGCCCTATGAGCTTTTTCAGGGAACCTCGGGATGTATACATATGCCATACATTTGCAGATGAGAGTGAACATCTGACGCGCTGGCGACAATTACTCTCTATTCAAGTCCTAATGTTCGCTGGCTGTGCAGAGCAAGACAGGTAAACTATGACGTCATTCTAGCCCCATTACCACCACCTTTCCATTTTGGGTTGTATGCTGCGCTTAACTTTAGGGGTCCAAAATCAGTGCACTGCCATGAATACGAGCCGCAAGTATGATGCCAGGGTGCAGACCCCCTGTCTCCTATAATTTATCCTCCTCAGGGCATATCTATACCTGATTGGCTTACTGCAGATTTTCTGCGCCCTCTTAATCGACGAGAGGTCGCCTCGACGAACCATAAAAGGCTAGGGCAATTGCTTGGCCTACGTCTATAGATTTGGCATGCCCCAGTTCGGTAAAACTGCGCCTTGGAGATGCATGAACAATGAGATATAAAATCAACTAGATACCCTAGAGGTTCCGAATAAACTATTCATATATTCTGGGAAGCCATCCTGTCTTATACGACTGAAAAAACCATCAAAACTACTATGTTTGTTCATAATCTCCTGGCTGGACTTGTGCTGGGATGCACAATTGGCTCAGCAGAGCGTATTGTTGCAACATCCGAAGTTCCTCTCATCGGCCCCTCCTTCATCTCCAATTTCGATCCTTCCAATTCGAGCGCAATTCAAAATGCCAAAGCAGAGATTCCTGGCCTAATTGATACCCTCTTCTCGGAAGGCACTCTTAATCGCACGGACCTGGCATTTTCTATTGATGTGTTCTCAGCCGCAACAAATGGCTCAATCTATAGCTATTCGCACGTTGGAGACAATGCTAAGAAGGCGTTGACGTCCGGAGTCCTCAATGATAAGACAATATCGCGCATTGGAAGTGTGACAAAGCTCTTCACTGTCTACGCGATTATTGCTAAGGCTGGTATCGAAATCTTCAGTCATCCTGTGACGCGGTATCTGCCTGAGCTTGCCGGTAACTCATCGCATGATCCACTGGAGAGAATCAGTTGGGACGATATTACGGTTGGTGCGCTTGCATCTCAACAGGCTGGCTCAGGCGGCATTGCAGGTACGTAATACCATGAGAATTCTGATTACAGCTGCTGATTGCTATCTTAGACTTCTTGAAAGAATATGCGAAGCCAGATGATCCTTTTAACTTTGCACCTGAAGGTAATCATCAGATTGCTTTTATCACCTAGAATACCTCTAACCTGTGCTCTAGAGCTCTTCAAATTCATGCGAGATGAGAAAATGCCTGTTATATCTCCATTCAGAAATGCCATATATTCCGATGGTGGGTTTGCTATTCTGGGGCAGGTTCTTGCGCGTCTGTCAGGACAGAACTTCACAGAAGCGATCCAACAAGTTCTCTTTGAGCCGCTGGGGCTGAAGAGCATGTCGACGAAAGTTCCAACGGGCAAGGGCGTCAATTCTATTGATCGTTCCATCATTTCCAAGTCATCATCATGGGGATTGGACCTCGAAATCGTCGCATCGTACGTTTCCTCCTTTGTTTACCTCATACCTGGAGGATCACCGACTGATACCGTACAGAACTGGCAGCATTTACTCTAACGGCGCAGACCTTCGCGCCGCGGGCCTTTCCATATTAAACTCGGAGCTTCTTTGTTCGGCAACAACATCAGAATGGATGAAGCCTCGAAGCGGTACGGGTAGCTTAGTCGAGCTTGTCGGGGCACCATGGGAAATCTCCCGCCTGGAAATCCCCGTTACCCCGGGGTCGAACCGCACACGAATCTCAGATCTCTATACAAAGGCCGGTGGCAATGGCGATTACACAGCCATTTTTGCCCTTTCGCCCGACCACGGTATTGGCTACTCTATCTTGGTCGCCGGCGAGACTGCTACGCCGGCACGTTGGCCCCTACGCGATTTGGTTGGCGAAACTTTCATTCCTGCTACAGAGCATGCGGCTGCGGAAAATGCCAAGCTCAATTTGGCGGGGAATTTTGTGGATGAGACTTCATCCGGTACTAACCTTACGTTGACCGTTGACGAAGGCCGTCCAGGGCTTGGGTTGGCATCATTCTGGGTCAAAGGCGTCAACGGCCGCGATAGCCCACATTGGCGCCTATATCCCACTGGGCTTAATTCATACTCGAGATCTTTGTCGTCTTTGTATCGAAGCAATGGCACGATGCGTGTGGCGCATCGTATGGCGGAGCCGGAGCCTCCGATGAAGCCCCGTGCCGCTGTAGAGGGTGGGAAGGGAGGATTATTTGATAATTCGTTTACCTGGATGAATCTTGACTTTGCTGGCCCTACTGATGAGTTCATTTTTAACTTGATTGATGGCAAACTTGTCAGTGTCGAGCTTCCAATTACGGGCATTGTTTTGAAGCGGGTTAACTAGATTTTTGTTATGCAATACTCTTAGCTTTTATACTATGTCCAATTCACTTCGATATAAGCTGGTATCTTGGGAGAGTATATGATGAGCCAGGAGGTTGAAAATGGAAGAAAGCCTGTTGTTTCGTGGCGTAAGTATTCGGGTCCATCAATCTCGCATCTGTGGTTCAGGAAAGACAGACTCCCAGACAATTATGTAAAGCTTACATAGTTTTGATTCGTAAAGCCCTCAAAGATGAGAGATCGCGGTTTGTATTGCCAGGCTTGGATTAGCTCTAGACTTCAACCACATTAGCCGATGTAGTGAGTCGTGTGTGGAATTGAATTTGAATTTGAAACAAATAACTAGTTAAATCACATGTGACTACTGCTTCGTGCTTGAAAGTATTGTTCTGAATTAATTTGAATCATGTCACATTTAAGCATACAACGTGGTCAAGGTTGGATTCACCGTGTCCAGCGCAGTGAAGCTACAATGGCCTTTATCATCATCGATTGTATCATCTGCATGATCTATCACATAATTCGGCGGCTCCGTCGTTTGTCCCCACCTGATCGGACCCAGAGCTGCAATGCCCAGATTTTCACCCCTAGGTGGATGACATGCAGCACTGATTGCAGCGCTACAGGCCCCAGCCAGCGGCATGTTGGATTTGAGCCTTTTGCAGCTCAGCAGAATCATGAGAAATACCAGCAAAGACGAAACAAGAATTGACAAAAAAACGGGTAAGGGCGAGTAGCCAAGAGAACTGACTTCAAGCCTATAGTCTGCCTCTCCCTGGACATTGTATGAGATCACCAAGACGTAGTATAAACTCTGCGAGATCAACCAATGTAGAAGCATGTGCAGAAGCAATAGGGGCACGCCATATTGGTAAGGTATACTCAGCCAATAAGTTGACTTCTGCTTGCTACCTTTCACGGGACGGGTGACCCGGAGCGGTTTGCGAGTGACACCGTAAGAGCTATACTCTGCCGCTGCCAGCATGTCGGTGACAATGTTGTTTAAGCAGTAATAGCTCACTGTGAGCAGCAACTGTGGTATGTTGGCTATAACCACTGAGCCAATCAAAGATTCCGAGCTTATGTCAAGGGTATTGTAATTGCTTGAACCGAGCCCTTCATCCCACCATTCACTAAGGAGGCCAGTTGAGAGTGAAGCGAAACCATCGGTCCTAATTGCCATTTCCATGAGAAGTCCTGCTACTGTTATACCTGATAAACACCTAAGTCAGTCGAGTTAGTATTTTCCCAAATTGAACAGGGAAGCTGGGCTTACAAAAAAAGCGTACCCGCCCATCGCTTCTTGCTTGGCACTTGCGCATACCACTTGTGTTGCACGAGTTTCTTGTATGTGATCCCCTCACGCGGTGCATTCTGCTCCAAGGGTTCAAGTAATGTGCTCGAGCTTTTCGGTTTGCGGGAGGAAGCCCAGAGTCCGCGGGAGACATCACTCTTGGAAATCCAGCACATACCCTCCGTGGTGGGATCTGGCCTTGTCACAAAAGATGCCACCGCGTCGCCTAAAACAAGAAGAGGCACCGATCGAGAGTGACTGATACGAGCTGCGAAGAACATCGCGATCACTTTTGCCAGCGCACAGAGAGAAACGACAATGCAAATCGTTGGGCTGTAGAGCAGTTGGCATTTTTCCTCCGCGGAAATTTGGATGCAATCATGTGCGGTGTACGTGTTACTAACATCATAGCCGGGATCATTGTCAACAACAGCGCATGTCTCGTTTTGAGTGGCATTGAAATGAAATGCATTGCCCAGAAGTCTTGTTTCTGCCGAGCTGGTCGCATTCGTCATCCAAAAGGTCTCGTCGGCGGCATCAGCTCTACCGCTAGCTGAATTGAATTGAATTGTCAGGTTGCCTCCATCTTTCACCGACAGCTCTTTGACAAGAACCATGAGTGCTTTTATTCCCGCGGCGTTCTTATTGTTGAGAACATCCGTGCATGTGTCCAAGCTGAGGTGAGTAAAATTGCCTGCTGCAATCTCTGAGGAAAATTGTTTCCAGGTATAACTTCCAACCCCGAAATATGTAGCAGCGGTTTGGAAGCAATTTTCAAGGGTAGGAGTGGTCAAATTCATAATGTTATCAGCCGTAAGATCGTGCGGTCCAACATATACCACAAATTCGTTTGTGGCAATGGACTCAAAGACCATGGAGTTGTAACTAAAACACGCATTAGCCATATTACCAGGATCCAACCATTAATACATACAGGATGTGGAACGGCGTAGCTGTAATCAACAAGATAATCCACAGGGCAACGCGACGTCGACTGATTTTGAACAGATTCCTGATGCTCGCAGTGCCAATATCGAGCCATTCACCCTTCGCATGACACGCATCGACCTCCTCTCTGGTCGGCGCAACAAGAGATTGCATGCAGTAGTTGCTAGCGCCCAGAATACTCGTGCTCAAAGCGTTGATGATCAAATGAAGAGCAATGTCCCAATTTTTGACGGCGGTACAGCTCCCTCGGTAGACGATCTTGGAGCCTGCTAACTCAGAGCCGGCGTCATACCTTGAGGACAGCCCAGCTGCCACACATATGGAAATCACGTTGATCAAAAATACACAGGCTCCGACTCGGGCACAGTAGTAGACACCGGTGATCCAGCGAGGGACCTGGCCTGCATGTGGCGGCGGAGATTGTCCTTGCCAGCCATTAAATGAGAACGCGAAAGCAGGTTTGGACGGATGAACTGTAATAAGTTCAACTTCGCTCTCACTCAGGGTGGGGTGCGAAGCTCCGTGGTAGCGCGGGCCAAAGAGGAAAGACAGAGCGCGTCCCCATATTCGCCTTACCCCCTTTTCCATCGTCGAGGCCCTCACGGCATTGAGTTCTAGTCCAATTGAGTCCCAGTAGTCGCGAGTTTAAGTGCAGATTGACGGCCCTATCGTTGGCGGTGGCTTCATTCTTCAGGGGCGAAATTTTGCGGCGCGATGAGGCCGCAAGGTCGGCTTTGACCGGGTGGACACTTTCGCGCGGTGTGGCTTAACTGAAGTGGCTTGATTAGCGTGTATCCAAGGCCAAAATTATACCTGAGCGATAGCGAAGCTATAAAAGCTATTGTATATGGTTCCCAGAATTGACTCGCTGATTTCCAAGATTGTCGCGCTTTTCGTAGCTGTGTGGGGGGCCAATTTCGGAAGCAGCCCCGGTCTAATTTCGGATTTAGTCAAGAATTTATCAGGACTATAGTAAAGATCTGAGAGTATCTCGCAGGATGTCTTTGGAATCAGTAGAAATGCAACTTCATTCGATCATCGAAATGGCGATAGCAACGGCACACGGAATTGAAGGGCTCTGTCAAACTAGAATCAAAAGGTGCCCATATCGTTTCACTTAGTCATGGGATGCCGAGCTTATTGAGTAAGAATGCCTAGGGACCTTATCCCTCACGAATTGTATAATGAAACCACCAGGATCTGGAATATGAGAAGCTCAGGGATCAGGTACATCATTTCAGCCCCAACGTTTGAAACTTCCAAGTACTCTCAACTCGAATTGAAGAAGAAAAGGGAAGAAAAGAAGGCATGTGAGTGAGTGAGGCAGTTGTTGTGATAGAGAGTGAGGGGAATGCGTGCTGGGTTCTATCAGGCTGTGGCTTAGCTACAACTCTCACTTGTGGCATCTTGCTTTCTTTTCGATATGCAGACAAATGCCAAGCAGAAACAGCGTTCTCAGAAACGAGCATTTTCCATATCTCCAATCAAAAGCACTTACTATCTGAGCAGCAAAGTCCAGATCAAACGGCAATGACGTCAAATTAAATTGTAGAAACACTCTTCACCTCGTGTTATCATCGCCGAGCTTATAAGTTCAATAAGCTGGAGGAGCCAGTCGTAATCCTTCTCAATCAGTGCCTCTTCTAAAGCCCCAACACGTCTTTCTTACTGTTTCAATATCAGCTTACCCAAATCCATCATGAATCCAATCGAGGAAGCCACGCGTCCAAATGTGCCTTTGCATTGAGAACAAGCCAAATCCCTCGCCCATAGGTACGACAGATGAGACGATAGCCGGCACGAAACTTGGCGAAGCGGCAACGCATAGCTAATGGATGGTTCTAGAGCCCGCAGTTCGAAGTCGGCACACTGTGCGAACCTAGGATGAGAGTCTTGAAAGATACTTGACGTTACAGAAAGCTGTACGATGCTTTCTGATTCGGTCGGTGTTGGGAGGTAAATTGAAACGCCGTGAAAATAATCAACACCTTGACCAACTATGTTACAGTAAGCTGTAAAGTGTTCAGAAGACTATTTGGGCTAACACGCTTATACAGTTCCTTAACTGAGGTTTTATGGTGGTCGGTGTTTGCTCTGCGATCTAACACATTAGTCTACAATAACCATAACCAAGTGTTTGGGTATCGAGTTTTCATTTTTCGTGTTCGCTTTATTTGCATGGCTGCTGCAGAATCGGCTAACCTTCCTTCGTGGACGACTATCAATGCTATTCACAACCACTCCGCTACTTGGCCTACTCCGGACTTCCCAAATGGTCCTGCAAAAACATTCGATCCCTGGAGCGCATTGGCAAACGGCTGAAATCGCCGAGTTGCAGGCTCTAGAGTATGCAGAGTGAGCACGACAACGGCTGCCTATGGCTGAGGGTGAGGCAGTGATTACATGTTGTCTGGGTGCTGTTTTGGAAAAGAAAAATGGACAGAGAAAAAAGTGAGATTATCTGTGTATTGTGCTATTTGTACATGCATGTGTTCAATCCCTAGAGTTTTCCGAGCTCTGGCTGTGCTCGTCTTCTTCCAGAATGGTCGAGGACTGGTAATTGTCCCGCCATTTGGTCTCCCAATCAAAAGGCGAATCATCTTGCTCTATTAAGTTGGCAGTGGGCTCGGACTTTGTTGACGGAAGTCGCAGGAGCTGCGATAAGGTATCATCCATGTAATAGAGCACCAGACCTGCAGTGACTCCTGTGAGCACCGCTCCAGTCATGAAATAGAGAATTGCCTGTGATAGAATGAGCTACTAATAACGTCTAGTTTGGCAAGAATATATGGATGAATACCTCGAATTTGACCAGGAGGCGAAGCGGAAGCAACACTATCGAGAGAAGGCCGCGTCCCAGAAAAAGCAACGGGGAGGCTAGGAAAAGGAGGAGATACAACAGATAGTATATCAGTCGTTTCGTGAGGTAGAATAGCGTGCCAAGTACCAGTAGTAGGCCATCGACGGCTGAACCCACATCCATGGTCCAAGCTATGGGGAAGACGTCCAGGGCTCCAGCTCCAGGAGAAGGAATCCGGGGAAGCCGAGTTATTCCCGCTAGCCCTAAGCCCTAACATTCCTAATTCGATATCCGGCGTCATCGGACCTACAACGTTGAGGCAAGTGCAGCGACCATCTTCTCTTGCTCGCTCCTTCGGCTCCATGCTGCTAGCATAGCGGCTCTTGTCCTCAATCCTCTTCTCATCGACCCCCTTTTACCTCGGCAACCGACCATTTCCTAATCCGCGCCCTCTACCCCGCCTTCAATGGGCAACAACCCGTCTAAGGCCGGCGAAGCGCCGGGCCATATCCCTCAAGCTCATGCCCCTGGCGACCGAAGAGTGGTCCGTCGTCCCTCTCTCAATGCAATTCCGACACAGAAAGCCGTCCCGGCCGACCCTTCCGCCACCAGAGAGACAGCCGCCGGTCACCCTGCAGCTTACAAGGGCATCGCCCAACAGCGGCTCCAGTCCCGAAATGCCGGTGATTCTCCGACTGGAAAACCGACTAGACCCGAAAGACCAGATGACAGCAGATCTGAATATCCACAAGGCAAGGACATTCCCTCGCGCGACACCTCCAACCCGGTACAGGTCCCCGTCTCGCGACAGTCTGCAGAGCGCGATACGATGGCACCTTCAGCCCCGCCCATGAACTCGTACTATAGCGCCTCACAACACCTGCAGCGTCCCCCGCGCTTGCCATTGCCCATTGGTGATGCTAACACCATCCCTGGCTCCCCCATTATGGGACCGGAAGATTCCCATATTCAATCGATGCCTGCGGACCGCGTGATGGATGATCACTTGGGTTCTGAGGCTACCAACCCCAGCAATACTACAACAGAAGGAGATGAGGGCGGGGACGAGCTCCAGCCGTATGCGGCCAGTGGAGTCGGCAAGGCAGTGCCCACCGTCATCGAATGGAATGCACCCGGACAAAAGGTCTACGTGACCGGAACATTCGTCAACTGGGAAAAGAAATTTAAGCTGCACAGAAGGTATGCATCCCATCTTTGGAGATTTTTCCGGTTATAATTGGGAGGCGTCTGGCTAATGTAAACTAGCGAGAGTGGCTCCTTGATGACGACAACATTGAACTTGCGTCCTGGTACGCATCACCTAAAGTTCATTGTCGACGGAGAAATGCGGGCTTCGGATACTCTTCCCACCGCCGTCGATTTTACGAACCACCTGGTCAACTATGTTGAGATCAGCGCCGATGATGCCACCCGGGAGAGCGACAAGTCTGCTGCTACCCCTGGGGACCGCACTTCTCAGTCGGAGCAGGACAGTTCCAAAGTTGGCCCAGAGGATGAGGAACCTCCGAAGAAAGAGATTGAAGAAGAAGTTCCTCCGGGCGATTTTGGTAGTGCCATTCCCCAGTTTCTCGCTGACTTGGACTTGGAGGAAGACCACCCAGCCTATACCCAGGCTGCTAATGTCATTGGGGACACTGCGACTCCTCCCAGTCTGCCTCTGTTCTTGGGTAAATCAATTCTTAACAGCACCACCCCGACTAAGGATGACAGCAGTGTTTTGAACTATCCCAACCATACTGTCTTGAACCATCTTGCTACTAGCAGCATCAAGAATGGCGTTCTTGCTACAAGTGTCACGACCAGATATAAGCGCAAGGTAAAACAATCTATCGTATTTCCTCTATCCACCTTTCTGACGTTCTGCAGTATGTTACAACCATCTTGTACAAACCCACCAGCCATATCACCGGGGAGTGAGTAACGCCTGGCGCATGAAACGGCCACTCTTCGCATGGGTACAGTCTGCAAATAATTTTTCAGAAGAGTCCACATTTGGACACTCCCTTGGATCCCGACATATCATACCTCCCGGGATCAGACTAGCATTGTCGCACCTCATGTGTATGCAGAATCAGCCGCTACTCACACCAGACCACTTTATCAAGAAATAGGGAGATGCCGAAAAGAACCAGAGCATCGCTCACATACTGCATGATATTCCAAGGCGTTGCTTCAATGGGAGGCTTTTGTAGGAGTCCAGACTTCGGTCATGCACATCAGATTTACTTCAACCCTGCACGAGAAGATATTTACCTTGCAAGGCTTTACAGTTCTACTTCGACGTGATTAATTTGAACTCAATTGGTGGATCGTGAATCCCCAACCCTTGGAAATCATTTGGCCGAACTCCATATAGGATGCTGAACCTGGATATGCTCATTTCGTAACACATAATAGATCTTTTAAATACCCATTTTAATCATCCCGCCACTTCACCCACACCTCATCCGTTCGGAAGCGCTGGGTACAAATAGTGTCCTTAAGCGGAGTATTCAAACCCATCTTATGTGCCAGCATTCCAGCCTGGGCAATCATGATACCGTTATCAATGCAGAAGCGCTCATCCGTGGCAAAGACACTGCCACCGCGATCCCGAGCCATGATACCCATCATCTCCTGCAATCGCTCATTGCAGCCCACACCACCAACAATAAGCACCTCCTTAGAGCCAACATGGGCCATTGCACGTTCTGTAATCTCCACGAGCATTGAAAATACAGTTTCCTGTAATGAGAAGCAGAGATCCGCACGAGTAGGCTTAGCATCCAGGTCCTGACTCTCTTCCGTATTCAAGGCACTTTTCTCCGCGTCTAGCTTGGCCTGCTCCGAGCCACCTAATCCATATGTGGCAGCTAGTCCATCGCTTGCCGCAAGAATCCCGGAGAAAGAGCAATCCATGCCTTTCACCACGTATGGGAGGTCCACTAGCCGCTTGCCCTGCTTCGCAAGCTGCTCGATATTATACCCGGGAAAGGGATCATTAGGAATGTGTAGCGTGCGCGCGAACCGGTCCAGACAGTTGCCCACCGCGATATCGAGAGTCTCGCCAAAAATACGGTATCGCTGGGAGCTATACGCGATCACTTGTGTGTTTCCGCCGGAGACGTAGAGGACGACGGGGTTCGAAGCGCCAGTAATCAGACGGCCCATTTCGATATCTAGTCGAGTCAGCTAAGTTCTAAGAAGGAAGCATTTGCGTGAAACATACGTCCAACACAGTGATTTACCCCGACCAATTTCTTTCCCCAAAGCAGACTCATCATCCGCGCTGCGATAGCCACGCTCTGTAGCGGGGCACCCATGCCAGGACCTTGTGTGAAGCAAATACAGTCCACATCGTCCACTGTCACTTTCGCCTCCTTCAGTGCATCCTTCACTAGCTTCACCACCCACGCACGATGGTGTCGAGCCGTGTCCTTGGGCAGGAAACCCTCGCCTGGTGGGGCGTTGTATGTGTGACGGACATTGGCAAGGACCTTCGGCTCGCTGCCGTCTTCTGGGTGCAGCATGATGCCAATGCCGACCTTGTTGGCCGAGCCTTCCATTCCAATACCGATCATGATGCCTTTCGTGTCTCGTGTCTGGGAAAAATGACTGAAAAGTCGCAAAATAAAGTGACGGACATGGTTTTCGTTATCAAACTTATCGGGCTAAAAGCGGCACTCCCGTTTCTCCGAACCAGCTCCAATCTACTTCCCTTTTCCCTTTTACTTTTGCCTCTTTTTTGTTTTCTTCCCACGCTTTCTTTTTCCCTTTCCCTTTTCCCTTTCACGGTACTCGATTTCTTGTATGTTTGTCTCATACATACACTAGTCATCTCTCTCCCTCCCTATTCACAAGGACATAATCACAATGTCCTCTTCGGCCCACTTCCCAGATTCCCAAAGCTTCCAGCAACAGTCAAACGAATTCGTCTTTTGGCTCGAAGCAAACCCAGGCGTCAAGGTCAATCCGAAGATCCTCCTCGCAGATCTCAGATCAAGCGGCGCAGGCCGAGGTGTCGGTAAGATGATCCCTCCGCCCACCACGCACATTTCAGCCCGGTGGAGCGTGCAATAAAAAAGCCCCAAGAAAACGCATATCTGACTGTTTTTCTTCGAAAATATAGTAGCCCGATCTAATATATCCGAGGGTGAAGAACTTTTCTCAATCCCGCGCACCCTGATCCTCGCCGTCCAAAATTCCCAGCTGAAGACCCTGCTCCCTCAGGATGTCGAAGCCCTCGGTCCTTGGCTTTCACTCATGCTAGTCATGATCTATGAATATCTACAAGGCAACCAGTCAAGATGGACACCTTATTTCCGTGTTCTACCTAGTCGTTTCGATACGCTTATGTTCTGGTCTCAGGCGGAGTTGGCGGAATTGCAGGCTAGTGCCATTGTTGACAAGATCGGCAAGCAGAGCGCTGATGAGTCTATTCTCAGTTCTATTGCGCCTATCGTGAGGGCGAATCCTAATCTTTTCCCTCCTATTAATGGACTTTCCTCGTATGAGGGCGAGAATGGTACTGCGACGCTGCTTGAGCTAGCGCACGTGATGGGGTCGCTTATCATGGCTTATGCTTTTGATATTGAGAAGTCTGAGGACGATGATGATGAGCCTGAGGATGAGAACGATGGTTATATGACCGATGATGAGGAGGAGCAGCTTTCTAAGGGCATGGTCCCGCTGGCTGATCTTCTCAATGCGGATGCGGACCGGAACAACGTGAGTTTTAACATACTTTCCCTAGTAGAGTTAAATGCTTACAATTGGTTTAGGCCCGTCTCTATCAGGAAGAAGAATCTCTGGTCATGAAAGCCATCAAGCCCATCCAGGAGGGTGAAGAAATCTTCAACGACTACGGAGAAATTCCTCGCGCAGATCTGCTCCGCCGATACGGCTACGTGACAGACAACTACGCCTCATTTGATGTGATCGAGTTCTCTCTTGCGGACATCTGCCAAGCGGCCGGTCTTCCCAATAGCGACGTTGACTCTCAGCCCAGACTTCAGCTACTCGAAAAACACGACCTTCTTGATGACGGCTGGGTGATTCCCCGCCCATCCCCCAACGACACATTGGAGGACATCCTCCCAATGGAGCTCGTCGCCTTGCTCACCACGCTTTGTCAGTCTCCAGAAGAATTTGAGCAGCGCCTCCTAAAGAACAAGCCTCCCAAGCCATCTATGGACACTCCTCAGGCTGGTCTTCTTTACAAGCTCCTCCAGGCTAAGCAGTCGCATTACGCCACTTCTCTCGCTCACGACATGCAGCTCCTGTCGAGTCTGACTCCCCCACAAGCCTCCGCCGAACTGGAAGGTTCATCCAGGCGCCTCAAAATGGCTCTCCAGGTCCGCATTGGCGAGAAAGAAGTTCTTCAAGCTCTCCAGGGCATGCTCAGCACTTCTGCCAGCAACGGGTCCTTGAAGCGTTCTGCCAATGACGACCATGACTCGAGACAGTCCAAGTCTGCGCGGGTCTAATTTAATATTCCTTCTCAGCGATCTGTTTTACCAGCGACATTGTCATCATCCCAACCGACTCGATACGAGCGACGAAGTTTTTTGCATAACTGCATAAGTGATTATATTTCTGTTAGATTTGGAAGTCTTTTTTTCTGCCTTTCTCCCGTTCTTTCATCATCACAGGCATCATAACTTCGGTTATCCATCATACAAAAGGCCTCCAGCGGCCATGCTCGTCCCCCGTGAAAAATAATATGTACACTAACAAGTACAGAACGTCAACAGGCTGGCAGAGAATCCCCAGCAAGCCGAGCGCGATCTGCGTCGGAAAAGTTGAGGGGGAGGAGCAAGAAGGGAGGTGAGGTGCGGTAAAGGAGAAAAAGAAACAAGGCCGGGCTCCGTCAAATCCCTTCGTCGCCGAGATCATCAAAACATGAGGGGTGGTACTAAAACTACAAGGGGGGAAAAGCGACGAAGGGATGTCGAAAGCAACACACGAAACGCCCGCCAAATGCTGAAAAAACGAACACAAAAACAACAAGGGCCGTTCAAGCCTCGGGGGCGGCAACGACATTGGGACCGGGGTTTTGTTGCGATCCGGATTGATCAACCTGCAATCGTCGGACCTGGGCTGCTTGAGCTTGCGCCTGCGCATGTGCTTGAGCAGCCACTGCGGCTTGTTCGCGCACCTTGGCCACCGTGATGGCGCGGTGCTGCATGATCTGGATGCTGAATGGATCCGTATCATAGACAGGTTCGTCGTCGGAATCTTCCTGGTCAAACTTGAATCGGTCTGCTTTGAGCGGATCCAGCTCGGTTTTACAACGATATGCTAGGTTGCGGCGATCGATTAGCAGCCTGCCTCCACGACCCACGCGCCGCCGGAATGAGGGCATGCGATGGGGCTCGCTGTGTAACTCTAGGGCTCGCGAGGCGAGTTTCTCGCGCGAGTGGAGTGGGCTTGTCATGTCCAATGCGGTGTCCATCATATCGCCAGAAGACTCTGATGATGGGGGAGTGGGGAGTTGCGCTGTGAACGCGGGTCGGAACGCTGCTGTGTCGAACGTTCGCTCTGGGGATGGGGAAAGAGGTGCTCGTGTGAGATCCACATAGCCCTCGTTCCACTTGATGTGCTTGGCGATGTTCGCTTTGATATCGCGCAAGATCTCGTTCTCCTTCTCGGCCTGGACATCCTCCAGCAACTGCAAATCCTCTGCACCCTGGAGACCAGGCTTGAGAGGCAGACGAAGTTGAGGAGCGTTGGGACGACCCGGTTGGAATTCTGGCTTCTTTTTGGGCTGTGGGAAACGAGTCAGTTCATATCCAATGGGTGACTTGTCCGGGGTGGCATCAATTACCTTCTGGTTGATGAGATCCTCGTCATCGTCCTTGATGTTCAGCTTGCGCTTCATATCACGGACCTCCGCACGTTCAATGAAGAGCTTCCGCTCCATCGCGATCATCTCCTTGCGAGCAACCTCACGCTGGCGCACCAGCGCAACGATTTGCCGTGCATCTTCAAGCTCTTTACGAAGGCGCCGAAGCTTCTCGGCACTCTGGGCGTCTCGGCCACGAGTCTTGCGAATCTGGCGGACCTCACGCCGACGGAAACAGACATACGGGTCACTGTCATCGGTATCTTGGCCGGTCTCAAACTGCAAAGCGGTCAGCATGTGTAACTTTGGGCGCACGTTACGACAGCATTGTTTGACATACCTTGAGGCTTGGCGCTATCGGGTGGTTCTCCGTCTCGAGTCGGCGCAACTTCCAGTGCTCATAAATGTCCTTGGCGAATCGCTTTACACTTTCCTCTACGGCGGCGTCCATGGCCTCTTCCATATCTGTAAATGACAGTACCGGCGGGCTGTCCACAGCCGCATATGGCTGCTTCGTTTGCGCGGTCTCCTCGAAGAAGTTCATGGTGGCCTCAAAGTCATCTTCGGAACATTGTTGTGATGGGTCTCGCTTGGAGTTGAAGATCTTAAGGAAGACATCATCCTCCTCCGTCATGTTATACGGGCATCCACAACAGTCCTCGACAGTTGAGGAGAACCTGATATACGTCGCGGGTTGCGAGAAATAAGGCGGGTATAACTCATCATATCGCAGGTTACTGAGGATGGTTTCCGGGGTGGGAATATGCGCGTCATTAACCTTGCCTTGGGCAGTGAGATTGATGGCAACCTGCAAATGGAATTCCTACAGCGCGGCGCCAAAAGTCAGCATCGTGAAAATTTCGTGTCGCTTTCGTGATGTCATCACGTGACCTCATGCAGGGATGAGGCTAAAATTAGCGTAGGGCAGACGACTTACGGACTCCTCGGCCTTTTCCACGCCGGTTTCGATCTGTTGTAGGCTTGCCTGGAGGTCCTCGTCTAGTGCATCGATCTCATCCTCGCGGACAATGGGGATTGAGGCCTTGGATGTGAGCTTTTTGGGGCGCGTCCGGCCCATGCCCCCGTACCGAGTCATAGCGTCGGGCCACGCGATAGAGCAACGACCATGGGCGGAAGGGGGGGTAAAATAGAGGTCGATCGAAAGTTCAGATCATGCGCTTTCTCGTAGACGTATTTTTGTGATGAAAATCGACGGGGGAGGGGAGATAATGACAGGATTAAAACGAGGGGATCACGGCAGGCGGTTGGGTTGACGTTGTAATGTCACCCGGCGACCGCCTGTTTTGGAGCAGCGCAGCGCAGTGCACGGCCTCAGGGGCTCGCTTGTAACGCCCGATCCGGTTAGTGCGGGGCTGGGCATTATCAGATTGCTTCTCTGGGTTCTGTTATGATAGTCTCTCCACATTTTACCTTAAACCCTTCTTTACTCTTTTGGTCTTCTACTCTTCTACTCTTCGTAGTCGGGTCCTTACCTTTTCTTCCTCTCTTTCGACTTCCTGCTCTCTATCCCCTCACCCCTCTCCCCCCCCCCCTCTCCCCCCCCCTTCCTCACCGCCCTCCTACCGCCACCATGGACCAAACCTCCGAGCCTAATGCCGCCGCCATGCACAATGCCCAGCGTCGCCGCGGCTCCGTGGGCACCTCCCAGCTCTTCGATAACATCGTGTCCACCTCCAACTGTACGTTCGACTGACTCTATAACACGTGAACGTGCGCTGGACCAGATCTGGGACGGGGCTGACAAAGGGGAACAGTTAACCGAGACGAAGTGGATCGTCTGCGGAAACGTTTCATGAAGCTTGATAAGGTGCGCAGGGATTTGCATCCGTATACACATCACATTGCAACCTAACATGATACCCACAGGATGCCTCCGGCACTATCGACCGAGACGAGTTCCTCTCCCTGCCGCAGATCTCTTCCAACCCGCTAGCCACCAGGTTCGTTTGATCGCCCTCGCAGGGTGCCTATCGCAGGATACCAGTTAATGTGGGGTTTTTCTCAGAATGATTGCCATCTTCGACGAGGATGGTGGGGGTGACGTCGATTTCCAGGAGTTCGTCACTGGTCTGTCGGCCTTTAGCTCCAAGGGTAACAAGCTGGAGAAGTTGCGCTTCGCCTTCCGTGTTTACGATATCGACCGCGACGGATATATCTCCAACGGCGAGCTCTTCATCGTGCTCAAGATGATGGTCGGTAACAATCTGAAGGACATTCAGCTGCAGCAGATCGTCGACAAGACCATCATGGAAGCCGACCAGGATGGCGACGGCAAGATCAGCTTTGAAGAGTTTACTCATATGGTGGAGAGCACAGATGTGAACTTGAGCATGACTCTGAGTAGGTGCCTTTCCAGTGACAACCCCAGACTGGGTGCTGACGTACAAATCCAGACCAAATATAAGCGGCCGCAGCCATATTCCCCGAGTTCCAGCTTTTTCTTTTCCCTTTGCCGTGTTTCTATTTAGTGATGGTACGGTACGATTTGCACTATTTCATCACGGGGCCGACATGACATGACTCTATGACCAGCGTGTGTTTATGTAGTTTAGTTCTTCTCGAGGGAAACCTCCAATGATAACCTCAGTTCTCGAATTCGTGCGAGGCGTCTCAGCCTCATCCGTTCCCTCGGCCCAACCTCCGTCCGGACTGTAAGTCTCGTGGTCCTGCCAATCGCAACCGGGATGCTGGTCGCAGTCACAACACCAATCTCTCCACTGGCGCGACCTCCCTCGGAAGGACAGTGACACCGACAAAGGCCTTTCTTCGTTCTATATTTGGTATCCCTTGTAGTGGTGTTTTCACACTCTGTCCACTACTTCATGTCCTTCTTGTTTTTTTTCCGGTACGCGTTGGAATTCAGGGTCAGCTGACCACACGGGATGAGGCCCTGAATCAGTTGGAGCCCAAGTAGCTCGCAAAATCTGGATACACCCAGCTACCCACGAAACAAGTATCAGGTATCCAAATCAGCCCCCGCGGTGCAACTACTTCCCCGGGCCAGCTTCCGGACTCCTAGCCGGGGCCTATATACCGAGGCGCACAAGGCATCAAGATATCAGGCCGAGAAGCTCCATATCACACAATGGCATCATCCGCGAGCAGACTCAAGGGCCGGACTCGAAGGGCGGAGTCGTGAGTCGTGACACACCGGACCCTTCAACCCAATCCACTTGGGCGGTTATTGCCCCCTTTCTTCTGTCCCTTTCATGCCTATCTCGGTTTTAGGGCAGTTGGGCATCTGATGCATCATCTTAGGGCATTGCAAGTGAAACGCCGGGCGATGTAGATGGCGACCTCGGCGTGTCTCCATCCCAACCAGAGCGTCGGATCCAGTTGGGGGCGGAATGACAGGACGAATCCGGGATTTGACGTCCCTGAGCCCTGGATGGTGCATTTTGGCGTCCAATCGGGCAGACAATGCCCGATGGTGTCTGAGGGGGTGTGACGATTATTGTTTTTTTTTTTTGTTTCTTCGCAGCATCATTATTATTATTATTATTTCTTTTTCTTCTTTTCCCGTTTCGGGATTTCTATTATCTCGACTGATGTTTCCTCTTTCCTTCTCTTAGACTTTTTCCGGATTTCTCTCTCTTCAGCGTTTTCCCTCCCTTCACCATTTGTACTGTGCAGATATCCGCGAAAAAGGGGGCAAAGCAGCTGTCCGGGCAATCGGGCAATCTTCCGGAATGTCAACAAAAGAAAAGAAGAAGAGAAATTAGGGAATTTGGACCCGCCCCCCTTTATTTGTGTCGGGCTCTAATTATGAACTGCAGCTACCTAACCAGCCGGCTGGGTCGTGGACTTGACACTCGCGGTTTTGCTTTTTTGTCTTAGTGCTGATGCCAGGCTAGAGCAAGGGGAAAGCACGGAACAGTTTGGGGCACCGCCCACCCATGGATCGTCAGCCGCCCTCCCAGTAAGAGTTACACATACAAAACGAACCATAGTAGAAACCTGGTCTAGAAAGAAAATAGATAATGCGAAATAGAATAAAATATTATACAATAAAAAAATAAAAAATAAAAAAAAAAAGGAAAACACAAAGCACCTGACCCCCCTCAAGCTGAGACTCGCCCCCTTCTCCCAATTTTTATTTTTATTTCCCATCCTAGTGTCCTCACACATCATCCCTAGCTTTCGGGAACCCGCTAGGAACCAGCGCGCCGGGTTCCCGGGCGATCGCACAAGTACTGTACAGGCCCGAACGAGTTTAGGCGTAGATCACATCGATCGGCGGGCTAGCGCCATCCCCAAGTACATAGTCTCAAATACTAAGCCCGTTCCCAGGTACCCGGTTGAGATCGTGCCCCAGGCCCTAAGCTAAGGTTCTAGCTCCTGGGATGTGTCACTGGTATGTTCAGCTCCCTCCCTTTTTCTAGCGTCATCTTTCTCACGCATCAGATCCGTCATATTCTCTCTCTTTTCTGGCCCTTTCTGGCTTTTGCAAATCACTAGGGCTATCCACAGTGCTGGGACTTCCATCACGCTTCTGTTTCTATATATGGAGCCGTGCCTCCACTGCTGGTCTTGATCCTAGCCCTAAAATCCCATTATCCTTGCATTTCCCGGCTGTCAGATCTGATACTGGGCAACACTTAACAACACTCGGCAACACTTAACAACACTCGGCAACACTTGGACAAACGCTGAACATACTTGTTATCCATACTCTCTTCACGACAAACCCCAAGGACCTGAACTTAATTTTCGTGTGTCAATCACCTACAACATATCAAACCGTGGAGAGCCCTCAAGCTGGCCTCCTACGCAAGTCCACCGCTGCCCCCCACTCATTGGGCTCACGATCCACGCAGGTCCGTGTGGGACAGCCTAATGGATGGCGACCAACGCATGAAGCAGCAAGAGCGGTTGATGGCACGATCTGGCAATGGCAGCCGTGCAACCGATCAGTTGGAGGCGCCACGTGGAGACCCAACGGGGATATCGCAGGCCGAGCGAGCAATGTCCTACGACTACGGAAATACAGGCTTCCAAGACGTCTCGAACGTGTACGGGTTTCGACAGGCCCAAGGCCAGGGCCAGAACCTGAGCCAGAGCCAAAGCCGGCGACGAGAGCAGTTCGTGCCGTACGAGTCGGCCATGCTGTACGGCTTCGGTCAGCAGGGTCCAGCACCAGGACCCTTCGAGGCTGTTCCACAGTACCAGACACGGCAGTCTGCAGCGATTGAAGCCCTGTCGAACACTTTTGCCGTTCCACAGTATTTCGCCCCCGAAGATGCGCCTGCCGGGGTCCATGGCCTCTCGCCTTATCTGAATGCAGGTGTGCCATATAATCAACCTGGTCCCATGCCACGTTCATCCACTTCACAGCCTTTTCCCGCTATGTCTGATTTTTCACCAATCGGTCAGGGTCGGTTGGATCCACCTTTGGGCCAGGATGGCCCGAGACAGGACCTTACTGAGCAGTCGGTCGATGAGGCTTTCTCGCAGTACCAACAGGCTCTGCGCGGCACTTTTGACCATACCCGCGCTGGGCGATTGGTTGATGCCAGCCGATCGCTGTTGGAAATTTCCGAGTGGCTTGTGACTAATGCCCGGGATCTTGGTAAGTTCTAATTCTTCTTATTTGCTTGATTTGATTGGTTTTGGTGTTTTTTGATGCTTTGGGTCTGTTTTTGATGTCTATAATTTGGCGTCCATTACCAAGATTCATCTCTATGCAGTTGGAATACTCAAGCTTGATAAAGCTGGATTATTGATTGCATCTAGACACTTAGTTGTACCAGCATCGCACTTTGGACTGGACCCTCTCGTTTGTTTCCCCATGTTATATTCCAGTTTTTATTTTTTTTTTTTTTTTTATTTTCTGTTGCTCTGCCTGCAGGCACGCGTCATGCAAGCATCATCTGACATATTTGACGGGCTGGTGGGGGACAGAAGACTAATTGCCTTTGTGATACATAGGAATCCTGCGCGACGACCATCTCCAGTATGAGCACCGCCTACAGCTCTGGAATCATTTCAATCTATCTTGGCTGGCGGTATGTCAAAAACAGAAAGACATGACGCAAGATCTGGTTTCGACGGGTCATCAGCCTGCACAAACAAGTTTATTGAGTCGAGAGCGCATGGAGGAAATGGGCAAAGACCTAATCCAGCTCTGTGACCAACTAGAACAACACGGCTTAGTCGATTATCAGATGGGCATCTGGGAAGAAGAGATCCTATGTGGTAAGATTATTCCAAACACTGTCAAATTTCCGAATCTAACATACCCCTCTTCAATAGTCTTGGGCCAATGCCTTGATCTAATGGAGAGCAGACCGGATCTTCTCCGTGCCCAGACGGTGCCTGAACCAGCCACAGCAGCCCAAAGACCATGAAAGCCCTCTCCACTCCACCAACATCCTTCTCCAGCAGAAATGAACTCGCACAGCTTCGGTTCATAGCCCACTATACTATCGGGCTTGAACCATACGCGATTGAGGGGCCCAACACCATTGGCCGCGGAAGTAAGCAAAGATACCCGCCTCAGCGAGGCTATTGCCTACTAGCGCCCCGCCAATCGGGCTCCAATGTGACATTCGACCCAGGAACCAACCCACTGGTCATCCCATGTGACGATCGTGATCGTGATCGTGATCTTCCTGATCGAGTCTCATTTTGACTTTCTATCCCGTCTCCGGGGCTGAATTTTGGTTCCGCGGCTTCAGCCGCTTTCCCTCCCTCCTCCTGACGTGACCTAGCCTCGCGCTATTGTTCCTTTACGATTAACGACCTGTGAATAAAAATTTTCGTATTTTTGTGTTAGGGGATACGTCTCTTTTGCTTTTTTTTTTTTCTCTTTTTTCCTATTCTTGTATCTGGGCGGTTATAAAAAATATTCTAGGGCTTCGGGAGAGGAGCGGATGTGTCTAGTCGTGTGACTTGCATAGTTGGATTTGTCTGTGGCTGGAGTCTAGGGCTTGTGTCTGGAATAAATAGTCAGTCTATGCAGCACTAACTACAGTATACATCCATAGTGTCGTTACAGTTCAAGTACTGGTCACAGGCCTCCAAGCCTACCTAAGTAGAAACATTTTTAATTCGAGGGTATATCTCAGCTTCTACATGGAGTCCTGAAGAGCACTTCAACGACGACCATTAATCTTATGTTAGTGGATAGTGTTCACTAAATTCCAATATTACTGTAGATACACAATTGATTGAATGAAGGCCCCATATGCATTGAGTACAGGATATAGAACAGGCATGGCGACCCGCCATGGATGGTAAAATAATACATGATTGATAAAGAAAAGCGCTCGACAAAATTCCATTTTCAACGCTTGACCCAAGTGGGCATCTTGCGGGCCTTGACGTGACCCGGCTTCTTTCTCTCCACGCGACGAGCATCGACAGTAATGACACCAGCTAGAAAGTTTTGTTAGTGACAGTCTGAAGAATGAAATTGGGAAATTGGGAAAAGCTCACCTTTCCGCAAAGCAGGCTTCAAAGCCGGCTCGTGCACCAGCAACGCCCGCGCAATCGCCAAAGTAATAGCCTCCGCCTGGCCAGTCACACCACCACCCTTGACCGTAATCCAGGCATTATACTTGTCCATCCGCTGGGTACTCCGCAGAGCCCACAGGGCACTCTCACGATCATGCACTCGCTGGAACATCTCGACAAGCGACTTGCCATTGACCATGATCTCACCTTCACCCTCAACCAACTGCACAACGGCGGTCGACTCCTTACGCTTGCCCTTCGCACGAGCCCGACCGTTCTCGTCCACGGTGCGAGGCACGTTCTGCTGGGCGTATGGGTTACCGGGACGCAGGAATTTGCCCAGATGAGAGCGCACCTCCTGGGGCACCATCTCGGGCTGGATGCGGTTCAACCGCTGCAGAATCTTGAGCAGTGATTTGTATTTCTTCATCGGCACGGGCTCGCCCACAAAGTCTCGGAATTGGGCCAGCTTGAACCAGGCCATGCGCGGCGCCTCACCGGCACCTACTATGGGGAGCGAGGCGTACTTGGCTTGCAGTGACTCCAGCATCAACACGTTGTCGATGAACCGGGGGCTTCCGGAGAAGTATGATGGTGAGGCTGGGATGATTCGGGCGGGCTGAGCTGTGAATTTGGCAAAGTCGATCTGCGGCGCGGCTTTCACGACTCGAGGGATTTCGGATGGGGGAGCCTCTGCCGGAGGAGCTGCTGAAGGGGGCTGAGTCAAAGAGGCATCGGTCGCAGAGGACTCAGTCGCAAGGGACTCCGTGGGAAGAGGGTCGGTGGAAGGCAATTCCGTCGATGATTGCATCTCCCCGGTGGTATTTTCGGGCTCTGTCGCATAGCCACGGGTCTGTCTTCGGAGGGCAGGAGCTGCCAATCGATAGGAGGAGGGCGAATACAGTCTCAGGGACAGCATTGCCTGGACAATGCCATACGTGGGCCGAGCCATGGTGATCATTTGTCGTCTGCACAGATGAGCGAAGTTCGACTTTCGGCACGCTGTTTTTCCCGGCACGTGACCCAGCATTATCAGTTACTCCGAAGACCGAATTCCCCCCATTCCCACAAAATTTCTACTTGCCCCTCTCCTCCTTTCTCTTCTCTCCATCCTTTCATTCTTCCCCCCTTGCTTTCAAAATGGCCTTCGGAAAGCTCTACGGTCTCCCTGTATGTTCTCGTTCTTTGAACATCTACGATCTCTTCTGACTCCTCTCAGGACAACGGTCGTACCATCGCCACCCTGGTCGCTGCCAAGCACAACGGCCTGGAGTTGGACTTGGTCAAGACTGAGGCAAACGCTGCTAAGAACTCTGGCCCTGAGTACCGCAAGGTCCAGCCCCTCGGCAAGATCCCTGCCTTCGAGGGTGCCAACGGCTTCAACCTCTCCGAGGCTATTGCCATTGCCATCTATGGTACGTTAATGACAAGTGTTTTGTTTGGATTTTTTATTTTTTTCCGTTTTGCAATTCGACAATTCCTCGCCGGCCGCCTCTCTTTTCATGATGATATACAAGTTATCCCTGTCATAACAACAGTGTTGAGAATGACAAACTTCTGACCCAAGAGCAAAAAAAAATTGAAGTACCCCGCTTCGGGTGAAAAATTTTGGGCATGGACTGTTTTCCCCTTTTTTTGGATCACATTCTTCCTTTGGCTTCCATGATTGCATGATTTGTTTTGGATCCACCTGTCAAGACCATCACTAACCTGTTTTGGTTTTATAGTCACCTCCCAGAACGAGAAGACTACCCTTCTCGGCAAGACCAAGCAGGACTATGCCTCCATCGTGAGCTGGATGTCCTTCGCCAACAGCGAGGTCATCCCCAGCCTCGGTGCCTGGTACCGCCCTCTCCTCGGTCTCGATCCCTACAACAAGAAGACCGTCGATGAGGTCGCCAAGGTCGCTGTTGCCAAGATCGCTGTCCTTGAGACTCACCTGACTGCCAACACCTACCTCGTTGGCGAGCGTATCACTCTCGCTGATATCTTCACTGCTTCCCTCCTGACCCGTGCCTTTGCCACCGTCCTGGACAAGAAGTTCCGTCAGGCCAACCCCGCCGTCACCCGCTGGTACAACACCATTGTTAACCAGGCTGACTTCAAGGCCGTCTACGAGGCCAAGTTCACCGAGGAGGTTATCAAGTACGTTGCTCCCAAGAAGGAGGAGAAGCCCAAGGCTGCTGCCCCCGCTGCCGCCGCTGAGCCCGAGGCTGCCCCCGCCCCCAAGCCCAAGCACCCCCTTGAGGCCCTTGGCAAGCCCACCCTCATCCTCGATGAGTGGAAGCGCCAGTACTCCAACGAGGACACCCGCACCGTCGCCATGCCCTGGTTCTGGAAGGAGTACAAGCCCGAGGAGTACTCCCTCTGGAAGGTCGCCTACAAGTACAACGACGAGCTTAAGCTCACCTTCATGGCCAACAACCTGATCGGTGGCTTCCACGCCCGTCTTGAGGCTTCCCGCAAGTACCTCTTCGGTTGCCAGCACGTCTTCGGTGCCAACTACGCCTGCGTTATTGAGGGTGTCTTCCTCGTCCGCGGCCAGGAGGCTGCCCCCGCTTTCGATGTCGCCCCCGACCACGAGTCCTACTCCTTCACCAAGCTCGACCCCAACTCCGAGGCTGACCGCAAGTACATCGAGGACATCTGGGCCTGGGACACCTCCCTCGTCGTTGATGGCAAGGAGCTTCCCTCCGCTGACGGTCACGTCTTCAAATAAGCGTGTGCGGCCGGTTCCTCACCCCTTTTCCGACCCCCATCTTCAAATACCCCGGGCTGCCGGACTGGGACTGGTCTTTTGATCGCTGGTCTCGGCTTCCCCTCTTTTCTCTCTCCTTGCGGAGGATAAAACTTTCTTCTTACGCGCCGATGTGGTTCACGTTCACGGTTATGAAATGTGATGCGAGATGATCGACTTGCAGTCTAGTTAAATTGGATGCTTGTCGCTGCTAGCTTTAGATCTGGCAATGAATAAAGCTCTTGGGCATTGTCCCGAGTGTTTATGAATAATCTGTTTTCTGTGTCCGTAATTGTAAACCCAAAATTATGCCGTGATCTTATTTGGACAGGGTGGGCATCCAGACTCTGCTCATGCTTTGCCCACGTGCAGAGCTTGCATTTGAGATGTGGCCCGTGCGTCGATCAAGTCCCGTACCATTCATTGCATAGAAACCTTGGAACCTTGGAAGCTAATTCATTGTCAGCTAATGAAGCATTGGAGGCGAGATATGGCTTAAAACCTTCAGCATACCCATTCAATAGCAACTTGGAATCATACTTTACGAGGTGGATCATTTGTAAGTCAGTGTCAGGGGAAAATATATACAGCTATAGCCGCAGGGAGAACATTCTTGACATCACATATGCTTCAGCCGGTTGAGGACGCTTTCCAAGTTCCGTCCACCTGCAGTAGCGCTTGCGTTTTCAGAAAAAGTTCCTAGATGATTATGAATAGGGTGTGCCTGTCAGACAGGGAGGGCCGGTGACAAGATCGTACCACCAAGAATTTCATCTAAAGCTCATCTCATGCATCTTTCCGCCCAAGAACAAAGTTGCAGGGCTTGCAGTTAACTCTGTTTGATGAGGCTTTTGGCTCAGGACATAGAGGCAGGGATAACGGGATGATCCTAACATTGAAAGCAAACTCTTAGTATCGGCTACAGGATGGATCGAAATCAGTCTCACCCCTTTGCTCTTATGAATCTTTCTCAAGCCTACCCCTTGGCTAGCTTGTTGACAAACATCCTCCTCCTAGTCCTCAATCTCTTAGCAGCAACCTTCAATAAAGTGGTTAGGTCAATTCCTTTCGAGTTGGGCGCACCAAATCAATCTATTGTAGGAAGGATGGGTTTGGAAAGATGTCATATTTAATGGAAACTCAGACGTACAAATGTCCCATTCAAAGACCGAGCTTATCTAGGCATTCCCATTTAGGCCCTCAGTTTCCCATTGCAGCAATAGCTCAGAACAAGACAAAGTTAACGGATGATTCAGGCCGATTGTTTGCTCCAGCTTGCTTGAGCAATCTCGTAGCAGATAGATGGCTTTGGTGTCCTGGCCTAAAGTCTTTCCAGGTGATAGCGAGATTGCCCATACTCGTTAGCGTAATGAGGTGATCCTCGCCAAGCTTCGTCTTGTGGGTTTCCATCACCTGCACTTGGAGCTGCTCGGTCTGCTGCCACCGGCCCTGGCTATAGTACGTTGATGCTAGGTTACCCATACTCGCCAGCGTGTCGGGGTGGTCCTCGCCAAGCTTCGTCTTGCAAGCCTGTATCACTTGCACTTGGAGCTGTTCGGCCTGCTGCCACCGGCCCTGGTTCCGATACGTCGATGCTAGGTTGCCCATACTCGCCAGCGTGTCAGGGTGATCCTCGCCAACCTTCGTCTTGCGAGCCTGCATCACTTGCACTTGGAGCTGCTCGGCCTGTTGCCACCGGCCCTGGGCAAGGTACACCAATGCTAGGTTGCCTATACTCGCCAGCGTGTTGGGATGGTCCTCGCCAAGCTTCGTCTTGAGAGACTCTATCACCTGCATATAAAGCTGCTCGGTCTGATCCCAGTTCCCTTCGCGCGAGTACGCCATGGCTAGCATCGTAGTGCTAGCAATGATCACTTCATCTGATGCATATAGCCTCACTATCTCCTTCCTTGATTTTGATGCCATTTCTATGGCATCTGCAATGTTACCGCTTCTCGTCGCATATCATGCACCTCTGTAAAGCAATATAGCCCATTGTAGTAGACCCTTAGGTGATATCGGCCGCTGATATTGCAGATTTGATATGAGGAAAAATCTGCCTGCACCTCTCCCAATTTTCGTATTTCACGATAGGAAATTCTCCGCATAGGGTGCTAATGAATTGATCCTTCCATTGGTCTATTTCTCCATGAGATTTCAACCACGCGTGCGTTGTCAGTCGCACTAGCCGATGCATTAAAAAGAGACTGCTATTCTCACTGACAGATATAAATGAATAGTTCCTTAGTGTCATAACGTCATCTTCGAAATCGGGGCTTGTACCAGGCTCGGATTTCCCCCGTCACTAGAGTCACTTCGAACCTCTAAGCTTAGAGGGTAGTCAGGCCTAGGATGATACTGGATAAGATTCTCTGGTATCCCTGGCAGATCGAAAAAGCTCATAAGAGAAAGCAAATTCGTCGCAGATGGTTTTATGCGACGAATATGATCGAATGATAGGTGCCACGTTATAAGAATTGAATTCTTTGCCTCCCAATCTCGGTAAAAGTGACCCGCTTCTCTCTTTAGAAGCTTTATTGCTTCACGATCACTTCCTTGGAAATCAGCTAGGTATTGCGATACCGAATAGCGAGGCGCCCGGTTGCGAATATAGCTAGCCGCCTGTACGATCGCTAGCGGCATAAACTCTAACACGGTCACTAACTGTTGACTGTCTTGACTTTCGACTGATTGTTCAAGCTTTCTTTGCAGAAGCTCTAGCGCTTCGGCCTTTTCCATAGGTTCAACCTTAATAAGGTCCTTGTAGTCGACGATTTTCAGCGCAACCTCTCTAGTCCGACTCGTGATAATAATAGACCCATTTAGGCTTCTAGGAACGTACTGCAGCAGTGGTTTGTTCGAGACGTACGTTAGGCCTTTTGTCGCATCTCTATTCGAACCAAGAAGCTGATCGTCATCGATATTATCAAGGATACAGATCCATCTTCCTATCTTCTCATCCTGGAGCCGGTCTTCGACGAGTTCGAATATATTAGCTTTAGGATCTTGACGACCCGGAATTCTGATTCGGTTCGCAATGTCCCGGAAACTTTGTTCGAACCGGGTTGCGTTGCTCGCATGGACCCAGAAAATCCATGTGTCTGGCGATTTGGATCGGACTTGATACGAGTATTCGATGGCAAGTTGCGATTTCCTTCGAATTATGAGTTGAAGACTATGTATGCAAGAGCCGCTCCACACTTACCCAACACCGCCAAGGCCAACAAGCGCTATCCTCGACCCCGGGACCGAGTTTTTCTTATATATCATATCAGATCAAGTGTGTCACGACTGACAAAGTCTGGATCGCGAGAGAATGGGACAGTTGATAAAGGGCTGGGTGGAGTTTCTGGTCGCTCTGAGGTAGCATATAGCGTTAGCAGTCGACTCTGACCTTGTCACTTGTCCTTTCCTGACTTACCCAGAGGCAGGTGGAATTCTATCGAGCCACTATTATCCCCAACCTGGAGCGCGTAGTTGTCGCCATCGAATGATGTCGATGCCATGATGGAAATAAACGTGCCTCGTTTGTAGTTAGTACTTAATGACAAAGGCCGTCAATTGACTCTCAGCTAAAGGCGGGGGGCACGTCTTCAGGTCCGCCATCAGGTGACTCTGTAAGCGCTCAGATGGGCAGTCAGATTGGCCGACAACCTACATCGACTCCGGCACTGGGCTGATGGATTTATACTCATTTCAGAGACCCCGTTTTTATCCCCACGAAAATTTCAACATTCAGAAGAGCGTGGTTTTATGGATAGTGCAAAATGGTATCAATTGAACGTTTGTCTTCGGGAGTATCCATAAAAAATAAAATAAACAGGTAGAAATAACATGTTAAAACATGGGAACATTGAATACATCCACACGCAGAGACAAACCCTCCAAACTCCAGAGAAACCCCATTCAGAAACAATCGGGTATCGCTTCAAGACCAAGCCTCACTACCTCGGAAAACCAAGTCCCTCCTCCAACCGATCTAACAACGAGTTATTAGATCCAGTATCGGATGCGGAAGACGGTGAGCGCGGGCGGGAAGAAAGGGGTGTATCCTTTGAAAGATCTCTTGAAGGTTGAGAGATAGAATTTGCCTCGATGGAGTTAATGACCAGATCGGAGGAATCGATAGGTCTAGGCTCATGTTCCACGGCCGGGATCATCTCCAAACTCTCTGTCGGCTCTGTTACCTCTGCACGGCCCTGTGGGCGGATATTAGACCGTGAACCAGTCGGTTCAGAACTGACTTCTGGTTCGGGGAGCTTTTCTTTCTTTCCCTTCTTTCTCTTTTTCTTCTTTTTCTTGTCGGGGTTGGGGTTGGGATTGGGAGTTGGATCTTTTGAGACCGCAGTCTCGTTAGAAGCTGGGGCTGCTGGGACCTTGGCTTCAACTTCGGGATCAGCGTTGGCATCGGCATTGTTATTGGCATTGGCAGCCGCCAGCGCTGCCTCCCTCGCTTTTGCAAGCCTCTTGCGCTCCTTCTGGGAGGCGCGTATCGCCTTTTTCTTCCCTTCTGGTTTGATTCCCTCTTGGACAGTATTCTGTGATAGTGCCAGTGTTTCCTTAGCGCGAGCCTGCTTGCCCGGAGAGATCTGGCGTAAACTGACCCCGCCGTCTTCATCATCATAGACTTCGACAGGACAATCTTCTTTAAGATGAGGCAGGTGTGTTTCGAGGATAGAGCATTTCTCGTTCGTAGCCTGCTCGTTCCATTCACGGAATACCTTGCTCACGTCGTCGTAGTAGGAGAGGTATTCGAGTCTAGCGAGGACTTTTTTGAAAAGTGTTGATTCGTCGATGGAGGGGTTATTTATGAATTCGGGGATTTCGAGGATATTGTATGGTTCGCTGAGAGCTTTGAGTTTGCTATCGTCGATTAGGATCGTGTTACTTTGGTCCCAGCAGTGACCTGGGGGGAATTCGCTGTCTGTGGGGTTGTTCCCCGGGTATGCGGATTGGACTTTGCGGTCTTTCCAGACCTTGTGAAGTTCTTTGTAGACTTGAAGTTTTGAGTTGTATTGTGCGCTCGTGAGGCCGAATTTATCTCGTCCCCATTGCGCCACGAGCGCATTTGCTTTGTCGCCTGGGAAGAGTCTCTCGCAGATGGCGTTGACGGTTTGAGGTTTTGAGCTGGACCACACCATTACGGAATGTTTCCTTACTAACTCTTCTAGAAACTCGCCGAGACCGGAGCGCCGGGCGAAGCTGGGTGGTAACCTCTTGTGTTTGCGGAGAATGAGAGTACCATTTAGGTCGAGGATGATCAGGAGAGGTCGAGGAGAGTTGCGTCTTCGCGGGACTTTTGATGCCGTCTTCAAGTAGGCCTTTTCAGGGACAGGTATCATCACGGGTGGCGTCCCGGATCTTGCTCTCCGAGGTGAGGCTATTGTGCTCATGGACTGCGCACCCTGGAAGGGAAGCATGGCGTTGAAAGGCATCATGGGAAACGGAGGGGGCATGCCCATTGCGGGATTAAAGAATCCTGTGTTAAGGAAAGGCATAGGCGGTACCGTTCCCTTAGGACCATTTTCGGGAATGTTGCTCGGGTATGCCCATGGGACATTGTATGCGCCAAAAGTAGGCGGAGGCATAGGCGGCAACTGAGACACTGGTAGGCCTGGGTTGGGAGCAGGCGCTAAATACCCATTGACCGGCGCATTGGCCGGCGCATTATGCTCCTCCACACCCTGTTCATTATATCCACCAGTATAAAGAGGCGGCACCGACCACCCCGGCAAATTATTTCCGTTCATGCTCATCGGGACATTCACAGCGTTATGCGCCGCAGCACGGTAGGGTCCTTGAGAGCCTCGATCCGGCGGCGCAGGAAGCCCCGCGGCGGAAGCCGCGCGCTTAAGTCTTTTTGTTCGAGGCAGCTTGAACGTTGTGCAATCAGACCGGTTAACAGAATTAGAGACCGAAGGGCTAGCCTATCAATCAGCGGTTAGTGGCCGTGGTTGGATAGAAATCTCAGCGCAAAACAGAAAATTGCCCACCTGTCCTATGGTAACATAACAGTAGGTCGTGAAGGTCGGACGAGAGAGTGAAATGCACGGTAAAGAAGTCCGAGTCCAGCGCGACATTGAAGTCCGATGTTGATGCGCAATCGGGAAAAAAATACCTAATCAGCCCGTTATCGCCTCACCGCCTGCGTTGGCAATATTTTTCTTTTTCGCGGCTCCGCTGATTTGCAGAGTTCAACAACGACTCAATATGGCTATTTCCGATATGCTGAACCGTCGTGTGCGGGCACGGCCTGCTGATGAGGACGATATCTACTCGGAGCAGTCTGACGCTGCCGAGGAAGTCTCTCAGGATGAAGGCGAAGAAGAGGGAGACTCCGATGCCGAGTCCCAATCTGAGGAGGTACGATTTCTAATAGTGATTTTACAGAATCTTCACTAATATTCCGACCAAGGGCTCGGAACAATCCAACGCCCCAGAAGATGACAACTCAGACGGCTCAAACAGCGCGGCCGAAGATGAAGAATCCTCAGAAGATGAAAACGACGACATCAAAACCTCTTTAAGCAACATTTCTTTCGGTGCACTCGCCAAAGCCCAAGCTTCAATGGGCCCCAAAAAGCGCAAAGAGAAGTCTTCCAAAGAAGAGGCTTCACCACTCGATGACATCCGCGCCCGCATTCTCGAAGCCCGCGAACAAAAGCGCCTCGCTGCCGAGAAAACCGAATCCAAAGATAAAAAGGATAAAAAGGATAAGAAAGCCGCGCGTGCCAACAAGCATGCGCCCATGGAACAATCATCCAAGCGCGCTGTCTCCCGCAGACTAGTTGTCGTCGAGCCTCCATCGCACGCCAAAGCGCGGGATCCGCGCTTCGATGCAGCTGTCATGGGATATTCGGGTAAAGGGAAAAACCCAGAACTCGCGGACAAGGCGTATGCTTTCCTGGATGACTATAGGTTGTCCGAATTGAAGGAGATGAAGGCTGAGATGGCGCGGACGAAGGACCCAAGGCAGAAGGAGGCGTTAAAGAAGCAGATATTGTCCGCGAGTGATCGGATGAAGAGTATGGAAAATCGGAAGAGGGAGAGGAATGTGCAGATGGAGCATAAGCAGAAGGAGAAGCAGATGTTGAGGGAGGGCAAGAAGAGTACGCCTTATTTCTTGAAGAATTCGGATTTGAAGAAGCAGGTTATGCAGAAGAAATACGAGGAGATGGGATCGAGGGATCGGGCTAGGGCTTTGGAGCGGAGGAGGAAGAAGATTTCGTCTAAGGAGAAGAAGGAGATGCCTTGGGAGAGAAGGGGGGCTGAGGATTCCGGGTCTGGGTTTGGAGGTGGCGGTGGTGGTGGACCTCGTAAGCGCAGACGGCTTGATTAGATACCCAATTTGCATTTCAGATGTGATTTCATGCGAGAATTGAACGGGTTCAATGGATTATGTGACTACATTAAGCAGGGTGTATGGGGTCGAGGTCAAAGAAAGTCGAAGTAGAAGAAAAGAACCGGGTTCACAAATGCTAAGTCCCACAAAGCAACTTCCAGAAAGGTATATTGGGTCAAAAAGCAAGACAGAACCGCCAAACGCCAAACTATATCAATGCAAGCTTCGAAGAGAGTTTTTCTTGAGCCCGATGGGCGCAACACTGTCGTGTCGATGAGATATGAACATCAATGTCATAGAGGGGACTCAAATCATCAAGATGAGTGCGGGGTAGAGGTAAGGTAGAGGTATTATGCTCGAGAGCCTATTGAATTGGGCCTCGGGCTGAGGACAGCGGGCGGATATATACCAGCCGCTCCGGTGTCCTTGTCATAAGTAGGGCAAGATGCCCCGTACTTAACAGGCTCCCTGCACAGACCGGAACAGATAATGGTTGGTTCTACCAGGACTGCGTGGGAAATATATGTTTCCAATGCGATACGGAACTTCACGAGTGGAATAGGTCCCAAGCACGAGCACAAAGGCCTAGGAATTCTTCCTTCTTTCGTCGCTGGGTCTCGGGGGAGTCTCTTCCAGCTCCGAAGGGACCATAAGGCACTGCATTGGGGCCTGCGCTCGCAGCGGGATTCGGGCGGTAAGAATTAGGGCCATGACCCAGGGGCGGGCTTCCATTGTCGTGCTCGTATTCATTTCGCGAGCGACGACGCGCGGTGGATTCCGTAGAACCGAAACCGAATGTAGGAGCAAGGGGTGCACTGGGTGGCATTGCCTCACTGGCCAGAGGAGCCGTTTTGGGAGCAGCGTGAATGATTTGTGGTGAAGGCGGCGTGGGTGGTTGGTGGCCTCCATAGTGCACAATCCGAGGAAGCAGCTCTTCCCGTCCACCGGACATTTCTTGCACCGCCTCTTCGGCTGAATGATACTCACGAGGTCGACTGGGCGTGTGAGACATGCTGCTGGGGAGTCCAGGAGAAGGCATGGGGGCCAGGTTGGACTGCGAAGAGTTGTTGCTTGAGTTATTCGGGTACAGACCAGGACGGTTGGGATCGCGATCCCGGGTACCCAATGCGTCCTGTCCAAAGACATCGGAAAGAGGAGGAAGACGGTTGTTCGTTTGCGTAGCGGGGAACTGGTGCATATGCGAGGTTGAGCCTAGAGTCGGGCTCTGGTTGACAATGTGCCGTGTCAATGGCTGTGGTTGATATCGGCCCGTGAAGGTCTGGTTTAGCGGCGCCGACTGGATCACACGCTCGTTGGCGAACTGCGACGCTGAGGGAGGAACGATCGATAGACCAGGCGGGGCTCGACGCTTCCCACTCTTGGGCATACCCATGAAGCCTGATTCTGATGGCTTGGTACCGCCGGGACCCTCATCCTTGGCGGACCTTTGTAGTCGCGCCTCGATTATTGATCGCTGCTGGTCGCGTACTGACAAACTGCGCTGAAGTTGCTCTCGCATCATCGGATCGTGGGTTTGGAAGCCGGGCGACAGACATGCCAGACCGACGTCCTGCATACGAACTCCATCGCGGGCGGTCATAGGCCCATTCGGAGGGCGCACCGACAGACCGCTCGAGGAGGGCAGACTGGTCGAAAGGTCCAACTTGCGCGGCCGGGGTCGGCTACCCCCCATGCGCGGCGACGAAGGCGGCTCTTTCTTGACAGTGATTCTGGGACCCGTACTGCCGGAGGGAGACGGCTGATCGCGGTTCTCCGGAGTACCTTTCGAGGCCCCATCTTGCGAGCCGATAGACATACGCGAGGGAGAGGAATTCGCCGGGGCGGGCGGATGGGCCAAGGTCGGGCAGTTCTTCGGGCTGGGATCACGGGTGGTATGTGGTGAAGGTAATGGAGCCATCGCGGGTGCGACTGCGGTCGACATGATATACCGGGGTGGAACTCCCTGGGAATAGAAGCCCAATACTTAGTAGTGGCGCATGAACGAATGTGTATGAGCGAGGCTCAAGTTGGCGGCTGGCGGTTGGCGAGGGAGAGAAAGAGAGATCGTCAAGGGAAACAAAATAATCAAAAAAAAGACCAAGAGGGGGCCAGAAAGTGTGACAAGATCAAAGGAAAAATAGACCGGACAAAATATACAGGGGGTTCAAGTTCTGGGCCCAGAAGGGGGGTGCGAAAGAGAAGTAGCCAGTACTTGAAGTAGCAGGTGGTTAATGGGGGAACTGCAAGTACCGAATACGTGGAGTCGAGAGTTCAGTGGATCAAGACTCAAACACAAGACGCAAAACAGGCGGCGCCGAGCGTATCAGAATTATCAGAATTACCCCAACTGAGACACAGCGTGTTTCTTTTTCTCACACCAGTGTTTCTAAATCCCCCATGTCCACCCCCTTGGGCACGAGCCAGGTTCGTCCATGCCACTGCCCCAAAGATGATTGATCCATCATCTGGGAGATATCAGGGGCTGCAATCCACTTCGACCCGGACTTTTACTACCAAGTTCAGCCCTTCCCAACGCACTCGCCCCTCACTAACCAAGTTAACCACACTGATCACACTAACTACAACCACAGACCACCCGCGACCCTGGGTGGCTGGACGCCCTCTGGGGTTGTGATCGACTGGACTCGAAAGCCTTGACCTCGATCTGCGCCTATCCCCAACTGATCCCGTCACATATCGTGACAGCGACTCACGGTGCGGCATGCTGTCAAACACGGCGCTTAGGTTGATAGACCTACACCGTACAGATTACACAGATCACAGACCACGCACCACAGACCACGCACGCCCCGGAACCAAGGACACGCACCGCATGGCCCCGTGTGGATCATGCCCAGGTCGTGGGTAGTTCCAGTCACTAATGCACGGAACCCTCTGCCGACCGCACACTAACCATGTGCCCTGAAGCAGATTCAGAAACCGGCAGTGCGCTGGCCCTCACTATTGGCTCCGGGGCCTCATGTTACCGGGTGTTGGTGTTCGTATTCAAGAGATCTGTGCACTCGGGGAAACAGTCTAGGAATCGCAGGTATGGAGGACTAGGTATGGACAGGCAACGTTCCGCTTTGGGCGCAAGGCACCGATATGACTTGATGAGATAAGATTTTGACCCGGGCATCCGAGAATTAAATTAAATTCGGCGGAGTTTGCGTCTGGGCAAACAGACTATTGTTTTAGTGTCTTAGCGTACCCTTCACACATCAAGCTTCTCAGGAACCGGAGGACTCGTATCCCGTGGAACACCTTCTGTTTCTATTTATCATTCAGAGACAAAACCTACTTTTGCCAGTCCCCGATCCCCGATTCCCCGATCCCCCCCGATCCCCCGATCCAAGTGATCTCGATCCGCGTGTGAAAGCAAATTTCCCCTTTGGGACAACCCGTATAGCCACTTTCCTTGGAGCCCGGCGCAAGCTTCGATAGAACATAATTTTATTTTTCGCCTCAAAACATTCGATAATTAGCGTCTAATAGTGCCAGACCCGTCGAAAACTAACGTATTGTGGCAGGTGTCAGATACGCCACCAAGACTCAATTGAGGATGGAAAGATAGCTTGCCACACCTGACTGGCGCATGTAAGCTGTCAGATAGTCATACTATTCCAATGGTGGGATTCAGGTGGTTTGCATCTCTCCTGAACTTGTAATTCCCACAGCACATGGTAGCCACCCACTCTGTCTCTGCACAACATCCCCCTTGCTCAAACAATTCTACGAGGTCCCATAAAGACACAAAAATACAGACTTTCAAAATTAGTTAATTCAATGATTATTTCCATTTCCAATTGCAGCATGGTAGACTAGGATGAAGAAAAAAAAAAAAAAAAAGAAATGACAAAAAATGACGTCCCCGGGAAGGCTCGAACTTCCAACCTCCTGATTAACAGTCAGACGCGCTAACCAATTGCGCCACGGAGACGATCTGTTTTTCTTGAAGAATCGGGGCCCAAAACCGATTTTTGTAGCTCACTCATAGACACCCTCTGTAACCGGTAAGCGGTGAGCTGCTATCGATAACCCACTTTTTTTTCGAGATCGTCGAAAGTCTTTGCGGGCATTGCATTGCGTTCTATTCTTGCTTCTAGTCACTGCACACTCTTCCACTCGACGTCACATCACACCACAGTGTCCGAGTCCCTACCAAGAAGCCGCACCACTACACACTATACCAGGCCACCCAAACCAGAACCGCCACGACTCACGCGACACCGACACTATGCCAGGCTCAATCCACTCCCAAGACCCGCAAGAAAACGACCAGTCCATGGTGGACGCCGAGCCCGAAACCACCGATCCCATCCTTCTAGACGAGAAGCGCATCGTCGTGGTACGTACCCCCACCCTCTCATCTATCACCCGAGACCCAGGCCTCTAATGTATTTCCCTATCTAGCTCCCCGGCTCCTCCGAAACAGCTGCCTCCTTCCAATTCGAAGGTGAAGGCCACACAATGGGCAACGCCCTCCGTTACGCCATTATGAAGAACCCCGCTGTCGAGTTCTGCGGTTATACTATTCCCCACCCGTCTGACGCGAAGATGCATCTCCGTATCCAGACTACGGACTCTACGACTGCGCTGGAGGCGCTGGAGAAGGGGTTCAACGATTTGATCGATTTGTGCGATGTTGTTACTGAGAAGTTCACGGAGGAGAGGGATTCGTTTAATGCTGAGCGTGGGAATCGCATGGAGGCTTAGTTTTTGAGTGTGAGTGTCTTAGGCTGAGGGGTCTGCATGTGGGTTCTTTTTTGGCGTTAGTTGAGCTAGATTTCTTACCTTTTCTTTTTGACATGTTTTGTGTTGAGTACCGAACTATTGATGATACGGTACTATGGTATTATTATGAGAATGCATATACTCTTGATGATATCGTGATTCTTGAGATTGGTGTTTAAAAAAAGCCCTGGAGGGCGATGTCTAATCATCCCGATATAGTCTTGAACGATGGCAGGTTTATGAGAAGGTACAGTGCTTCCAGAAATCGGTGTCACGATCTACACTCTTCCATTGTTTCTCGAACCCTAGTGCCCAGGAACGCTAGGCTACTTTTCACATAGTCTCATAATGGCGCCGATTTCTTGGGCCTGTACCGTAAAATATCCGATTGTTGTATTAAGCCGAGCCTTTCTTTTATCCCCTTGAGTTCACCTATATCGACCTTGGCGCTAGAGAGCACACTACCGAAGAATACAAACAATACAACCCCAGCGCTAGCGTGCCTATATTTGCTGCGACCATCCGCTTGAGAAACCAAATTTATGTCTTCATAGGTGGAACTGTTCCTCCTGGATGAACCCGACGTCTTCATCCGATATAATGTTCAATCCAGATATCAATCATCCAAGATAAGTCGAAAAGTGGTAGGTTGGTCCACTGGATAGATTGCTGTGAATCTTGATATTTCACTGGTGCAGACTCAACATTGGCCTGCTTTTCAAATGGAGATGTCACGATGAATTCATCCTCAAGTTTATTTTGGAATGCCGAACCCTGCCACCATACTTCCACAATCCTTACAATACCGGGCTGAATCCATCAGAGTCTGTCTTTGGTCATGCTAAAAGTTGTCTGCAAGATCTTTGTATGCCGAGTTGTGGAACCGATCCATGACATTTAGTATGATACTATTAACAGCCCTGCTGTTGCTACAAAGAAGACGCGAATGGGCCGCAAAGCCATCCATTTCCGTCGTGCTTTACCTTTGAACCTTGGATATTGCAGGCGAGATCGGCCTTCCTTTTGAGGAGTTGAGTGCAACCGGAGAAAAAAATAATCACCGCGTTGCAAGTATGATTGTGAGGATAGCAATGGGAACGGAGTCGACCTCCACCTATCTGGAGTAGCGCGTCAGTGGGAAACAACGCAAGACATAATGTTTACCTGCGACTCGTACTAGCAGAATGAATTGAGCTGCGTGCCGTGTTTGGTCAAAGGTGGGGAGGGCCCCGGCTATTCGTTGGGGAATGGGGGCTGGCTCTTCAACTCCAACGACATTGTATCACACCACTTTAGGATTAGCTCGGAGATATCCCAGTCAAATATTAAATTCTTCTGGCAATAGAGCTGAACGGGCTCTAACATAGTTTTTGTCCGCCAAGCTATTTACATTCCGACCGTTGGAGGGATAGTGCAATGCCTCAATAAGCGTGGGTTCGACAGCTGTCACATTGAGTGGAGAAAGCTGGGCCCAGCTTCATAACACATATTCAGCAAGATGTCATTGGACTGGCGGCAGGGATGTAGAATTAACGTACTGACCTCTATTCTTCTTCTTAATGGCTTCTTTCAAGTAGATCAAGTTTAGATTTTGCCAGTGTGCATCATGGTATTCTACGGTGCTGCTGGAGAGGTGTCTCCAGCCCATTCCTGAAATTTCAGTTGCATCACAGAAGTACGCCGTGAAATTGATAGGTGGCTGTATGTGCCACATAGCTCCTACATGTGTCACATTTTCAACCCTCGTTTATCTTCACTCTCTGGTGTTTTATAACCCCATACTATCAATATTATACTGTAGTCTTGTACAATCTCTTGTATTTAATATGCTATTTTAATAGGCTCTATAATTATTCCCGCTCTAGGGACTCTAGCCATTCTAAGGACAGAGTTTGGTAGCTCATAAATATAAAGTGGTACTTTGGAATGACATTTCTTAAAAGCCACAGCGCCACATAAGAACAAGAGTACGAGCGAAAAACAAACAAAGGCGGATAACACGTTAACATAATGGCAAGTGAAGACAATGTTCAAGGACGCGATTTAGCAGACGTGGTGATTTATGAAGCAGTCTCCCTCAATACTCGCGCAATAAGAAGATATTATAATGATTTGGTCTCAGGCCATTCGAGGCATTCAACAATTGAATGCGCTTTTGGACAGGCACAGGATCTCTCTCGCATGTGACAATAGTTGGTGGCTCACTGGTTCTAGCTGGAATAAAGCTTCGATGAAGGAGCGTTGGCTCAACTGACCCCTATATCAGCCTCCTGCTGTTTTCATTCTTGGGCTTTAATATATTACCACCTTGTCAAGTTGGGGTGGTTTGCAATCTTTCTACTACATTCTGATTGAAAAAAAAACAAAAAAACTCTAATGGCATCACTTTAATAGAGTTTGTTATCTACAGTTAAATGAAACCCACCCAAAAAAAAGGGGAATCAAAAGATTTAGCTGGCGTTATTTATATTGATACACCCGCCAAACAAGAGCGATTATCAGCTCTTTGCCTATATTTTGGGTATAGACAGTCGAGTTAAAGAGCTTTTATTAGAATTTTAGATGCGACAGGCGGGATGCCGAGGGGGTTATCTCATTCTAATTGCCTTCATTCTGGGACTTTGTCACATTCCGGTGCTGTCATATTCAGACGTCTTGGGTTTCCCATATTCTGACACTAACAATATTGTAATCACATACAGTCAGTAGAATCTACCTATATCCTAGCTCCTAGATTAGCCAGATTTCTCTAAGGATTTCCACAGCTGTACGAGAATTATACCAGAATAAGGTGGAAAATTGCAGTAGGGAAGCTACATATTAGAGCGGTTTGAATTTTGTAAATAAAATGCACTATTCTCTCGAATGCACTCATACTAGCGGGAAAAAACGGTAGCGCGTCACTTGTGTACTGGAATAGTTGAACGTTGTATGCCTCCTTATTGAGAAAGTATAGGTATGTGAGCATGATCTATTCGCTACAGGGGGCAGAGCTGTGGAAAATTCAAGTCACATTGAAGAATGCCATTCACAATCATAGCTGAAAGTATTTAAACAGTAACGCCTCCAGTATCCAACACCAATGCATATGAAGTTCAATCTAATAATCGCATTGCAATCGTGATAATCTTGAAGATCATGTTCCTCCTTAAGGCCCTTACATCTGGCTTCCTCTTCTCTGTCATCAGCAATGCACAAGCAGTTGGCCTTGGAACTGCTGGAGCCTATCTTGTTCTTGCGGGCACCACAGTGACCAATACGGGTCCATCAATTATTAATGGTGGTAACGTTGGAGTCTCCCCAGGATCAGCTATCACGGGCTTTCCTCCTGGTACTGTGACTGGCGGAACAATCCACGCTGCTGATGCGAACGCACTTCAAGCTCAAGCTGATCTAGTGACAGCATACAACGATGCCGCTGGCCGCGCTCCTAACTTTAACGTGGCGGGAGATCTTGTTGGTCTGACGCTTGTTGCCGGTACATATAAGTCTACAGGCCCATTGGGCCTTACTGGAACTCTCACGCTTGACGGTCAAGGAAACCAAAATTCAGTTTGGATCTTTCAAATAGCGTCCACTCTCATCACTGGAAGCGCCTCCAGAGTTACCCTGATCAATGGTGCTCAACCTTGCAATGTGTTCTGGCAAGTGGGAAGCTCTGCGACCCTGGGAACAGGAAGTACTTTTGTTGGGACCATCCTGGCACTCACTTCTATCTCGGCTACCACCAATGCAGTAATTCAAGGACGTCTTCTTGCTCGTAACGGGGGAGTGACTCTGGATACCAACACCATCACCCTTCCGAGTTGTGTAACGCCGATATCATCTACTACGACCACTACACCAACCACTACTACCACGACAACAACCGTTACCACTTCACTGCCTATCATCACGCTTCCTATAATAGGGCCCATTACGGTGCCTATAGGGCCCATTTCGGTGCCCATTGTAGGCGGTGGCAGCGGCGGCAGCGGAGGCTCTGGTAACGGCAACGGCAACAACAGCGGCAACGGTAGTGGCAACAACAGCGGCAACGGTAGTGGCAACGGCGGAAACGGCAGTGGTAACGGCACCAGTGGAAACGGTAGCGGCAACGGCAACGGCAATAGCGGCAGCGGAAATGGAAATGGAAATGGCAACAGCGGTAGCGGCAATGGCAACGATAATGGCCATAGCGATGTCGTTCCCTTGTCCACACCATGCACAACCACGGCATGGACACCGTACTCAACTGATACGCACAAGCCCCACAACCAAGACTACAACAAGGACTACAACAAGGACTACAGCAAGGACTACAACAAGGACTACAACAAGGGCTACAACCAAGACTACAGCAAGGACTACAACAAGGACTACAACAAGGGCTACAACCAAGACTACAACAAGGACTACAACAAGGACTACAACAAGGACTACAACAAGCCCCACAACCAAGACTACAACCAGCCCCACAACCAAGACTACAACCAAGACTACAACCAAGACTACAACCAAGACTACAACCAAGACTACAACCAAGACTACAACCAAGACTACAACCAAGACTACAACAAGCCCCACAACCAAGACTACAACAAGGGCTACAGCCAAGACTACAACCAGGACTACAACCAGGACTACAACAGTGCGTTCTAGGCTGACCGTTGAGGTGGGAATCTTGATAAGACGTTGGCACTGGTACCATTTCCATCACATTCGAGATCAATTCTGGCAGACTTTGTATGGGAAATACCCCCTTCGTGCTAAGATCATAATCTGATTTTATTCGAGAAATAGTGATACAAAGTGGGCATTTTTCACGTTTTGAACATTACCATGGCAATGGAACACGACGGCGGAATAGGAGAATAATTTCTTAATAGCTGGGGATCGAAACATCAATGGAATTTGAGTTATACGCAGTTTAGTACATATGTGCATGCAGTACTCACTTCCTCAAGAATCGGATCAGGCATCCTATCTGCTCGCTCTATTGCTTAATGGACGCCGACCAAGCCTATTGGCCAAAGGTTCTGCGTTTCAAGTGACCGTAGGTAGGCATATGCATTTTTGCTTAGCCACCCACATCTGTGGATAGATCCTTCAGTTTCCTATGAGTATTTCTTCTAGTTTGACTCTCGCAGAGTTCTTTGTGCTTCTATCAAATCTAGTTCGTGAGCCAGTGAGTTCAATCTAGAAAGTCTTACAGAGGAAGCTCCAGTCCATCACAAATTAAACATGTTTGCTCCGAAGAGCAAGATATGAACCACCGTATTGAGGATCAGTGCTTTGGTAATCTCTCTCTGAATACTTGTGCATTCCGGAGTAAGCACGCCACGGTCGTGAGGACCGCGGCAGTGTTATGGACCCTGCGGTCAGGATTCAGCTGAGCGAGTTCGAAATTAGGATTTGAGATCAAGCCGTGACAATCAAGGTATATGATATTTAGAGGCTATTGTAGTACTAGATGTGTTGGGTATGTCTACTTTGATGATTTAGACCATGCGCCAACCTCGAAAACCAATCTATCTCCCTTGCGCCCCGGGGCTTAGTTCAAGGATTATTGTGGCTTTGGAAATGATATGTACACCACGGAACATATACTCAAGAGTAGATGAATAGGCAGTCGTAGGCAACACGGCAACACGGGAGACGGATAAGTCAATTATGTGATAGTCTCATGCAGGCCTCGGGGTTACTCGTATCGCCAAAGAGGTCAAAGCAGCATACCGCACTCCACCAGAAGTACCTCGCAACATCTTCAGTTGACTTTTTTTTTTTTTTCAACGGCTCACCTTTGAATATCCTTTAAACATAGCCAAGACAGACACGATAGCCCCTACCATGGGAAACTCGACAAAGATCCTTCAATTTTGGCAATAGCCTGATTAAGATCGCAGCCTTGGCCTCTTTGATTGGGTCGGCCGCCGCAGAGACACTAGCACTCGGTGACAAAGGGCCTGCAGGCCTTGTGCGGGCAATGATGACTGCTTTCGGAGCCAAGTCAGTTGTCAAAAAGGATATTACTATCTCAGTTCACGGTGTGATCCCAGACATCATTCTTGCTAGTCTGTCTTATCTGCAGTCGAGATTTTGTAAGAGCCTCGCACCAGAGGGCTTGGTGGGTCAAGAAATAGATAAATTTCATCACTTCTATACTATCTCCTTCACTTCCCTATCCCCTTTCCCTCGATAAAAACCACCCCTGTGGCGTTTCTTCCTCCAACGTCCATTAAAAATCCAAGCTCAAATCTCCGTGATTTTATCTCAGTTCTCTTCCTTGACATGCAGAGAAATCCCTCACTCAGCCTCTTCCTTGATTTCATCCACATGGCGGAAGATTACCCACAACAAGATCGTAGCCGCACCCAAAAGTCCAGCCAATATAGCATACATAGTGACCAAGTAGGGATCCTTGGTTAACGGCGTAAACGCCAAAGCCAAACAAATCCCAATTCCCGCCATCGCAAGCCAAATAGCCTGAACCAGAGTCTTCATACTATCGGGCGCGTTGTTATAGGCATACTCGGTTCCCGTAGTCATGCAGAAGACCTCGGCCAATGAACTGATAAAGTAGATTGGCAATTGAAGAAACACCGAGATCTGATTGGGAATGGTGCTATTGTTTGCAGCGGGACACTCGAGGGGTCTGTCGTAGCACGGCCCGCTCATGTAGATGATTTTTTGAACCACGGTTATGTAGACCATGGAAAGAACGAGGATAAAGAACCCCACTGTCATTCTAGTGATGGGGCGGAATTGAATGTTCTTTCTGGTGAGGTAAGGGTACAGCCCCTTTTGGATGATGGGTGCAACGATGATCCCCGATATGGGACCGGCGATTTTGATCATGTCGTTTGGGATACCATGCGTGACCATCTGTCCAGCTTGGGAGATCAAGTTGTTGAATGTCTGATTGTAGCAAAGCCAGTGGATTGGAAAAAGAAGCCTGTGACCCATTTTAGCGTTTGAAGGGACGATGTTGGGATGGTTGCACGTACAGCACTCGACATGTCAAAAGACTTCGCTTGATATCTTCAATGAAGGAATCCGACCAAGGAACTTGACGACCGTGCTGAAGCTGAGCATCTGGTTTGGCAGCGTCCATTTGAAATCCACCTGAAATCCCACAGCGCAATGCTGCAACTACTTTGGGCATGATGTTGCTCGTTGGCGGTGCTCGCACTAATAATCTGTCAGCTCCTTGCTGGTCGACTGGTATGAAAAAGACTGACCAAAGTAATTACGGCCGATAAGAATTGGAATGAGGGCCAGCCACATGCAACAGCATGGAATCAGATAGGCGAGCCAGAAGCCAACGTATCTCTCCATTAGTGGGGTACAATCGGCGAGGAAGCATATCACATTCACGGCCCTATAGCATAGTTAGTTTCGTGTGTAACAGAGAAAATCATTTCTGACATACCAGTAAAACACATTGTAAATGTATGTGATGGTGAGATCTCGGTCGGCGACGACCTTCTTGCCGCTTTGATACCGGATTCGAAACTCGGTTTGGTCATATTGATCGGCTGAAAATGATTAGCTTCGCAAGTCGAGCTAGGGGTTATTCACTCACCGATGAAAGGGACCACAGTCGTTTTGAAAGCCCCCGAGCCAACAGCCAAGAGCACGGATGCACTGATCACGCCGCCCAGAGCCGCACCATCGTGCATTGCGACTGGCAAGGATGTTGCGAATAGAATTGCTGCGCCAATGGACTCAATGCTAGAAGATATTAGCTTTCAAAACTATATGACAGCGGGGAACCAAAGTTGAAAAGTTGTAACAGTACATAGCGGCGTATAGCATGGTCGTGTACCGACCGAGCCAGCTGTCAGCAATCACAGCAGCAGGAATGGGAGTGATATAAGCCCCAATAGTCAGCGCATTCACAATATTCGAAGCAGTTGCCTGCCCCAGACCCAGAGCTCCAGGGACCTCTCCTCCAGATGCATTCTGCAGATAATTCTCTATAGATCAGTTAGCTATCCGAGTTTTGCCATAAGGGGAGGAGATACAATAATACGCACGCAGAGGAGCAGTCGCTCCGTACCACACGAATCGCTCCAGGATCCCCGCTAGGCAGGCGACCCAAAGCCGAATGGGAATTTTGTCGACGACGTGGAGAAGATCGCGCACTTCGTCTTCGGTGGCCACGCGACCGTCATCGGAGTCGGTCACGGAGATAGCATCCAAAGTTGCCGGGTTTTTAGGCTCAAGAAATTCCTTGGGGCCTGTATTCAACGAAGAAAGAGAGAGATCATTATCAGCAAAAGAGCTCGTATTACCAACAGAAGAAGCTGATACCAACCGTGGCTGCAATACGGGCTCTGCGGTTATTTCCGCAGAGCCGCGCGCATCGGATATGAAGCCCGACATTTGATCACGATTATTGATCAGAAGTTTGAAAGTCAGAAGATCACACAAAATAGAAGCCAAGAAAGAACAGAAAAACAAGTCTGACAGTCTTCTGGTCGAGTCGAGGGAAAGATAAGAGTCAGGCCCGGATCCGGGAAGCCAGGCCTTTTTAATTCCAGACTTGACAGGGATCTATTCTGGACACGAGAACACCAATCCCACCCAAGCTCATTTTGCGCTAATGTAGTCTCGTATGATAGTAAAAGCCGGCTAAAAACTTTGTGAGTCACCCAAGCCACAAGATGCAGTTTATCCGATAGTCAATTTAAAGCTAGCCCATCGACTCAAAGGCCGCCTTATCCGCCTTTTGAGCATGTACTATAAAATGCCACTCAGGTCACGACTACCGCATATTTGATATCTAGCTCGACCATGTTCCCAATGAAAATGAATACTCAGATGATTCGGCGACCTAATCAGGTTATATGTACACATCATGTCTCTGTCTATGGCATAGCTTCGCCAATTACCACGCCATGGACTTGCAAAAAGAAAAAGGATAAATGGTGGTCAGGGTACAGAAAGCAGTATTTTCAGTTGCGGCCCTCCAGGAAGCCCGACACGAAGTTGCGGGGCAAGCGGGCGCCTGGGTCTTCCTCGGGGCGGAAGTACTTCATGACATGGGACAGCTGCTTCCAGTAGTTGAGGGTTTCCTGTATTAGATGTCAGTCTCGGGTTCAAAACAATTTAGTTAAAAGTCGAGATCCCCTGGAATGGCAATAAAGAGTGGTATAAAACAGGTGGGCTCTCGTTTGAGCCCAACCGGTCCGTTCCTTTCTTCTTCAATGCCGCGGAGAGGGTCCACAACTACACGACTAGACTGACCTGGAACTCTGCGTGGCTCTGGAAAAGGAGGACATCAACCACGCTCATCTGGTTGACGTAACGGTGCTTCTCAAACTCCTGGCGGATCTTGGTGCGGATGGCGGAGACGGGCATGTTCAGAGAGTACATGGTCTGAATCTCGGGAGACTATAGTTTGCGAAATCACACGTTAGTCTTGGTCGACAATTGCTTGCATAGCACTTTTTACAGGCATCAATGGCACCCGAGGAGCGTCGAGTGTCCTCGCATGGAGATAGGACCAGCAAGGAACGGGCCCCGGCGACGACGGCGGGTATCTGGGGATGTCTGGGGATATTGAGGTAAACTGACCGCACGCAGCCACTCGCGGTATGACTTGAGGACTCGGAACTTCGCATCCTGCCAGTTGACGGCTATAGAGAGAGAACAAGCATGTTAGCCATGCGCCAATCAAACGGTCTCAATTACCAGGCCGGGCGGAAGACCTCGGGGAAATCGACAAAGGAGGAGACGTACAGGAGCGCGTCCGTTGCGCAAGGTAGGTCGGGTTGATGGTCATGGTGAGACTGCGTCCACTCAGGAGCGATTGAGTGAGAGGAAGGGCGCGGAGAGAAGGCGTCGCGGGCGAGCTCTGGTGGTGGAGGTTTCGCTGAGGTTGCGTGGGTGGAATGGGCCGCTCTCACCGCCTTCCTGTTCCAAAATTTCTTTCCAATAATTTCGGAGATGCCTTTTGTCGCATGTCGCTTTCCATACTCACTTTTTCGTCCGAGCTGATCAAATTTTGTTTTTTGGTGTGACTGAGTCCTGTCAATCTCACTGTTCAACTCTGCACGCTTATCACGGCAAAACACCACCCCGCTACACTCCAACCTCCACCTAGCCACCCGCTCAACTTTTTCCTCAATACAAAATGGCGCCCACTAGAGGGTCGTCTTCCAAAGGATCGTCTTCCAAAGGCTCTTCTTCCAAAGGTTCCTCGTCCGGAGGTGGCTCCAAGGGATCCGTTAAGGGCAAGACCTCGAATTTCTCTTCCGACTCGCGCGTGAGCAAGTCCAGCAAGAAGAATGCGCCCAAACGCCCCCCGCCTAAGGAAGTTAAGTCGAAGGCCCGCACCGCCCCAGAAAATCTGCAAAAGAAGAAGAAGAGAGTCTATACAGAGGCTGAGCTGGATTTGCCTAAGCTGAACTCAATTACTCCTGTTGGAGTGATCAAGCCCAAGGGCAAGAAGAAGGGCAAGACTTTTGTGGACGATTCGGTATGTGATTGTGGCGCTTGATGTTTGGTCTGGAACTTGTTGCTAATAATGTTATCTTTCTACAGGAGGGTATGATGACGATTCTTGCTATGGTCAACGCAGAGAAGGAGGGTCAGATCGAGTCCAAGATGATGAAGGCACGCCAACTTGAGGAGATCCGTGAAGCCAGGAAGAATGAGATGGAGTCCAGAATTGCTGAGAAGAAGGGCAAGCTTGAAGCTGTCAAGGACACTATTCGGAATAAGAAGAAGGGTGGCAAGCCTGGTGCTAAGGATGAGAGCTCCCCTGCTGCCTCCAAATCGAGCGGCTCCAAGTTCTCCAAGCCTAAGCGCAAGAGTGTTTCATTTGCTTGATTGTCCCCAAAAGCACGAAGGGAGTATTGTCTATACCATGTTCATGTACCTAGACGGGGTCTGGCGTTTGTTCCGGTTTATCTCTATTTCTCAGTTCTCAAAACATCAATAGCGCTATTGATCATGATGCTACATTTTTACCCAGGCAATGCTATTCATATTCAAACGTTATTAGGTCTTTTTGACCCAATCCAAGCGTATTGATCTTTCGATCTCTTGCCTACAGAGACAGGACCAGTACCAAGTACAATCGACTCTATGTGGATTCCGGGTTACTCCTTTTATTTCGAGGACCAGCATGCTCTGCGTCTACTCCTGAACGTGACTGAAGGGCCGATGGCCAGCGCGAAGAGCGTACTAATGGTGAGAAGTATATCCAATCTACTGCATTCTGGGCATGGGAATCGGACATACTTGTTGGACATACTTGTTGGACATACTTCTTGTGCTTATCAGCCGGTTGACCCGCAACAAATAACAAATACGATCCCAGCGTTGAAGTAATAGAATAAATTTAATAGGAAGATAGACGGGAAGGTCACTTTGATAAAATAATATCCAAAGGATGATAAAGAATGTCTGAAGGAACGAAAAGTAATTACCTAAAATTACTATCAACGCTATGAAATGCCTCTATATCTAGGTAGTCTATTTATCGAGCAGCAAAGTTGGGTCTACTGCATGCTCTGTCCGATGGTGAATGCCCAACGATGTAATCTCAACTATGCAAATGCCTTCACTGGGGCAACCTCATATCCAGCCTGCGACGCACAGGATTAAACTCAGGCTTAGGAGCCAAATCAAGATCCTTGCCCAAGCCATCGTGGTGAGCGATATGTCCAGGCAGTTTCTCGGGATGCTCCACAACGCCAGGAATGCTGATGTCGATCTCCCGGGCCATCTTGTTCAGGAAATTGGCTACTGGTTTGACGAACCATCTGTTCCCTCCGAATTCGAACCAGCCAAGGTGGCCGCCCCAGGATGTGGTTAGCATAACGCCATATGGGGTCTGGGCCATTTCTTGGAACGGCAGGGCGTCACGGCACGCAATCTTGAATTTTGTTAGAAAGCTGTTTTCCATAGAAGGGGTGGTGGGTGGCTTACGGGGTCATCCTCGGCTTGAATGCTGAGGAAGGGGATGCGGATGGAGAGCATGGCGTCGGAGGATGCGGCATCGCGGTAGTATGCGCCCTCGGTGGGGTAGCCCCATGCTGGGCATTGCAGGGCGCTATAGATCATGTTAGGAACTTGGGATTTGCACAGAGAACCCAATGTGCTTACCGGTCAAACTCGTGCAAGTAGTTGATACTGCGCACGGCTTCAACATCGATACGAGGGTTTGTGGAAACTTGGTCGACGTGTCTAAATACTTGTTAATAATCTTAGAAACATATAATAAAAAAAAGACTTACGTTTCAAAGAGCTTCTTCATGCTGGAGCCCATGGTCTTGCTGTACACTTCCTTGCCCAGCCAAGTGCTTTGCAGATGGGAGTTGCCGATATCCAGATTCCAAGGACTGGCGCAGAGTACTGCAGCCTTCAATTGGCAGTTGTCACCCTCTTCACCGAGATACTATTTCACTGTTAGTTGATATTATTGAACAAATTGACCTGCAGACATACGTTGGCAAGAATGTTGGCGCCGAGCGAGAATCCAATACCAAACAGAGGTCGGTTAGGGAACGCCTTTCTAATCCAATTCACAGCCTCGCGAACATCCCAAGTCGCACGAGCATTGTAGAGAATTCCCGTGCTGATCTTTGTCTGTGCACATCCTCTCGAGTTGACGACGCATGCTTCCCAAAGACCATCCTCAATGAGGGGAGCAAGGACATGGCGCAAGTAGACTTCGTGAGAACCTCCGCTCAGGCCGTGCAGAACGACAAGCATAGGCTTGGTATCATCTGAAGGAAGATCCGACAGCTCCTCTGGCGAATAGAATGAAGTTCGAGGTGGTAGACCCTCTGGCTGAGTGTGTTTCCGAGCTTGGTCAGTAAGTTCTCCCTCCGGAGGCATGTCATAAGGCTTGACAACGAAATCTATGGCATAATGTCCGGTGAACATGGGAGATTCCGACTCGAACATCTTCCGCTTATAGTAAACGGGAACATTATCATGCTTCATCACCGTCCAGGCTGTCTGCAGATGACCATTGAAAAGGAAAGGATTGAGGTGGCATGTCTCCGGCGTCGCATCCCGGCAAACATCCACCAGGGTAGTCTGCTCCTTCGCACCGGCCTTTCCATTTACTTTGGTCAAAATGAGTTTATTGTCCTTAGCGTGGAAGAACGAGATCCGCCCGCTCGGGCGCAGCCACGAGAGCAGACCCATTGCAAACAACCCCGATAAGAGCAGCGATACGGGGAACGAACGAAGAAAATCTGCCGCAATGTCAGACATGAGAATTTATGAAACGAATGCAAAAGCGACGACCAAAAATGGCACGAAAAAGTTTCTCTAATGGAACAAAATGTATGGCCAGGGAAAAAGCCTTGATAAGACGAGGGACCTCGGCATTGCCTGATCGAGCCGATCTGACTAAGCACTAAGTGAAGATCTCATCTTTATCGGCACGTGCCAATCATCGCCTTCTACGTTTCTGCCTTAGAGATGTATTTCTGCCTAAGGCAGGAATGACCCACCGTCATGGGGCCGACGTAGGGTTGTCAGTTGACAGGGTCATGGTAGTCAGTGCAGGAACTCTGATAACTGAAAACGCTCTAAGGCTGAATATAGGCGGGGGGGGCTGGGGGAAATTCCTCTACTAAAAAAGGCGATGATGCGATGATGCTCGATGTGGCAATCGCGTTTCCGCATGCGGCAAACGCCCTTGATAGTTCAACGGCTTCCGGCCAACTCGTGGCAGCAACCTTCGACAATAGATATTGTCGGCGGTAAAATTCCATAGGGACAGATCGAAATAGGAAGTAAGATATTGTAGAGTGCTGCATCTGGATCATCGGACAGTGAACGGGCACCCTTCCGCGGTGATCTCGTCAGTCTTCCCTATATGTAATGCTGATAGCATTGCCGACAACCCTCTGTGACCCAATCCCATGGTCCGTTTTCGTGCAACTTTATCGGTCTCAAGATCCTACTTCAAGGTCAAGAGATCCACCCTACACTTCTTTTCTTTTTCTTTTGAAGCTGTTGTCTCTTTGTCACGCGATGCCGTTTGTCCCTACGCCATGATACTTCAGCTCACCTCGTCGCACGCCCAACACCTGTTTTAAACCTCTCGCTTCATTTCCATCTCATGCGGACTGGTCATAGAGCTGAACAAGTGCCACATCTCAGACACAAATAGCTCGATACTCACATGCTCTCCATGGCTTTTATAGAGCCCCCATCTGGCATGCCAGAACGTTTCCACAGAGCTACCCACCGACTACGAATCGCCATGAGAATGAAGTCCTGGCCTACATCTCGTTCCCGTTCGCGAAAGGGACAGAAAGAGGATGGTGCAGGTCGATGCCATCTTATGGAACTGCCCACCGAGCTGCTATTGGAAATTAATTCCCACCTCACGCTTATCCCGGAAGCCGCCTTTGCGCTGACCTGCAAGCGCATGTTTGCTATATCTGGAGAGATTCTCGCTTCCAAATCATTGCGCTTTACTCGGGATTTTGCGCCGCTTTTCCATCACTATCGAAATGGACATAACTTCGTCACGCCGCGCTGGCAGTTTATCACCCTGTTAGAAAATACCCGTTGGCGCGCATGCTCCAAATGCCTGAAACTACACCCTCGGGCTGCATTCTCTCCCCGCGACTTGAGACGCAAGGCTGATCTTCGAACTTGCAACCTTGGCGAGCTCGCCGGGGTCGTCGATCTATGCCCGTGCAAGAAGTTGACTTACCGGGATAAGATGGACCTTGTAGATCAGCTGCGAGTACGGAAGATCACCCTGAATGCTCTGAAATCCGAATTCGGAGACAAGGTCGGAGACAGATACTGCTGGCACTCATGTGTCGAGAAGTACGGATCAACTGAACTGAAAATCTCATTGCTCCCTGAGCTCGACGACGATGACCAGCTGGTCATCCGTACAGAATACCAACTTACCACCGAATCAGGCCAGGTGGGCAAGGAAGAATTCATGACACCGCGATTCGGATGCGCGCATCGATCTGTCGACTTGTGGCTGTCGAGCGTCTACCAAACCACCATATGCCGACTATTCGATTCATTCTGCTCGTCTTGCAAGCGCATCTCCGTCTGCGCTGCGTGTAATACAACATTGAAGTGCCCTCGCAAACAACCATTCAACTCCGAAGAGTTGGGCAGAGCGACTTATCATTTTCACACTCAGCGATATCTTGGAGGATCGGATCCAGTTCCGGATGCGACTTGGGGAAAACAGAGAATTCACCCTGCTGAACCGTCGATTGGTGTGGAGAACTGCAATGAGCTCTGTCCCTGGACGGTGCGGGAACATCCTCCTCTTACTTTTGCGCCTAGTCTTGGCGAGGAGATAATTCAGCCTGCTATGAATGAGCAACCCATCAATTCGTTGTACTCGTCTATTCGCATGATGTAAAGTGGCTTTGGCCGGGTGTTTGGCGGACGTACATTTGGTGCATTTGGACAGGAGTTATTTATAGGGCTGGTATGTTCTACTTGCAGATATCATCCAGGGTGCATACTGGGTGGATTGTTAATATAATTGGATACAAGCATGGCTAGGCGTTGAGGGTGCACATCACTATATTGAATAGGAATACACTTTGAATCTCATCGAAACTCCGTGAGCATATGCGTATGCTGTTGCAAGTGGCAGTGTAAGTGTACCGTTGATTAACGATGATCATGAAGTTTTGACTGCTTCCCGACCAGGATCTGTTTTCACCTGGCCAGACACCACATGTTGATTTTAATAGATCGCTTCACTCGGAACCGAACACTGTCGCGAAGAGGCGGATCCATCCACGGCAAAGTGTAATCCTCCTTCGTACTCTCCTCCAGCACAAAGCCACATTTGGCCAAAACACTAACCGAGGCTGCATTCTGTGAATCGCATACAGCATCCAGGGTGTTGTACTGCAATTTGAGTTCCCAGAACATGGTCACGAACCCTTGCAGCGCTTCAGTGGCAAAGCCGTAACCCCATGCATCGGGATGGAAAATGTAACCGACTTCAGGTGTTGGTAAGACTGACCAGGTACCGACCCATCCGATGAATGCACCTGGTTGGAGAAGTTTAGACTCAATCCCGTCGTCTTGCTCAGGAAGTTTGTCTGGGTCGATGTCGCTGCGGATGATGACGGCGAAGTTGTCACCGTTGGGATTATTAGACAGAAGGAGACTGGACATCCATTTCTTGCTGTCTTCGACGGTCTTGCAGTAGCCGTGTGAACTCCATCGTGTTGCGTGTTTGTCGGACCAGATAGCGTGGTACCCGTAGAGATGGTCCTCAGTCAGACGGACAAGCTGGAGCCGAGGCGTCTTCATTGCGGAGGTAGAGAATCTAGATGGGAGAATAAGAATGGAGGGTGAAAACGAAAGGTAAAAGTGAAAATCGAATGTCAATATACATGGCATCAGTCCCACAGCTTGTTGACAAGCCTACGTCGGGGTCTAGATACGGAAACGCCGCAGCACTTAGGGGATCTCCTATTTGTTTTGAGCCACCACTATTCAACCCAAGTAATCGATCAAGATGACTCAATTTAATGTTTCACTAAATTGAAAACGGCTTAGACTATTTTCTAATTTGACTACTGCATATGAACCATCAGCCTAGGAGAATATCCTAAGTGGTATTATCATCCCAAGTAAGCAGATCTTAGACGAAGTAACCATCAGGTACGAGCTAACTAGATCACCTAAAACAGAACGTCCGAATGACTATAATCATGATACCTTAATTCCAAAGCGATGAAGCTCGAGAACGTATACATCCGATCTAAGCTTATCGCTTATCAGCTGACCGCCATGAGTTTCTCCGCCCCGACGCGCAAAGCGGATGTTGGCGCTTCACTCGCGTTGAACGATCAGCTTCATTGTCGAGCGCATGTCGGGGCGATGAGTTTTCCGCCACCTAACTCGGGACAGTATCCGCAGTACATCCCTCCCCAGTACCAGCCCGGCAATGTGCCTGCGCAGTTGCTGTACAACAATGGCCCTCCTCAGGTGCCGGTACAGTCGCCGTACAATGGCTACACCAAACCGCCAGGCTATCCGCAGGGGATGATGCCCTATCCATATTCTCAATATCAGCAGCAGTCGCATCAGATGCCTCAGCAAATACCTCCGCAGCAACCTCTTATGCATCCACACCAGCAGTTGGCTCAACAACAGCCTCCAATCCAACAGCAACACCCTCAATTTCAAATGCAACAATCTCCTCGTCAACAATACCAACAATCTCCTCATCAGCAAGTGCAGCAGCTGTCTCCGCGCCCGCAATTTCACCAGCAATCTCCCCGAACTCAGCTGCAACAGCAATCTCCGCGTGCCCAATTCCAACAAGCCCCTCTTCCTCAGCTACAACAATCCCCTCGTCCCCATGTACAACAGTCTCCTCGACCTCAGTTCCAACAACAGTCTCCTCGTGCCAACTTCCAACAGCAATCTCCTCGCCAACCTGTGCAGCATTCTCCGCGTCCGCAGTTTCCTCAGCAAGCGCCCCTTCCTCAGCCGCCGCCACCTCCGAAACAGCAAGTGCAACCGCCGCCGCCGCCGCAAGCACCTAAGCAGATCCAGCCCCAGCCGACACCAGCCCAATCCCTACCCCCTGTGCAGCCACAGCACCAGTTCATCAACCCGGCAGAGCTGTTTGTCCAACCACCTCTCCCCGAGGCTCCGCGATCTCGATACATCCCGCCTCCGGATTTTGTCGACCCAAGTGCGCTGTCGGCCACGGCGGCTGGAGATTTACCTTTGCTCCATTCAAGCATCTCTGCGGCTCCGTTAGAAGCACCACTAGCGCCTCCGGCCCAAAATGCCCCACTTGCCAATCCTCAAAATCACACTCGAGGCCCGCAAGGACAGTCGATGTTCCAAATCCAGCCGCCTCAGCCGGTCATCAAAGTAGACTCTACGCCAATCCCAAAAGCCCCGAACGTGGAAAGGAAGCGCCCGCCGTCTACTCCAAGCACTGACTTGAATAAGCGTCCTCCGTCTGCACCCAAGGCGACCCCGACAATTGCGCACCAGCGACCTACTCCCTCGCCTGCCGTGCGTCTTATCCCGCAGGTGAAGATCCCGCCCGCTTCTCCTGAGGTCCAGAAGCAACTTCAGCAGGAGCAGGAGCAGCAGTCAAAGAAACCACAGCAGAAACGAAACAGCCTGCAGGGAACTGAAAAGGCTGCAGCAAAGCCCGCCAAACCCCCAGTGGACTATCAGGTCCTGCTGCTTTCATTGGCTGATGAGTATCTGAACGCTGCGCATCGCCATGGAACGAAGATGGCTCTGGCAACTCGCCAAGGAGATATCGAAGGGTACTATAAGTTAGTCGCTACGGGACTTGGATGCTTGGAGGCTGTGTTAAAGAACTGGCGATTGCAACCTCGCAAAGAAGCTCTTGTGCGACTCCGGTACGCGCGGATATTATTTGAAGAGACGGAAAATGATCTCGAGGCCGAGACGGCTTTGAGCAAAGGGATTGACCTTTGTGAGCGAAATCGAATGCTGGACTTGAAGTACAGCATGCAGCATCTTTTGGCGCGGATGCTCCACAAAACCAACCCCAAAGCATCTTTGAAGGCTGTTGATGGCATGATTCAAGATGTTGAAGCATATCGTCATGCCGCTTGGGAATACGCATTCCGCTTCCTTCGAGTTTCCTTATCCTTGTCATCTTCGTCGCACCAGGACTCTGTTCAGGCATTACAACACCTCCATAAAATCTCCGCTATGGCCGGCCGAAATGGTGACAAGGCTGTCTCGGCAATGGGAGCAATCATGGAAGCCCTGGCACATCTACAACACGGGACAGGGTCTGATGCTATTGAGCAAGCGCAGCGTGCTGTAGCCGCTGCACGGAGTCATCAGTTGAATGAAGAGCTTCGCGACATTCCACAGCTTGTTACGCTCATCCATATGGTTGACATCTTCTGCAGTCTCTTGGAATACGATGTCAACCAGGCTACTCAAAAGTTAAGCGTGATGCAGGCTAAGGTAGACGAGACACTGAGCGACCCCAATTGGCGCCCTGACGGCTCATTCTCGGTTCCACTCAGCGGCAAGTCGGCCGGGCCGTCGTCCATCGACACAGGCGACATTCTCCAGGTCCATAACGGTACGCTTCTTCTGAGCTTCAATTGGCTTCCCCAGCACGACCTTTACGCCCTTTCTTATTTCTTGAGCTCGGTGACTCTGAGCTCCAAGAACTCTTATGATGGTCGTAAGGCAGAGAAGTACTTAGATGAAGGGCTTCGAATGATACAAGGTTAGTTGGTTTTGATGTTTTTATAGAATCTTGTCTAATCACTTTTGCAGGAGAATTCAAAGCCCCTCAAGAGATCGCCGAGTCTATGGTGAATGCGACCCGGAGAGTTGAATGGCGCCGATCTCTTTATTGCAGCTTCCTTCTTCAACGTGTGTTTTTGGCCTGCTCCCGAACCGACTGGGATCTGGCTAAACAGAGCTTGAAAGAGCTGCGAGTGGTCACACAAGACATCGGGCATCAGCTCCCTGCATCTATACAGTGCCTAATGGAATATGCCGCTGGTACCATTTCTCAGGCCTCTGGTGATCTCTCAGCCGCCTTGGCAACATTCCAATCTCCATTGCTATCGCTTTCTTCTTCTATCAGCAAAACCGCTCGCAATGACCCCTGCCGCGACACATGCATCTTGGCAGCCCTCAACACCGTTCTCATCATCCGTGACCCAGCCCACCCATCTCATTCCCATCTCCCCAATATCTTGGCTACTCTCGAATCCTTCTGCCAAGGTAGTCCGAGCAAGTACATCCAAGCCGCCTACTTCCTGGTTTGCGCCACTGTGAATGACTCTACAGTCCAAACCAAACAATACCTCCAGCAGGCCTTGCAGTCTGCAACTGCCATCAGCAATAACCAGATCACCTGCATGACTCTCACCTTTATGAGCTGGAAATACTTCCGCGGCGTCGTTGGCGAGCAAGCTGAGAAGAGTGCTCGAGCCGGACGCGCCATGGCTCGACGAGCCAACGACCGTCTCTGGGCCAGCGTAACCGACGAAATGCTCGCGGATACTCTCGAGCGACAGGGCAAGGGCGAAGAAGCCCGCGACGTCCGCGCAGAGGGCCAGCGACTTATCATGGGCCTGCCTCCTGGCTTGAAACGGTCATGATCTCTCTTCGACTTTAATGCTTATTCTATTACGATGGCACTTATTTATGATACCAATTCATGGCTACATGGAAGGCGTTTTGCGATTTTCTTTGATCTTGAAGCGTGGTGAACAGGAGCACGAACATCATTGTCGTGCATAAAATAATCCAACATAGTCTGATACTTGATACATCACTTGAAAAGTTCTTCAAAAAAATGAAGTCGACCTCGAGCACTATATTGAACCTCTACGGTGAATGGGCAAGTAAATATCCGGCAGACATCCTCGCCTCGGAACACTCCTCATTCAACTCGATCCTATCAAAGATCATAAGAAACACCCACATCCATGCGTAATGTACATACAACCCTGGTATAAAGAAAAAGCAAACCCAGCTGCGCAAAGCGCAACTTCAAATCGAAAAACACCACAACCCCATTAACACCATGCCTAATGCCCTAAGCATCAAAGGTGATACTCAAGCAGCAGAATTAAGATAAAAACACCCCCACCCACATGCCCACACTAAACAAACCCTCGATCTTCGAATCCGAGTCCGTCGAAGAATATCAACCAAGCCCTCCCCAAGCCCCACGAATCCTCCTTGCAAGCTGAATATCCTTCTGCATAATAGTCACCCGCTTCGCATGAATCGCGCACAGATTCGTATCCTCAAACAAATGTACCAAGAAAGCCTCGGCAGCCTCCTGCAGAGCCTGGATCGCGTGGCTCTGCCAGCGTAGTTCTGCGCCGACGTCTGCGGGCAGGAGATCGAGCGCGACCTCGCGAACTAATCGCGCAAAGGGCAGCTTGGCGATTAAAAGGTCGTAGGACCGTTGGTAGCGGCGGATTTCTTTCAGGGCTACAGTGCCGGGTTTATAGCGGCGGCGGCGGCCTGTGGGGGTTGGGTCGCCGGCTTTAGTTTGATTTGGGTTAGTTTGGCTTTTTGGAGGATGGATCGGGAGAGGGGAATGTACGTTGTACGTTTGACGGGCGGCCTTTCTTGACTTTTGGCGATGCGCCCGGTTTGGTTTTTCCAGCGGTGGATTTGCGCGCCGGGGAGTCTGTTGATGGTTTGGATGCGCGGCCTCGTGTGCCTGAGGGTCCGGCGCGGACGGCGGATTTTGTTGCCATTGTGATGAGGTTGGTGTGCGGGACACGCGATTGTATAGCGGGGGGGGGGTGGGAGATGAGCTTGAGCTTAGCTTAAGCTCGAAGGTAGCTCAGAGGGATGCGATTGTTTGGTGTCCTGCAGATAGCACGCGTCGTGAGGGGGGGGGGGCCCTTGCAGGTGGATGTCGGGTCAAGTCAAACACTCGGACAGGAATTGAGATCGAACCTGAGATCGAGCCCGAGTTTGAAAATCGAGAAAACCGCGGATCGGCTGGGAAATCAATATGAGCATCTTCGTCCTTAGCGCCCAGCCCCCGTGATTTTCGACGCGTCGGGATCACGTGATTGATAAGAGATACGGTCTACTTGGCTTCTTGCAACTCATGCTCGTGGCGTGTCATCTTCGACTATTCAGAATGGCTGCTCTGTGGGAAAATAATGGTCAAATGGGCCAGTTCCCTCTGGAACAATGGTTTTACGAAATGCCTCCTGTTACCCGGTGGTGGACTGTAGCCACCGTGGCGACCTCGGTGCTGGTGCAGTGTCACGTCGTCACTGAATTCCAGCTATTTTACAGCTTCCGTGCGGTCTACGCCAAATCGCAGTACTGGCGGCTTCTCACAACGTTCATTTACTTTGGCCCGCTCAATCTCGACCTGATTTTCCATGTCTTCTTCCTTCAGCGGTACTCCCGCCTCCTTGAGGAATCTTCCGGTCGGTCTCCGGCGCAATTCGCCTGGCTGGTCACATATGCCATGACTGCACTTTTGATCATCTCGCCTTTCCTCTCCCTGCTCTTCCTCGGCACGGCCCTCTCTTCCAGCCTCGTCTATATCTGGGCTCGTAGGAACCCGGAGACTCGGTTGAGTTTCCTCGGCTTGCTTGTCTTCACGGCGCCTTATCTTCCGTGGGTTCTGATGGGCTTCAGTACGGTCGTGCGCAGGGAGCTTCCTAAGGATGAGATGTGTGGTATTGTGGTGGGCCATATCTGGTACTTCTTCAATGACGTTTACCCGCCGCTGCATGGTGGCCACCGTCCCCTTGATCCGCCTCGGTGGTGGCGTCGATTGTTTGAACCCGTGGAGGCGACATCTCGCACTGAAAATAATGTTGCTCGGGACTTTGTGGCCGCTGCGGCGGAGGTTCGTTGAAAGAAATCTGGGATTATGTTTGAGTAAGGCTACCAAGACAATAAAGATCGGCTGGCTTTGCATCTCTTTCCTGGTCGAGCCATTGATGCTAGACCAGCCTGGGCAATGGCATGAGAGTATCAACCATTGATTGTGTATCTCCGCAGGAAAGCCACTATTGTCGCATGGTCTTGGTCACATCGAGGGCCTGGAAGGAGTGAGGGCCGGGTCGTAGACTGGTTCGCGGGTCCGCATAAGGAATTTGTCCTGTCAGATGGAACGACAACTCAGCGAGAGAAGGCAAGGAACTAGGAAGCTCGACAGGAGCATGTTTTATTCGGCGTTGATAGCGATAGATACCCTTTTTATTTTCATTATGCATGTGACCTGTAACTTGTTGTTACTAGGCAAACTCAAGATCACTCCTTACGTCCAATTGACAGTAACTATCACGACCGGTAAGCACAAGTGTACACCTGTACATGTACGACTGTCCATGGCCCCAAGACTATGTCATAGTTCTGTACAGCGTCAGACTACACAGCCCCGCAAGATGACATGAGGTCGGCCAAGGCGGGGGCGGATTGTTCAGATTTCCAAACCCGCAGAAACCAGACTACGTGTACTGGACTTCGACCACTTGCAGCGACAGTATGGCCTCTCGGCAATCGCAGGGTCTCCAGCAATGATCGAATCCACCCACGTCATGCGCAACATGACCCTGTGTCCAAGCAAGCCAGGGACCGAGGGACCCTGCTCCGAACAGTTTGCCGATCTGAATGGGGAAGGTTTCTTATCTCCAGTTTTTGCCAACTACCGACTGGAGCGAACCACGGACGAACAGAGGCGGATTCGCAGGCACTGACGCACAGGAGGCGGGCAGTAATTTCGCGAGCGTACCAAGAAGCCGTCCACGATTATTTGGAGCGGGGGCATGGAGGCGGTGGAGGTAGTGGGGGGGGCGCAGTGGAGGCATATCCTCCAGTCGCATCGCAGTCTCCTTTAGACCCAAGGCCAAAGGCCAAGCCGATGGTGATACGAGTACGCAGCATGGGTCTTTCTTGCTCCGTGCACGCGCTCCGTAACGGTCTTTCTGTTGGGGTTGCTCCGGCCGAACACCCTATCTTGACGCAATGGGAGTCCCCGCCACACCCTAATACGCGTCCCCGTCGGTAGTGCTGGCTCCGTACGGGGTGCCTGTCTCGATGGGGTAGCCGGTACAAAGTTAAGCCTTCATGTCTCACTCATGAAGAAGGTATCGAGCACACAATTAATACCTCGTTCCTCGTTATCTTTTTATAGTCCACTCCACTTTTGACGGAGTTCGTATTGCAGTCGGGAGTATCTTATTCTCCTGCCTACCCTGGCACAGAACTGTCAGCGACACCAAAGACAGTCGATCCTAGAATCTCGATTAAGTTCAGGCAACATCATATGGGCCAGTTCCATGACAGAACCAGAATGGGACAAACCGTGGTAAAGCCGTGGCACAGGCAAAGAGAGAGGGAAAAAAAAAAACCTGCCCTGCTCCACCAGCCGGAGACAATCACCAATCGCAACTCGGGAAACGTTCAGGCAACACCTACGTACCTCAGTCACGAAAATGACGGGTACAGCCACCCTAGCTCAGCCTCCTTGAACTCTACTGTTGACACCCCGTGGCTGCTCTTTGCCCCTTTCTGTCGCCTTCCCTTTTTTAACTCTCTTCCTCTACACTCCTTTCTACTTTTGATTTAGTTGTTTTAGTTCCCCACTTGTCACTCCTTATTATTCTTTCCCCCTTTCTCGCCAGCTTGGGTTAAGACTTAATCTTTTCCCCCTTCAACGACCCCATGTCCCGGCGCTAAAACAAGGATCATTCACCCTCTACAACGCGACGCTCGAGATCCTAAGGCCTAGAAGGCCCGTGATACTCGCTCGCCGAGACGATTTGACGACTCCAAAGTTTCCATTCAATTGAATAGTGCATTTCTCTCCACTCTCTTAAGTCACCACCAAACTTCAGCCACCACCATGCGGCGCGGTCTTTTGATCTTCCTCTTGATCAACCTCCTCATTCTCTCTCTCCTGGTTCGCAGTGTCTCTACGTTGCTGTCGCTGCTCGTGGAAGATGCCTCCGCTGACGCGATTCACCGCGCGGAATTGCCCTCGCCAAACTCCAGCCTGATCGAACAGCGCCCTCAGATCATTCCTAAGATTATCCACCAGACCTACAAAAACGAGACCATTCCCGAGGTCTGGGTCGAGGCTCAGCAGAGCTGCATTGACCTACACCCGGACTACGAGTATATTGTACGTCTCTTATATGAATCGACCTGAAATCTATGCTAATATTGCTCCAGCTATGGACGAATGAAAAGTCGCGCGACTTTATCGCCGCCGAATATCCTTGGTTCCTCGAGACCTTTGACGGCTACAAATACCCTATCCAGCGCGCAGACTCGATCCGCTATTTCATTCTAGCCCACTTTGGCGGAACCTATATTGATTTGGACGACGTACGTATTTACCTAGCTTTTGATACCTTGGGTATAGACTCTCTAACTTTCAACAGGGCTGCAACCGTCGCCTAGATCCTCTGCTCGCTTACCCCGCGTGGGTGCGCCGCACCGTGCCTACTGGTATTTCCAACGATGCAATGGGCTCTGTGCCCCAACACCCCTTCTTTCTGCGCGTGATCGAATTGCTCCAGCAGTACGACCGCCACTGGCTCCTCCCCTACATCACTGTTATGTACTCGACTGGTCCACTGTTCCTATCGGTCATCTGGAAAGAGTACATGCAAGACCACCCGTCCGAGATGGGCCGCGTGCGCATTCTTATGCAGGACGAGTACAATAAGTACTCCTGGAGTTTCTTCACCCACCACACTGGAAACAGCTGGCACGGCAAGGATGCGCACTTCATTTTCTGGGTAAGCATAATCCAAAATTCTGGGTCATCAGATCAACGCTAACAATGCACAGATGGGTCAACACTGGATGTTACTCACTTTTTGCGGCTTCCTCCTCGCCGCCGTCGTCGGCTTCTGCCTCTTCTGGACCTACGGTCGCATCGTGCTCCTAGGAGCCCAGTACCGCTACCGCTACACCAAGGTCCCCTCAATCATCAGCCCGTCCCGCTTATCATCTTCGCCCTCGCGGCGCGCGCGGCGCATGATGCCCACGCTGCTGCGGAGGGTAAGCTTCAAAGAAGACGAGGAATGCGGCGGAGCCACCGAGACCTCGTACGAACTCGGTCGCCGCGACGACTGAGATGTCTGCGATTTCTTTTGTGTATCGATACGGCCTTGGACACGATCTCTGCATACCTAACAGCATTTAGTGTACAACTTTTCTTCTTCTTTTTATGAGCGCTACATGCATGGTGTCTCAATCCTGCGGGGTCCGGGATTGGTTGCTTTCACCTGGAGCACTTTGGGGTCTTTTTCTTGTCTTCTGTCTTCGCCTGTGTCTTTGTCTGGCGGCTCTGGGCTTGCCTGGTCCGGATCCTCTTTCTCTTCCTTCTGTTCTGCCCCTTATATTCATCTTAACAATTTGTAAACACGCTAGACTTCGATTCTTGGGCAGGGTGATTTGAACAGATATTGAACAATGATGAATCATGGCTTTGCCATTAAAGCTTTGCAAACTGAATTAAACCCTAACAATAAAAGAAAGAGAAACGGCAGTAATAGCCTCCCTTAGCAGAGAGATACATACCTTGGTAGTAAAATAAAACCCTTCCCCAGATGTCGATCTCCAACATGATACGTCAACCCCGTTAGGAAAGTTAATGTTTCAAAAATCCGAAACATCCAGAACAAACCAATAACATGCACCCCGTGCCTTGCATCGTCCATGCATGAATGGAAGAATTAGTCACTAAGCTTTGTAACTGGCCCCTCAAAGACGCGCCGCGTTTCACTCCCTACAATGCCGGACGAGTCTGGTGGATCGCATACTTCACCCGCATTCCTCACGGCCCCCTTTGGGAATACTTGGGCTTCAAATACCCCCCAGCCGTGGTCCTTAATGTGTGATGCATAAAGGGCATTGTCAAACGATGGCGGGTATGTAGGTTTGGGGCCAATATAAAGAGTGAATGAGATCCCGGTCTTGTTCTATACAAGCTTCACCCTCCAAACGGCTTGGATAAAGTATAGTTGCTGGGTTACTATATCCACCACAATCCTATTCCCCTGTTCTATTTCGACGTCATCGATTCACTCATTTTGACTCCCACCTTCGTTACTTCCACCCTTGCAACCCATCCAACCAAAATGCTCTCAATCCTCCCCATCCTCGCCCTCTTGGGCCTCGCCTCCGCATCACCACTCTCGTTTGCTTTCACTCTCATCGCCCGAGACGAAACTATAACGGAATCTCAAATGGTCGCTATCGCTCCAACATCTGCAAACTGCGATAACCCACCCGCTGCCGGCGAATGTGCAACCGCCAAAACAGCAGCAAAGTTCACCACCCAGTCCTTCGATACCTACGATGTTACCTCCAAGGCTGAACAAGCTGCTATCATCAGCCTGATGGCGTTTGAGAGTGATGATTTCAAGTATAATAAGAATCATTTCCCCGGTGTTGCTGGGCAGGGAAGTAAGTATTCCAACATTTCATCTTCTAATATACACGTTATACTTGATGTATCTTGGAGATTCATGCTAATCTTGATTGGTAGCACGAAACATGCAATCCCCCTCCTACAACAAAAAGTACGCAGCCTCCATCTCGGCGTTGAAAGACCAGGCCGCGAAGGTCAGCGATCCGGCTGGTTTGTTGGATTTGTTACGCGCTGATGAGACGTATGATTTCGGGTCTGGGGCTTGGTTCCTGACTACGCAGTGCTCCAAGGATGTGAGGACGAAGCTGAAGGCTGGGACTGAGGAGGGGTGGCAGAATTATATTAGTGATTGTGTGGGGACTAGTGTTACGGATGAGAGGAAGCAGTATTGGGAGAGGGCTGTCAAGGCTCTTGGTGTTTAGAGTAGGCTTTTTTTTCTCTTTCTTTTTTTCTCTTTCTTGCAGGGCTACATGGACTTTGCATGAAGGTGTTAGATAGCTTTTAGTTGTCGAAGCTGGTTTCTTCGATTTGGTATGGTATTTGGGGTTGGCTTAGTTTCCTTGGTTCGATAAACGCTCTATGAATTATGTTTCTTATGGTCTTGAATGTTTTACGCTAGTATCGCCTTTATCTCATGTTCCACACTCCAACTTTTTAATTCATAGATCAAGGCTGTACTGGATATTTAACCTCATATCAAAACTCTCATCTATCAATCGATAACTTTTCAGCTTCTTTATAAAACACCTTTAGTGCTAACAATATCACCCGCCCCAACGTCTCCCGCAACTCTGCGCGCACAAGCCGTCCGGATCGCAACAGCCAGAGCCTTAAACGCACTCTCCGCCCGGTGGTGGTCATTGTCACCATAAGTGCAGCCAATATGCAGCGTGACGTCGGCCGCCTGCGCAAAGCTCTGCAATCCGTGTGTGATCATCTCCGTGCTCAATGCGCCAATCTTCTCGCGCTTGAAGCCCAGATCAATGACCGCCCACGGACGGCTGGAGAGATCGATCACAGCCCACGAGAGGGCCTCGTCGAGGGGTGCGTCGCCACGGCCGAAGCGGGTGAGGGATTGCCGGGCGCCGAGGGCTTTTGTGAAGGCTGTGCCGAGGGCGAGGAAGGTGTCTTCCGTTGTGTGGTGGTCGTCGACTATTCATACAGTTAGTGGGTGTAAGGGTGGTGGTGGTAGTAGTGGGTTGACTCACTGTAGAGATCGCCCTTGGCGCGCACTGCTAGACTCCAGCCGGAGTGTTTTGCCAGCGCGTGCAGCATGTGGTCTAGGAAGCCAATTCCGGTGCTAATGGTGATTTGCTGCGTGGGCGTGAACTGGGTGGCGTGGGCGGCATCTTTACAGGGGACAATGCCTTTCTTGGCTGCTTCGGCTTCTTGGGGGTCGCTCGGTGGGGGAAGTCGGTGCTTGGTTCGTAGGCTGGGAGGACACCGCCGTCTAGAGAGAGAGAGATTTGGATCTTGGTCTCGTTGGTTGACCGTGAGATGGTCGCGGTGCGTGCGGTAAGAGCCATTGTGATGGTGTTGTGTGTAGGAGTGAGTGTTTGAGTACGTATGGATCCGATGCCGGCTTGATAATCGGCTTTCTTTTTTATCTGAGTCGCTATCGTGGATTATCGTTGATCCGCTTTGCGTCACTCGGTGTCTTTCGGGCTTTGCTTTTAGCTTGAGCTTTTATTCCATGAATGGGCTGGTCCGGAGATTTTGTCTGTCTGAAGCTGTGACTATCTACAGGCTGTGAATTGTGCGGTTCGTTTTTCGTTCCTCTGACTTCCATTTCTCGACCTTGGCCGTCGAACTCCCCGGTTCCCCGCATACAGAGCTCTACGATAAGAGCATTGATCAAGAATTGATCTGAAGTGGCCTGAAACAATTGCAAATTCTCATTTCTAGATACTCAATATGCCGCCGCCACCAAGCCATAGGGCCGATATTGAGCCTCCGGAAGAACTTACCACGGAAGCCGTCAAGGGCTTCGTGACGGGCGTAGCCCGCGTAGGTTCATCATACAAGCACGAAGAAGACTTGAGACTTATTTCTTTCACAGTTCGGATCTGTCTCGATTCTCGCACATATGATCATGAATCTTCCTCACCCCTTCACCTTTTCTAAACCCCAACCGCCCGCCCCCGCCGAATCTCAACCTCGTCGTCAGTCACCCTTCTCCCGCGACTATATCCGTTCACGTCTGTTATACCGACCAATGGAGGGCTTCTCCGAGTGGATTTCACCTACGGCTCGCGTTTACCGCGGGCTAACCCCACAATTCAAAGTCTTCATCCAGATCGCGCTCATGACCCTGGGAGGCTGCATCTGGGCCGAGAAACGAGTGACCGAGTACATCGACCTGGTCCGACAGATTAAACGAGCTGAGCGATACCAGGCTGAGCGTGAGCAAGGCACCCGTCGATAATTGAATGAGAAATAATCAGAAACCTCTCGGGTTACACATACTCCGGCACGTGGGTCGGTCGGTACGTCACGGAGCACCTCCCCCGTCTCAGGCACAGAGCAATTATTTTGATCGCCCTGGCAAAATCAATAGCTAGAAGGGAACGATGCACGAACGAACCGCCGGGGAGTAGGACAAGCTTCCCTGTTGGCGGCGATCTATATTGTGATCTCCATCTCTATGGCGGGCCCTGCTTCCCCCCTGAGCTACCAGAATCGCTTGGTCGATCGCCCCCATTGTGGATCCTAGCTATCCATTTCTGAAATCATCCGGGTGCGATCGAATGCAAGCTTGAACGGAAGTGTAGATAGTCTACTGTAGTTATACAGGACGGGCTAATTCGATGGTTCCAAGGTTCCATGGTTCTATGGTTCGTTGCCCAGGCACAATCCCAGCAGTACTGTAACCTGCGTAGTCTTAGTAGTCTTAGCCGACGCACATCCTGGACAGTGGAGAACGCCTCTTACGTGGCTGACTCCCAATCATTCGAATGCGTTGAATCCGGATAAGCTACTCGAAATGTTATTCGGCCTGCCGCGAACGCATGTCTCGTACCTGTAGATGACGAGGCGCAAGCTGTATGTAAACACGGATTATTAGTGAAACCCGGAACTAAGTCTACCCCGATTGAGTCAAGTCACCTAGAAGTAATATAGTATCATGAATCGGATGGAAATAAACCAAAGAAATGAGGAAAGCACAATCTGAAACAGCGACATGGTGCAAGTATCAGGGTCGCTGGGGCGAACATTTACTGCATCCGTCCATTCCTCTCACCTCCTTTTCCTCTTTTTTCCACCCACCTTCTAATTTCCCTCTCAGATCTGTTTTGACTGTTTTGGCTGTTTTCATCTGAAGGTCCTGGACGATCTTGTTCTTCTCCTCCTTTGACATCACGCTCTCCACCCTCGTTTGCCTCCAGAGACCCCCCGATCGGCACTTTCTGACCTCATCCTCGGTCGGAATTAACTTCGACAAGGAGGGCATTCAATATCGGAGCGATCACAATTGATCACCGCTCTTTGATCCCGCCGTTTTTGGTGTTGGGTGTTCAGGCACATCTCGCATCTCCGGAGACCTCCCCCCTTCCGGCGACCTCCCGGTGCAACCAAAAACCCCTCTTCTTCGCCACCTTGTTGACAGCTGCCAAACGCGTCTGGGGCTCGTTCAAATATATTCCCCGGTTCCGCTAGAGGTGGAGCTTCTGGCTATCCCTAGCTTTCGCCTGTCAATTGCTTCTCATGGCGCCGCGAAGCTCAAACGTACGAGACCCTCTCCTCCATCCCCGCTTTTCCATCTCCCCCAAGGCTCCTATCGATCTCCTCACTTCACCTTTGAATCCTAGCATGATTGTTCCTCACTAACGAGTTCCCAGTGAGAACGACGTTGGGGTCGTAGATCAGATAAACTCATCGCTCACCACTCTTGCGCCAATTCCTTCGACTCTGCCTGGATTCCCACCTTTCTATCCGTATCTCGAACTCGCCATGGCCGACTACAATGGCAAGAAGGAGCGAAGAAAAAGTCTTAGCCTATTCAGCCCTACATCCATAAGCTCTGCCCCGCTTCCCAGACCTATTCTGCATGATCGCACTCCCTCAGATGATATCCTGTCCCGAGATAAGAAATCCCGCCGCAATTCAGGCTTTTTTGGCCGGTCCCAAAGCCCAAGACCAAATGTTCTACGACGGGGAAGTGCAAATGCAGAGGTCGCTGCCTGGTCTGCAGCAATGTCTGCGTCAACACACATGGAAACCCCCGCCCGCGAAGGAAGTCATTGCAAAAGAAACGTGCTTCGGTGTTCGGCTCTCTGAAGTCGCTTCATTCTATGGACGATGATGAGCCGCTCAGTGCCTCTGTTGGTTCTCTCGGGGATGAAAGTTTGATCAGTCCCCGAAATGGGATCTGGTCTTCAGCAATCCTCCACCACGGGGAAATCCAGACTACGGGCAGCATGTGGAGGAAGAAGAGCCAGTACCTCGTCCTTACCGATACGCATTTAGTTCGCTTCAAAAATCAAAGCAAGGCTGCTGATGCCTTTCCTTCGATTCCGGCAAATTATAACAGGCCAGCCCCGGCCTCGCACCGCCAATCCGTTGCCTCGATCAGCTCTTTGCAAGACATGCAACTAATGGTCTCGAATGAAGTGTCAGCAGGTATCCCATTGAACAGTATTATCGCGGTATACATGTTGGAAGACGGACGGTTATCCTCTACAGTCGAGGTGGCCTACCTGGATGAACGAACACACAAAGCCGCATTGGTCCAGATGCAGACGCCCGATCTCCAAGAATTGAACCTCTGGATGGTGGGTATTCGTCAGGCTGCACAGATGGCACGATCAAACGACCCTCAGCCATTCGATCGGGGCTCGGTCGAGTATGTAACAAGGATGTTGGGACACGAACGAGATTACGACCCGGCCACGTTCCGAATGTTCCGTGTTATACAGATCGCCTCCAGCAAGTCCCCGACTCGCTCATCTTCGGAAGATCTCACCAAACTGTCACCTACCGGATGCTATCTTGCAATCGGCTTGCACAAAGTCCATTTGATCCCCATGCAAAAGGCAGCCAATCGGTCATCCGTGGTATCCTTGTCCGACGTTGAGAATGCCACTTCCTTTGGTCTCATGAACCTGACTGGTTTGTCAATGGAGTACGGCGATGATAGTCTCCATTTAACTTTCCGGTAAGTTCTTGTTGCGACGTTTCAGCCCCATTTATTCGCTAATATATGCAAGGGTCCCGCTGCGGAAATCATTCAACGTATTCCTGGCTTCCGTTCACTCGGTTGAAGTTGCTTGTTGGATTCGACAACACACCGAGTTCCTGCGCCCGCTGTGGACAAGACAGCCATATGACTTTGTTGTTCCCCGCGAGCTGCAAAACGATGAGAACTTCCCACCCGTGGTATTGGATGAGGACTATGGCTGTTTCGATCGAACCCTAGTTGCCTACTCTGCTAGCTATGATATCGACACTTCCAATATTCGGTATACGATCGATCTAGACTGCGAGGATGCTCCATGTTTCCGACTTCTTCGGCCTGCGTCCCCGAAGAACCCGCGATACGGTGCTCTGGAATTGATTGCAGTTATGCGAGCCCTTCGATACAATGAGTCATTTCTGTCCATTTCATTCCGTGGTATTAATCTTGATGCCTTGCAAGGTCTCCGCGATATTCATGGTGTGGATGCAGATGTGCATCTCGACAGGACAGGATCTCTCGTGCATATCCCGGGACAATCAAATTTGAGTGTCTTGTCCCAAGAGGTGCGCGCATTAGCATTGAAGAGCATACGGTTGCGCCGGCTCGACTTTTCCTATTGCCTAACCCGAACTCCTACTTTGGACAAAGGCAGCCGGGATCCGGGATGTGGAATCCCAGAGGCTATTTTCCCAGCCTGCCGTCGGGAATTGACGAGTGTGGACTGGGTGGTGCTGAATGGAATCCGATTAGGCGAGACCGATCTTGACTACCTGGTGGATGCCGCGTCTCAACCACGCAGTCATCTGCGAGCGTTGGAGGTCGGGGACTGCGGTTTGTCTGTGCATGACCTTGATCTCATTTTGTCCACCTTTGTTGCTCAGGAGTCGTCTCTGGAAGCTATCAATATATCTGGTGTACAGGGTCGTTTGAACCCCAACGTGCTCCAGCAGTACATCGGGTACTTCGGCCAAATCCGGAAGATCAACCTGTCACGCATCTCTCGCACATCGGGCACCGAGCCGCTCATTACAGCAGAAATGCTGTTCAACTGGAGACTCGAAGAGCTTGTTCTCAGCCGCACGGCCGTTAATCGCGAAACTGTCGACTCAATCGCCACTTATCTCGCGAGTGATCGTTCGCAGAACCTGCGCGTAATTCGACTTGATCAGTGCGGATTAAGCGGCGAGGACGTTGCTATGTTAATGCATTCAATGTCCGTTGGGCCGGGTTCTCCGCGCAGCCTCCATTTGCATGTCAATGAGAACCGGCTTGATGATGGCTGCTCCTTCCTTTTCGATGCCATTGCCAAGAATATGACGCCCTCGCATCTTTCTATGCAGATGATTGACTTCAAGAAGGAAGAGCATTTCCGGCAATTGGTGGATGCGCTTCGCAAGAACCGTACTCTCCGGTATCTGGATATTTCTAAGGCTTCTCTTCCTTATGATGCTGGGCCTGAGACTTGTCGGATGCTGCAGTTGATGTTTGAGGAGAACGAGACTCTGGAAGCTCTCGACATCAGTGGCGAGAGCGCGCATCTCGATGTTGCCAGGTTTGGAATTGGTCTTAACCTTGCATTGACTGGCTTGAAGAAGAATACTTCTCTTAAGGTGCTGAGGATTGAACACCAGAAACTTGGTCTCCAGGGCGCGAATACCCTGGCGTCTGTGTTGGAGGACAACGAATCATTACGTGAAGTGCATTGCGAAAACAACGATATCAACCTTCAGTCGTTCACTGTGCTCGTCAATGGTCTTCAAGGCAATCGCACTCTTCTCAGTCTCTCCTGTATGGATCGAGACCGGGTAATGTCGCTTGACAAGGTGCGCCGGGAAGTTGACAACGTCCGCTGGGATGCCAGCACCGTTCAGAGCTCTACAGCAAACTCGATCCGCCGTTCTCTACATGTCGCCATGGGTGTTCGCCCTAGTAACTCAAACCACCGACTGAGCAAGCCACCACCAGCCAATCCCAGCGCATCACCTCAGGAGCCATCTCCATTATCCTCTCAAAACGTGGACTTGGTCCTGCAGTCGTTGCAACGCAGATGGGATTCGGAAGTCGCACGTCTCCGCCGATACCTCCTACGCAATTACAATATCGCACACGGCATCGAAGACAGCGACATCGACGACGCCGCCAGCGACGGCCGACCTGCAACAGCAGCAAGCCTAGGAACGATGCTTGAGAACTTAAAATTGGAAGTCGCCGTATCAGCAGATGAAATCCACGCATCTCCACCCGACCACGCAGCTTCAATCCACCTCCGCACAGAATCCCAAGACAGCCAGCCAGAGCTCAAAATCCCACCTAAAAATCTCCGGAAGAAAAGCGCTCCAAATCTGCGCTCTCAAACCGCTCGCGCTTCCCAGAGCTTCCCACCAGAATTCGGCTCATTCAGCGCCTCAGCCACCCGCGTGGCCCTCCCTGTCCCTGCTGTTCCCGCCGCAGTTACAAAGGCGAGTAGTGTCCGCAGCACACGCAGCTCAAGCACGAATTCGACTGGCACCGGCAGCGCGCGCAGCGCCTACGGTACAGCTTCATCTGCCCTGCGAGGATTCCTCCGAGGCAGCGCTTTAAAAGAACGTCGAGGCGTCGAGGCCGTACGCCCGGTCTGTGTCTCAAACGATCAGGCCCCACGGCTGGACTGGGCACCACCTAAGCTCGACTTGGAGGAGCTTGAATAGCTTCTGCTGTGTACATAAACGTACAGACTCACCCACCTCATCCACCCCACCCACCACATAAACATCCCCGATTCTATACAGGTCTACGCTCGAGTGCACACACCTCGTCTCCTATGACTCTCACCATCCCTGCATCGCAGGTCCGCCTTTGGGCATTCACATTGACACTGATACCCACTTTCCGTCACTCTCATCCTCTGGGCGTTTGATATTTTTTTTTCTCTATTTGGTGTTTCGCACCATCGTTTTTTTGGGTTTGGCGCACGGCCTGGATCATCTGGCGTTGACATCCAGCAGCGTGGCTTTTTTTGCTAATTATTTATTTATTTATAAACTGTCTATTTCCTTCTATTGGGGACCGGGGTGCCTGATGAACCTTGAATGTGATCCTGAATACCTTATGGATTGATGTGGATGTGGTTCTCTCTTGTTTGCATTCCTTTGACACTGTATTGGGATTGGAGGGGTAATATTTAATTCCTGATTAGATCGGATCAGTGCTCAATGTTAATGCAGTATTGAATCTTGAATTGATTGTCCTTTGGTGTCAACATTATAGATGTAAGTGTAGAAGAATGTTGTGATACCGTCCCATGGGATTAGCACATAAATCTCTAACTCTTGTGACTACCCAACAGGCGTATACTAAGAGACGAGGGTAGAATAAAAGCTGTATGGGGATGTATATATGAATTTAGGAATGAGACAGCTGCTCAAGCAAAAGCCAACATTTGAAAGGATCAGAGATGCCTCTGGAAAGTCGAACTTGAGCCAAGCGCCCAAAATCAGACTAGCAAGTTGGCCTTGGTTTCTCTCTTTAAAGCATAGTGGTCATTCATGACTTCCCCTCACTCCCCATCTAACTCTGCAAGTAATTCAATAAAGTCCTCGTCTCCTTCCTCAGCCAACTTTTCGAATGTAGTTCTGTTGGCAACCAGCCACTCTTCCTCCTCTCCAGTCTGCAGATCGATCAGAAAATCAGTACTGCATTCCAAAGCAAAGTACACATATATATCCTGGACCCTGCTACACCAGAACCATTGAGATGTTCAAATGTTAACAAAAAAGACTCACTTTCGGCCTCGCAATCCCAGCCTCCAAAGCCGTCGTCAAAGCCCCCATAACCCAAACCGTCCTCAACCCTCTTTCGGCATTCTTGCCCACAATCTGCTCCCATTCCGCAACTACTGCTTTACAGTGCTCGACGTAGATCTCGTTGGTTCGATTCGACCCTGCACGTGTTCGGATAATGACCCGATTATATCGGCGCAGTTTTCCGCCTCGGAAGACGATTTGGGAGCTGACGTCTGTGAATCGGACGTTTACGAAGCATCGGGGTGTGTTGAATCGTGTGGCGTGTAGGTTTGTTAGGGCGATAGCTAGTTGTTCCTGTGTGGCGAAGGGGAGAGGGGATATATGTTCGATGTCGTATAGAGGCATTATGAAGGTAATATCAGAGTATTTTAGATGTTAAGAATCTAAGTGGGTTTTTGTGTTGCGTCTAGGGTGTTGAGGTATATATCACCCCGCATTCTGTTTTGTAAGCCCAGGAGGAACGGGCCCCCAAATCGGCCGAAAGGAAATGGCATAAATTTAACAACACTGTTCATGTCAATTGTTTAGGTCCTCGGTTTCTAGATGATGTATAGTCCCTAGGTCGCAACTTGAATGGGAAGTCAGGGCCGGTGATGTCACGTGGTTGAGATATACAGTAGGTCTACATCCATGGATCGGGGTGGTCACTATGCTGAGGATCTCGTATAACCAGATATTCAAATACTTAAGTGTTGAGAATAAGATGCCTTATATTGTGCAATGCAAGAGACGAGTTGATATCAATTCCCCACAACTCCAAGAAAATTCATTATACACGGCCCCCATGGGCCAACAATCAAACCCCAAAAATACAATGCAAGGGAATCGTGTTTAATGTACATGTACAGAGATAGGACCGAAAGACAGCCATCTCAACCCAATATGCCAGAGCTATGAATATAAAACATCCCACCTGGGCATGTTCACGTTGACTCTTCTCCCAGAATAACAACACCATGCTCCTTGTCCAATTTGTTCTCCTCCTCACGGAACCGTCGGCCCTGCTTCGCAATCGCGCGTAGCTTACGAATGTACTGGTTGTTCGAAGAGTCTTGGGACTCATCTTCGCCACGACCGGCCAGTTCCCTCTGTCGCCGCGCTTGACACATCCTGTAGAGCGTGCGGCCTTGTGTTGGGGAGAGTTCGCTCATCTCGTACTCAAGGGACCAGGCGTCGTTGGCTGTGAAGTTCACGGGTCGCTCAACGTAGGCGTCGTTGACCTTGTTGCGGACAGTCAGGGCAAAGGCGAGGAGGTTTTCTTCGTCATCTGATGATCCCTTCTCCTCCTCGGGGATTTCCTCGACAGGCTCAGGTGTAGGGACGTCAAGGTCGGAGTCGTCTTCACTTGGCTTCAGATTCAGAAGACGTTGCTGATATTCGTCGATGGCGGCCTTGTTCTTCTCTTGAATGGACTTGATCTCGTCTTGCGTGACGGGCTCGGCGAACACGTACATAAACGGTGTCACCGCGTCGCGGGTCTCGAAATGAAAGCGGAGGGACTTCTCGGGGAATCGCTCGGTTGCTTTATCAAGAATTTGTTGCCACAAGCTTAGACTCAGTTGGAACTCGGCATCTCCGAGGGCCGTGTCATATTGGCCGTGTAGGGCTTGATCCATCTCTGGAAGACTGATGTACTGGAAACCGAAGATGCGCTCTACATTGTGGAAGGCGACGAAAATACCGTCCATGCGGCCGATACGTACTTGCAGGGAGTACTTGAGGAATGCGGCGCGAATCATGTCGAAGAATTCACGCTCGTAGGACTCAAAGGCACCGTATCGGTCCTTAATCTCGTAGCCCAGGCCGTGCTCGAAGTTCTTCGCATCTTGACGGATTGAGACCACAGCTCGGGTCTTCAGATCAAACATGCCTGTTCCTGGGAGGCGGTGGTCATATGCGTCCAGCTGGGACCGCATGATGAAGTTACCGAAGCTGGAGAAGTGGTAAGATTCAGGGATGGCCTCTTCCTCTTCAGGGGAGATTTTGTTTTCGTGACTTCGTCGATAACGCTCGAAATCTTCCTTCGGCAGGGTGAGCAGCTTCTCCATCGACTTTCCGAGATTCATGAGAATATTGGCGTGGTCGAATTCCTTATCTGCGTCAATCGCGTACACTCCATCCTGGTAGTGAAGGAACATAGCGGCTGGCGCACGTAGCAGACGAGTAAAGGTCGTCATTGTTTCTGGGAAGCCACGAGACACTGTCTTCGTGTCCACGGGTCTCCACGAAGACAGTAGGTAATGGAAGTGGGAAAGCACCGAGGTCATACTGGAAGAAGACCCTACGTACTTCTTCTTCTCTTTGACAGCGATGTTGCGGAGTGTTTCATCCTTGGACGAGGTGATATAATCCTTAAGGGTATTGAAGTCAAATTCCGTAACGGGCATGATGTCTCCCAGATAGGGATCAAAATTATAGACTCGCGATCGGGGGTCTCGTAATTGGTAAACACCGGGACTATATCGGTTAGAGCAATGAAAGACGAGAGAGCTTGATGGACTTACTTGAAGAGAACTCGATCAAGTCCAAACGACAAACGGGGGACAGGGGCTGTTCCGTAGTCCAGTGCTTCGAGGTGTTAGCTGACATTCAGTGTAGTCACAAGGAGAGACCTACCCGCCACATCACCGTCCTTATACTCTAACGACCCGGTGGTCTTCTCAAGCACGAAACTTTTAACATGCGTAAGCTTGCGCTTGGGTTCGTCCGGATTCCTCTCTTTTTGAGTCTTTTTGGTCCGCTCCTCGAGCATCTTGGTCACTGGCTTTGATGGTGCTCCTTTCTTGGGCGCATCGTTTATATCTTCAGTACTTGTCGTGGTGGCTTCTGGTTGCTTCTTATCGAGTTCGCTTTTGGCTTTCAATTGTTCCAGTTTCCTCTGCATCTTGGCCCTCTGGGATGACCGGCGATCTCTGCCTCTTTTCGATTGACCGGGATTCGAAGATTCTGATGTCGAAGTCGCATCGTCTTTCGAGGGGAGATTGGAGGGCGCATTGCTCTAATCTTCAGTCAGTATTACCATTCACGTTACCCCGAGAGGCGATCCACGATTGGTGGCACTGTACCTCTGTGGCCAAGCCACCGTCCTGATTGGGGGTGGAAGGGAGCGGCGCATCGTTAGACTTGCTCTCAGATGTTCCATTGCTGGCTTCAATGCGCAAGAAAGGTCGGGCGTGGAATTGACGTAACCTGGACGGCGCGACAAAGCGATGGCTCAAACAGGAGAGGCACACATGGTCCCGGAGAGGGTCTGAAGCAGACCGGAGAGAGGCCCGAAACATGCCACCTGACTTAAGAGCAACGGAGAAACAAGAAACGAGAGAATCTTCCTAACGTCTCGAGACGTGACAGGAGTCCGAGTCGGCGAAGCGTCGCGCGGCGCTGTTTTTTTCTGCCCAGGCCCACCGCTCCGATAAGGCTGTAAGGCATGCAGGATCTACATACAGCACACGATCGTGGTTAAAGCATGAAAATTGGCGGATTATCTATGAGTTAGACTGATTCTTAAAAGTATTTGCACTTTCTCTAAGTCTTTGGTCTCGAAATCGGCAAACTCATTTCGTTTTGAGCTATCAGTCTACTCATGTAAAACTCTAAGTAAGAGCCTTCTTCCAGTACAACCACGCAATTTGGAGTGTTTAGTGTCTGCCATAGATGATACCATGTCTTTTCTCTAATATTAATATGAAAATTGGACTATAGCCCTTATAACACGCCAAAAAGTGCAGCGTGAGTTTATTTCAATTTACCTCCACGGCTCCGATCCCCGGAGAAATACCGCCGCCGGCAGAAAAAAAAGTTATCAGCGCTGCATCAAACTTCACGATTCCTCATCCACTTTTTACGCAGTTGCTTCTCAAGTTTCTCGGCGAGGTGAGTCAATTCAAGCCCCTAGCTTTCCCATTGGGTGTTTCAATTACCCCTCTACATCTACCCATCCCATCTCCACCCTCAAATTCTGTCGGAGGGGCATACCCCGCGGAAGACTCACACAGTCACTAACTTCACCAGTCGCTCGAGACACTGCCCCCACAATGGCCCAAGATCAGTTGCGCGTCCTCATTGTCGGCAATGGTGGCCGTGAGCATGCTCTTGCTTGGAAGCTGAGCCAGTCGTCCCTCGTCGACATTGTCTACGTCGCTCCCGGAAACGGTGGTACTGGTCTGGGTGCTGACAAGAAGATCACCAATGCCAACGTCAAGGGTGATGATTACCCTGGCCTGGTGGCCTTTGCTCAGAAGAACCAGGTCAACCTCGTTGTTCCTGGTCCTGAGGCCCCTCTGGTCGACGGTATCCAGGGCTACTTCCAGGCTGGTAAGTTCAATTATTCTTTTCGATCTCGGCGCAAATTGCTAAGACTTTCTTTTTATTACAGTCGGCATCCGATGCTTCGGTCCTTCCAAGGCTGCTGCTCGCATGGAGGGCTCCAAGACTTTCTCCAAGGACTTCATGCACCGCCACCAGATCCCTACCGCTGCCTTCGGAAATTTCAAGGACTACGAGTCCGCTCGCCAATACCTCGACTCCGTCTCCCACAACGTCGTGATCAAGGCCGATGGCCTTGCCGGTGGTAAGGGTGTTGTTATCCCCACTACCAAGGAGGAGGCGCACCAGGCGCTGAAGGAGATGATGGTGGACCACCAGTTCGGCAGCGCCGGTGACGAGGTCGTCATCGAGGAGTACCTGGAGGGTGACGAGTTGAGCATTCTCACTTTCAGTGATGGCTACACCATTCGCTCCCTGCCCCCCGCGCAGGACCACAAGCGTATCTTTGACGGTGACAAGGGCCCTAACACTGGTGGTATGGGCTGCTATGCTCCTACTCGTATTGCTCCCAAGGAGGTGCGCGACGAGATCGACCGCACTATCATCCAGCCCTCGGTTGATGGTATGCGTCGGGACGGTATGCCCTTCGTTGGTATCCTGTTCACTGGTCTTATGATGACCAAGAACGGTCCCAAGGTCCTCGAGTACAATGTCCGTGGTGGTGACCCCGAGACACAGACCCTGCTCCCTCTGTTGAGCGAGGATACCGATCTGGCTCAGATCATGGTTGCTTGTACCGAGCACTGGCTCGACGGTGTCAACGTCAGGGTCGAGGAGAAGTACTCCACCACTGTCGTCGCCGTCGCTGGCGGCTACCCTGGCTCCTACGCTAAGGGCAAGGCCATTACTCTGGACCCTACCCCCGCTGGCTCTCTCATCTTCCACGCCGGTACCACTATCTCCGGAGGTGAGCTCCAGACAAACGGTGGCCGTGTCATCGCTGCCACTGCCACCGCCTCGACCCTCGAGGAGGCCGTCTCCAAGAGTTACGAGGGCATTGCCACCATCCACTTTGAGGA